AACCGTCAAATGTACAAATGGAAGTCATGTAAACTCTGGTTTATGCAGGTAGTCTTCAACTTACAACCAGTCACTTAGCAACTCCCAAAGTTATGACGGAACCCCCCCCCCCAAAAGCTACTTTGACCCAATTTCTAAGTCACAACAACAGTGCCCTCTTGTGGTCACATGGTCCACATTTTGAGAGTTTGGCACTCAACCTTTGCAAGGTTTTTCAACCAGGATTTGTTGACATTCTTTGCAGATTTCTGGTGTTTTTTTCTGGCTAAAATTGCCCATTGGGTAAAATGGACTCACTTAATGACCATGGTGTTCGCTTAATGATTCCCACAAAAAAATGCAAAAATAATAATAATCAGATCTGGTTATGGGATGCCTCGAGTTACAATGACAATGACTTATGACCATAATTCCAGGCTCAATGATAGTTGTAAATTGAGGACTATTTGTAATGCCTCGATTTATGACCACAATGACTTATGACCATAATTCCAGGCTCAATGACAGTCGTAAGTTGAGGACTATTTGTAATGCCTCGATTTACAACCACAATGACTTATGACCGTAATTCCAGGCTCAATGACAGTCGTAAGTTGAGGACTATTTGTAATGCCTCGATTTACGACCACAATGACTTATGACCGTAATTCCAGGCTCAATGACAGTCGTAAATTGAGGACTATTTGTAATGCCTCGATTTACGACCACAATGACTTATGACCGCAATTCTGGGTTTAATTGCAATTGTAAGTCAAAGAATACCTGTGAATTGTTGCCGTGGAAGATTTCACTCCTAGAAAAGGTGACTCTAAGGATCGAAATTGTACAACTTGAGACAATTTTTAATCCATTCCTTATTGCCCCTGAAATCGGGACATTTCAAAGAGATGCTGGTACTGTCCCTCTACCCTGTTTAATCTTATACCGTTTCCTCTTCTCTATTGCCAGCTTCTCGGTTCATATCTGATTCTCACAGGGCTGGTCTCCAGTTGTGTTTCAGAACATCCTGTTGGGTGTGTTTTCATGGCCATTACGCTTTCCTCACCTTCCCGCTTTGGCAGAGGGCTGTGGGATCTGCGTCATGGGGTCTGCTCGCATTCCTGCTGCCCACATCAATGCCACCGGTGATAGCCACATCATACTTCCTAATTTCCTTCATAGCTGGTAGTGAGCCATTGCAAAAGCAAGTTTGAAAACTAGGCCCCTAATCTCTTTATTATTGGATTTCAAGGGTTCTTGGTGCTCTCTGAGCTTGCTTGTTTTCTTGCAGATGTTTCATTACCCAAACTAGATAACATAATCAGTACTAGCAAGAAGTGGGATTTGCTCTCAATTTATATTCCAGTGACTTGCCCTGTCGATGTTGGTGGTTTTGGTGGTTCTTTCATTGGGCTGTTTATTGTTAGCTTGCTTGATTGTGTAGGAAGTTAGCACCCACCCCTTTCCTAGAAGAATGAAATATTTTAGGAAATATTAAAAAGGCAGAATATTATGTTTCCCTGGATGAGAAATGGAGAAGCATGTTTTAAAGACAAAGCAGCTCCCACCTTCTTCCCCCCCCCCCACCCTTTGTCAATGGGCCAGAGGCAGAAACCCAATCCTTTGTCAATGACCATCATCTGTAACACAATAGGACCCATCTAACAACAGAAACTCACCACATGGCACCTGGGAAGATTGCATCAGCCAGCAAGGCTAGCTAAGACCCCCACCCCCTGGGAGTCTGACAACCAATCAGGATACTCTTTCTGGGCCCCAGGAAGTTCAAAGCCAGAGAGGGCATAAAACCCGGGGACTCACAGCATCTCTGCCCCTTTTCTGTTCAGGAACTCAAGCCATGTAATCCTGTCCACCATTAAACCATCTTTCCAAGCAGTCTCCATGTTTCCAGTGTCTTTTTCCCCACTTGGAGCTGAACCCAGAAGGATATTTCTTCTAACAATTGCATTATTGTTTACTTCTTGATTGTTAGTCACTTGTTAATCTTGGTGTTAATTTGTGCTCATCTATGGGTTGATTGCTGCTTGGGAGGTGTTATGGTCTTTTTAATCTCTTTTTGGCTCTAAACCAAGCTCAGAGATCAAAGACCCTTCATTTCAACCCTGAGCTACACATATTCTCCTTTATTTACTGAGTTCCTTCAACCTCTATGAAAGTGTGAAAGGGCGAGGGAAAAAGAAAGGACACATTTTAATACTTCGTACCAGAAATAATTTTTTGCCTAAACTACATATAGTTCAATGATCTCTATTTATCAAGGAGAGTCCATTCTGGTATTTGTCCTCAGTAAATTGATTTCTCTACTCTTTGTGAGTAATCTGCAATTAGATTCACAGTAAGACTGGTGAAAACTTAATAATTCAAATCATAACGGAAGGGACTAAGAATTATGAAGATAATATCTAAGATATACTCAGTTGCAAGCAGGGTGGGGTGGGTTTTTTTTTGTAAAATTGGGGTGTTTGGGTCTGATAAGTTCAAAAATTCCAAATAGTGGAAGTTCTTGAGTATCGCTCTGAGGGGTCCTGGTATAACAATGGATTTTTTTCCCCATAGTTTACTTTCTCCTTCTTATCAGAGAGCTCACAAAGATAGAGACAGAGGTTCTGCCTGTTCCTTCCTATCTCCAAGCTGGGCTAATTGTCTATAAAAATAAGTGCCTTTGTTGATCAATGGCGTGGCTTTCTTAAAGAATAACAACCAGTGAATTGGGTTCCTTCTACTTCCAATTCATCCATTCTCCTAAACTTTGGAAACCAGGCTCCCATCACCTGAGTTGCCTCTTTCAAGCTAGTTTGATCTGAACCATCAGCATTCTTCAAAGTTGTCAGAAAAAGAGAACAACAGAGTTGGAAGGGACCTTGGAGGTCTTCTAGTCCAACCCCATGCTCAAGAAGGAAAGCCTATACCACTGATGGCTAACCTTTTCTGGACCGAGTGCCCAAAGTGTGCGCCCAAACCAGTGGTGGGTTGCCTCTGGTTCGCACCGGTTCTATAGAACTGGTAGTAAAACCGGCAGAAGCCCCGCCCACTGACCCTGATGTCATGAAAACGCTTCTGTGCTTGCGCCTGGCCCCATTGTGAACCGGTAGTATTTATTTATTTATTTATTTTGTCGCATTTCTATGCCGCCCCACTCCCAAGGGACTCTGGGCGGCTCACAACAGAATAAAACAATGCAACAATATCCTATACAATAGTTAAAAGAAGACATTAAAACATTAAAACATTAAAACACATACACTCCAACACATACACATTTGTGGCTGGGTCTCGCAAGATCACTATAAGTAAAGATAAGTAGAACCCACCCCTGGCTCAAACCCCCAAAATGCAATGCGCATGTGGCCCCGGTACATGCGCCTCACCCCCGTGCTTGCATGCACAGCCTCCCCAAAATGTGCCCTCCCCCCCATGCCCCCCTGCATGCATTTGCGCCCCCCTGCACACACCCTGCACCCCGTGCATGTGCAGCAGAGACCCAAAGACCAGTTGGTTGGTGGGAGGTGCATGCACATGCGCAGCAGAGTTGAACTGGGGTGACAGCTCGCGTGCCTACAGAGAGGGTGCGGCATGCCATCTTTGGCATCCATGCCGTAGGTTCGCCATCACGGGGCTATACCATTTCAGACAATTGGTTGTCCAATCTTTTCTTTAAAACCTCTAGACTGAAGGCAAGTGGTTCCACTGATTAATTGTTTTAACTGTCTGGAAATTTCTCCTTAGTTCTAGGTTGGAGTTCTCCTTGATTAGTTTCCATCCATTGCTTCTTGCCCTGCCCTCAGGTGCTTTGGAAAATAGGTTGATTCCTTTTTCTTTGCAGTAGCCCGTTAGATATTGGAACACTGCGATCATGTCACTGCTAAGATGTCTGGACATCAACTCCCAGAATTCTTCAGCCAAAATGGCTGCCTGAGGAATTCTGGGAGTTTGAAGTCCACACCTCTTAAAGGGGCCAACTTTGAAAAACACTGAACCCATCTGGTTTCCATGTGTAGAAGGTTAGCACCCAGCCCTCTCCTAAAAGAATGAAAGTTTTTGAGAAATATTAAAAAAGGCAGGATAAAGTATTTCCGCTAACAGAGAAATAAAAATCTTAAGGGAGACAGAAACTCTGAGCTTCCTGCCCCCAAGCAGATACTAAGCTGAGGCCAGTTTTTTTAAATACAGATTTGGTAATCCACAGTGGTAGATTTCAACCGGTATAACAACCGGTTCACTTCACACGTGCGCTTTGCAAGAAGAGAGCTCACTTCGCTCGCACGCATGCCAAGCTTGCGCTCCGCACAAGCGCATTACATTTCAGAACAGCTGAGGCGTGGCAATCCGCTCTGCCGTGCCTATCAGCTGGGCTAAAAATGAATGAATATAGGTAGGTATAGCGCAGGGGTGGGCAGAAGGGCACAGCTGACAGTCGGAGCAAACCGATTCGCTCTCAGCTCACCATCGGAGCTACTGGCTCACCTGAACTGGGGCGAACTGGTTGGTAATCTATTACTCCCTGCAGCAAGGTTTGAACAAAGGTAGGGTTAGCCCTCAGCCACAATAGGAATTGCCCAGCAAGCCCCTTCATTGCATCAGCCAAACTTCAACCAAGCTTAGCTCAGACAAAGTCCTAGGATTTGTACATGGCACCATGGGAGTCTGACAACAGCCAATAGAATACATGTTCTTGCGCAGGAACAGGAAGTTCAAGTGTTCAAAGCCCAAGAGAAGGTATAAATACTTCCCACTCTCAACTCTATGTGGTCAGCTGCCCAGAACATATGTGGTTCTGCTTCATCATTAAAACCGTCTTTCCAATCAGCCTCCATATTTCCAGTTTCTTTCTTCTGGCTTGGAACTGAACCAGATGGATATTTCTTCCAACACATGCTAAGAAAAGTGCTTGGCTCCTTGACCATGCAGATTGTTGTCTTTAGCCATTCTAATTCTGTCCTCTTTTATTCCCAAATTCAGCCCTGATTTATTTCTCTTCCTTATTGTCCCCTTCCTTACAGATCTTGAATGATCATGGAGAGGCCCTCAAAGGGAGCGTCTTTCCTTCTGCTCCTCTGCTGGCTGGGGGTTTCCTGGGGGGCACGTCTTCCCCGCCCCCTCATCTCTTCCAATGCGACCATCTTCTCCCATGTCTACACAATTAAGGTGGCAGGAGAAGACACGCCGAACGAGGGTGCCTCCCCACCTCCCCAAGAGGCCTTAGGTCCTCCTGGATCTTCTCGGGGAGGGGGCCAGTATGAACACACCCTGGAAGGATCAGATCAAGAGCATGTGGTTTTCACCCATCGCATCAACCTCCCACAGCAATCCTGTGGGTGTCTCCCTGGCACCGAAGATACCCAGGAGCTTTGGAGAAGGCTGCAGGCCCTTGAGAATGAAGTGCGGGTCCTACAGGAAACGTGTCAAGCTGGGGGAGGCTGTTGCCCTGCTGCATCCACCAGAAGTCAAGCCAGCGAAGGTAAGGGAAGAGGAGGAAGGCAGGGTTGAATTCTACCTGGCTGTTGAAATATTTTATACCTTAGCAAAATGGTTCCAGAGCTGGGATCAAGGAAACGGGCAATTGCATGAATTAAGTCCTTTGTTCTTCACCTAAGAATGATGACAGCAAGCTCTTAGGTGGGTGGTCACAGAGACTCCCCGCCCTCCATCCAGCACATCTTAGATACATTACAATCAGCCCCTCCTATAGAATACAAACCCCTTACCTAGTCATTTATTTTCCTCCATACATCATTCCATTTAAATTCTTTCCTTAGTCCTTACATTCCTTAAATTCCTTCCTTCTCCCTCCCTCCCTTCCACCTTTCTTCCCTCCTCCCTCCTTTTCTTTCCTCCTTTCTTTCTTGCTCCCTGCCTTGCTCCCTCCTTCCTTCCTTCTCTCTCTCTTCCTCCCTCCCTCTCTCCTTTCTTCCCTCCTCCTCCCTTCTTTCTTTCTTCCTCCCTGCCTTCCTCCCTCCCTCCCTCCTTTTTTCCTTTCTTCCCCCCTCCCTCCTTCCAGCCATCCTTCCCTCCTTCCTTCCTCCTTCCTTTCTTCCCTCCTTTCTTTCTTGCTCCCTGCCTTGCTCCTTTTTTCCTTCTCTCTCTCTTCCTCCCTCCCTCTCCTTTGTTCCCACCTTCCCTCCTCCTCCCTTCTTTCTTTCTTGCTTCCTGCTTTCCTCCCTCCCTCCTTTTTTCTTTTCTTACCCCCTCCCTTCCTCCTTCCTTTCTTCCCTCCATCTTCCTTCCCTCGCTCCCTTCAAATAACTTTGTGAAAACCAGCCTTTAGAAGATCTGAGTTTTATTTTCATTCAGTCTCACTACTAAAGGTAAAAAAGGCAACTGAGCTCACGGACTTCCTTCCTTGGCTATAAATGCAATAATTAAGCGATTTACAGGTGCTCTTTTAAGCAATCCCTCCCTCAACCTCCTTATCTTTCTCTCTCTCTCTCCCTCTCTCCCCTAGGCCAAACAGACATTCGTACGTTATGTTCGCATCACGGATCCTTCGACCTCTCTCGTTGCCTGTGCGAATGTGAGTCGGGTTGGGGCGGTCCCACCTGTGCTGAGCCGGTCTGCTCAGGAGGCTGCGGTGGCCCAGAGCGTGGCAGATGCCTCAACGGGCACTGCCAATGCCAGCCTGGCTACTCGGGGGTCAGCTGCGAAGAGCCACCCTCTTGCCCCGACGACTGCAATGACCAAGGGCGCTGTGTGGATGGCCGCTGCACCTGTTTCCCAGGATATATGGGCCCCTCCTGCTCCGACCCAGTTTGTCCCCAGAACTGCCACGGACACGGCCAATGCATCTCAGGACGGTGCGTGTGCAACCCAGGTTACAGCGGTGCAGATTGTGCAAGCCGAGCTTGCCCTAGCAACTGCAACAGGCGTGGAGAATGTCGTAATGGACGCTGCGTGTGCGAGCCAGGCTTCATCGGGCCAGCCTGCGGCACTAAGACTTGCCCCAATGATTGTAACCAGAGAGGCCACTGTCTTCAGGGAGGGGTGTGTTCCTGCCATCCAGACTACACCGGCCCCGACTGCGGTCAGCTGGCATGTCCAGAGCACTGCAGTGGCCACGGAGAATGTCAGAATGGAACATGCGTGTGCAACAGTGGCTATTCGGGCGATGACTGTTCAATAGGTAGGCACAAAGGTTTAAACAATCAATCAGAATAGAGTGGAAGGGACATTGGAGGTCTTCTAGTCCAACCCCTTGCTCAAGCAGGAGACCTTATACCATTTCAGATAAGTGGCTGTCCAGTCTTCTCTTGAAAACCTCCAGTGATGAAGCACCTACTTCTGGTGGCAAACCTGTCCACTGTTAGGAAATTTCTCCTTAATTCCAGGTTGCTTCTCTCCTTGATTAGTTTCCATTCATGGTTTCCTGTCTTGTCTTCTGGTGCGTTGGAAAATAAGCTAAACTATTTGGAAAATAGGTTGGGAGGAGACATTTCCTGCATCCTTTATGGTCTAACTCAGAGTTTCTCAACTGTGACAATTTTAGTAACTTAACTTTATTCCCTAGCCAGCCAACTAGAATACCCCAGCTGGCAACTGGCATATATTTATAATGGTTGCGGCAACCCATGTTCACATGATCACAATTTGTGACCTTCCCAGATGTGTTTCCGACAATCAAAGACAATGGGGGGAAGCCGGATTTGCAGTAGCAAAAAAATGTTGTAAAATCAGGTGCAGTCATGTGAGGACTCACAATGATCACATTGCTTAGAAGTGGAAGTTGTTGTCCCAACGTCAAGGACTACCTGAACAGAAAAACTGTTACAGCAAACTGGGCCAAACCTTACTATACCAGCCTTTAAAAGAGCATTAAAAACATCACTCTTTCTCCAAGCCTTGGGTTTTAAAATTCCTTCAAAACAGCACCTTTTTAATGCTATTTTGCTTCAGCTGTTAAGTCCCCTTAATGTGTGTTTTGAATTGCCTCACGTATGCTGGCTGGAGAATTCTGGGAGTTGAAGTCCACACATCTTAAAAGTTGCCAAGGTTGAGAAATGCTGGTCTCCCAAATGAATAAACGACAAGGTGATTTTTCGCAACGAGAGAGAGAGAGAGAGAGAGAGAGAGAGAGAGAGAGAGAGAGAGAGAGAGAGAGAGAGAGAGAGAGAGAAAGGAGCTGTGGATATTCTTGCACAAATCTATATACTACTAAAACTGTCACTCCCGTAATCTTTAATTGGTAAATTAAAGTGCATCATAAGGCAATGATTTTTGAACTCATATGCCCCAAATGGGCTAACTTAAAGAATACATCCAAAATCCGGGAGCCGTAACTCCCAAGGAAATGAAATTTGGAAAAGTTGTCATGAAATCATAGAGTTGGAAGGGACCTTGGAAGTCTTGTACTCCAATCGCCTGCCCAAGGCAGGAGTCCTTATACCTTCCTGGACAAAATGGCTGTCCAATCTTTTTTGAAAACCTCCAGGGATGGAGCACACACAGCTCTGGGAGGTAAGCTGTTCCATTGATTAATCGTTCTCTCACTATCAGGAAATTCCTTCTTATGCAACTGTGGTGAATATCTGTAGCTCAGGTGTAGGATGAGGGTGAAGATCCATTCTCCGAGCTTGTGGGTTGGTTTCCCAATGTTTCCTTACCAGGCAAGGTAACATCCACACCTGAAAGTCTGTAGAGATTCTCAGTCATCCAGGTTACGATTGTCCCAAAGGTGCTTTTTCAGGAGGCAACTGGACTTTCCTGTTTTTCCTTTGAAGACGTTTCACTTCTCATCCAAGAAGCTTCTTCAGTTCTGACAGGATAGCGGGGAATGGAAGGATTTATATTCCTTGCAGACAGCTGGTCATTTGCATCCTTTTTCCATCCCAGCACCTTTGGGACAACCATGACCTGGATGACTGAGAATCTCTACAGACTTTTAGTTATACAATTTGGGATGATCATCCTTTGAATGGTGTGGGAGTAGGAATCAGTGGTGGGTTGACCCCGGTTTGCACCGGTTCTATAGAACCGATAGTAAAACCAGTGGGAGGCTCCACCCACCGACCCCGACATCATCAAAACGCTTCTGCGCATGCATGCGCATGTGAGTGAAGCAAGCACGCGTGTGCGGCCCCGCTGAGAACCGGTGGTAAAGGTAAGTAGAACTCACCCCTGGTAGGAATGGATTTCCAGAGGAAAATTGCAGACTACAGGAACTAGGAGCACTACTCAGGTGACCCTAAGGACACAGATAAACCTCCAAGTGCTTCAACAAGAAGAGCCAAGAGACTTGGTGGCGCAGCGGACTAAAGTGCTGTTAATTAGCATTTAGCTGCCAGCTGCCTGCAATTACTGCGAGTTCAAATCTCACCAGGCTCAAGGTTGACTCAGCCTTCAATCCTTCCAAGGTAGGTAAAATGAGGACCCGGATTGTGGAGGCAATAAGCTGACTTTGTATAAAAAAGAACACCGCTTAGGAGGGGCCAAAAGTCCTACTAAGCAGATATATACAAAAGTATGAAGGCTATTGCTTAATGCGTGATAAGCCGCCCTGAGTCTCTGGAGAAGGGCAGCATATAAATCGAACCAATAAATAAATAAATAAACAACCCTTTAAAAGGATGCAAATGACCAGCTAACTGCAAGGAATATAAATCCTTCCATTCTCCACTATCCTGTCAGAGCTAAAGAAGCTTCTTGGATGAAAGTGAAATGTCTTCAAAGAAAAACCAGAAAGTCCAGTTGCCTCTTGAAAAAGCACCTTTGGGACATCTACACCTGAAGCCCTTAAAAACAGAAGAACACTGACATCCCCTAAACTCCGTTGAAGATGTTACCTAGCTTGATAACGAAACATTCAGAAACCAACCCACCAGCTCAGAGAATGAACCTTCACCCTCATTCCTTCTTATTTCCAGATTGAGTCTTCCTCTGATGAACTTTAGTGCTGCTGGGCCTCTGCTGCAGTCATGTGATGCTCATTTTGAACATTCTGTGACAGTTTCCCAGCCACTCTCACAATCCCTCACTTCCTTCCCCCATCCAGCAGCAGCCACTTACTAGCCTGCTTGGAAGGAAAGTAGGAAAGGAGGGAGGAATATGGAGATAGGGAAGGCAGGCTAGGGTTGCCAGGTCTGCTTCCAAAAAATAGCGGACAAGCGGGGGAGGGGGGGTTTAAGTAGTAAAAATTAAAAAAAATTACAATTAAATTATATATTTTCTTACAAACATTTTAACACATATTAAAATAATCACTTCAAAACTTTACTTAAAATTCAAAACATCAAATATATTATAATAATAATATGTAAAATATTAAATTACATTTTAATTTCATCATAAAGCTTTTGAATAAAAAAAATGTCCACTATTTTGTGAAAAAAAATAGTGAACATAATGTGAAAAAAACGGACTGTCCGCTCAAATAGTGGACACCTGGCAACCATAAGGCAGGCAGGAAGATTTCTAATGCTCCCTGTCAATTTCCTACAAGGAAAGTCAATGGGGAATCCGGCAGGAAATCAGAAGTTGCTTCCACACCCATTGCTTTTTTGCCCACTCATGGTAATTCTGTTTCTCTGTTTAGATAAGGAAATATCTCTGAAACAATGACCCAACAGGGCACATGTTCAGAGGTGGGTTTCAGCAGGTTCTGACCAGTTCTGGAGAACCGGTAGCGGAAATTTTGAGTAGTTCGGAGAACTGGTAGTAAAAATTCTGACTGGCCCCGCCCCCATTTGTTCTTTGCCTCCCAAGTCCCAGCTGATCAGGAAGAAATGGGGATTTTGCAGTAATCTTCCCCTGGATTGGGGAGGGATGGAGATTTTCAAGTATCCTTCCCCCGGAGTAGGGTGGGAATGGAGAATTTACAGTATCCTTCCCCTGCCATGCCCACCAAGCCACTCCCACCAACTCATGCCATGCCACGCCCACCAAGCCACACCCACAGAACCGGTAGTAAAAAATTTGAAACCCACCACTGCACATGTTATCTAGTGTTTGAACTAGTATGGAATATAGAGGTGTGCACCTTGGTTGGGGGGGAGAGGCTCACTGACTATCTCCCCTCAGACAGTAAAATCTCTTCAAGGTAACCTTATCTTAAGCAAAGTTCTGAAGAGATGACTATAAAATAAGAAAGCAAGCAATATTGGTTTCTGCTCTTATGTTCACACACCATTTTTTTTTTCTTGGCCTAAACAGAGATTCCATCCATTGGCGTCCGTGTTTCAAATCGAGATGAAACTTCTTTCCGCCTGGAGTGGAACTACCCTGAAATTTCTGTGGACGGATATGAGATCCATGTGGCACCCAAGGTAACAAGATACACCTTGGGGCAATGTGCTTGGGCAACAGAAGTGGAGAATCCAACTTGTGCTGCCTTCCAAATGTATAACTCCCAGCAGCCCCAGGCGGTGTGACCAGGGAGAATGCTGGTAGCTGTAGTTCCTCAATATCTGGGTTCAGCCAGAACTCATTTCTATTCATCGTAGTGCCTACTATAAGAAAATGATTGGGATTTTTTTTTAGGCTACTAAAGGCCACTCCACTCAGCCTGGCTGTCCATTTCTGGAGGGCACAGCTGGAAATTGTGGTCCTTTATGTGGCCCCAGCTCTCCTCAAACACATTTTCTGTTTGTGTTTTCCTGATCTGCATGAAAATATGATTTTACAGCTTGTGTCCGCTCAAATTGTGCTCTCTACTTTGCTTGTTGCACTTAATTTCATATTGGCAGGAATATCCTCTGTGTGTGTATGTGCGTAGGAGAGAGGGAGGGAGGGAGGAGTCAAGATGGCAACCATTAGTACATGATCACAGATCTGCCCTTTTCAATGTGAATCACCAAGTAATGTACATTAAAAATAGCTACCTACTTTTCCAATGCATTTTTAAATTTTTGATCAATGCATCATTGAAATACAGAAGGGATGGATTTAGCTCAGTCTCAGGTTCGTTCATTCATTCATTCATTCATCAAGTTCCTATGGCTGCTTACCTTCCAGTGGAATTCTGGGTAGTGAATGCGGAAATAGCACAAGCATCAATTGAGAGAACCACATTGAGGCTCCACAAAACCTTATGCATTTGGCTTCTTTGAAACTGGGGTTAAATCCCTGTCTCTCAAAATGATGAAATAGTTCCGTGATGGCAAACCTATGGCATGCGTGCCACAGGTGGCACACGGAGCCATATCGGTGGGCACACGAGCTCAGCTCCGGCGTGCCTGCCAGCTGATTTTTGCGTCTTCTGGGCCCATCAGAAGTAGGGAAATAGGCTGTTTCCGGCCCCCAGAGGGCCTCCACGGGATGGGGAAAGCCGTTTTTCCCTCCTCAGGCTCCTAGAGAAGCTCTGGAGCATGGGGAGAGCAAAAAATGGGCCTACTGGGCCCACCATGTCATCTTGTGCCAAAAGTGGGGGGAGCGCGGGGGGTCATGCACACATGCGCAGGGGGTGGGGCACATATAATTATGGGTGTGAGCACACACGCACGTGACACCCCCCACGCTCCCCCTGCCTTTGGCACGCGATGGCAAAAAGGTTAGCCATCACTGAAATAGTTAATCAGTGAATTGGGGAGAGGGGGCAGAAGCAGTAAATGAGTAGCTCCAGGAACGTCACTGCCAGCTTTTGAATCAGCAGCTCTGCATGTCAGGCAAAGTTCATAACCGCTCTGCTACTGAAGCAATAGCAATAAGAATAGCACTTAGACATATATACTACCTCACAGTGCTTTACAGCACTCTCTAACAGTAGTGGGATTCAATTTCGGTCACTACCAGTTTGATCATGGGTGCGCGTGGGTGCGCATTTGGGCGCGCCGCTTCTGCACATGCGCAGAGACGTCCGGACAGGTAGGCGGAGCCTCCAGGGCAAACCGGTAGCAACCCACTACTGTTCTCTAAGCTGTTTACAGAGTCAGCATATGTCCCCTAAACAGGGTGCTTAGATCTGGCCTGTGGGGAGCCCTGGAAACAGCAAAGGACTGACCTGCGGTACCTCTGCCAGCGAAAACAGAGCTCGGGAAGGCCGTGTGAGGCTCTCCCGAGCACCGTTTTTACTGACAGAGAGTTGCCGGAGGTTATCGCAGCCCATTTGCACTGGCAGAGCTCTCGAGCCACCACGGGAACCCCCAACACGAGTGACGTCGAGCTGGCCACGCCCATCCTGGCCACGCCCACCCCGGTTCCCCAAGGTCAAACACAGTCCTGATGCGGCCCTCCATGAAATCGAGTTTGACACCCCTGCTCACGAGTATCTGTATGTTGTGTGGTAGCACTCTGTCTTTTTTCTTTTCCAACCTGCAGAAGGATCCTCGAGCGGGCGAATCCATTCACCTGTCTGGCACCGAAAGGCTCTTTGAATACAAAGGATTAAAGCCGGGGGAGGAATACACAGTCACCGTTCGGGTAGAAAAAGGGCAACACTACGGACCCCCTGTCACCCAGACCGTGCGTACGCGTATGTAGTCTGAAGCCGTGACTCCATTTCTGTCCGTCTCCCGCATTCTCCATTGTTTTCCCCCTCGTTGAACTGTTCATGTTCATGCAAATTCCGTTCTTCTTGTCAAGCAGGAAATCTAGGTCTGGTCTATTCTCTCTAAGTCACACGTTTATTCAGATCTGGTCAAAAATGGGTCCTCACATAAAGCTGGAAGAACCCAAAACGATTTATTCAGCATGCTTTTATACTTTATGTGGTTACCCAAGCAGGAAAACAGCCGTTTGCTTGTAACTAGATAAAAAGCAGAAGTTGCTACAATATCATTGCTTGCCCGGTATATTTCAGGCACCTTGTTAATTACACAATACAGCCTCTTTATGCATAAGCAGTCCATTTTATTTATGAATTATAGGTAGACCTCGACTTATGACCACAATTGAGTTGTTAAGTGAGAAATGCGTTAAGTGAATTTTGCCTCACGTTACAACTTTTCTGCCTATATTTGTTAAGTGAATCACTGCAGCTGTTAAATTAATAACACAGTTGTTAGGTGAATCTGGCATCCCCATTGACTTTGCTCGTCAGAAGGCCACAAAAGGGGATCACTGCAACCGTCATGAACCAGTTGTCCCGCATACGAATGTACAGGTCATTAAGTGAATCATGCAGTCGTTAAGCAAAGCCAGTTGACCTTTTGATTTTGCTTGTCAGAAGCTGTCTGAGAAGATTGCAAGTGGCAATCACGTGATTCCCCAGGATGCTGCAACAGTGTAATTACACGCCGGTTGCCAAGCGACAGAATCATGATCACATGACTGTGGAGGGGGGGTCACTGCGACAGTCATATATGCAAGGACTGGTCATACATCACTTCTCTCAGTGCCATTGTCATTTGAATGGATGCTAAATACAGTAGAATAGAATAGAATAGAATTCTTTATTGGCCAAGTGTGATTGAACACACAAGGAATTTGTCTTGGTGCATATGCTCGTGGTGTACATAAAGAGACAAGATACATTCGTCAAGAATCATAAGATACAACCAGGGGTAGGTTCTACTTACCTTTACTACTGGTTCGCAACAGGGCCACACGCGCAGAATGACGTCATCATTTTGATGACGTCAGGGTCAGTGGGCGGAGCCTCCCGCCGGTTTTACTATCGGTTCTATAGAACTGGTGCGAACCGGGGGCAACCCACCACTGGGTACAACACTTAATGATAGTCATAGGGTACAAATAAGCAATCAAATCATTTTAGGAAACAGTCAATATAAATCATAAGGATACAAGCAACAAGGTTACAGTCATACAGTCATAAGTGGGAGGAGATGGGTGATAGGAACAATGAGAAGATTAATAGCGGTGCAGACTTAGTAAATAGTTTGACAGTGTTGAGGGAATTATTTGTGTAGCAGTGATGTCATTTGGGAAAAAAATGTTCTTGTGTCTAATTGTTCTGGTCTGCAGTGCTCTATAGCAGTGGTCCCCAACCCCCGGTCCGCGGACCGGTGCCAGGCCGTGGAGTACCTGGCACCGGGCCGCGCAGCGGCCGGGGGACATGAACGCTGCAGCGCAAAGGCTCCTGGGCCGTGCGCAATGGGCCGTGCGCAAAAGCTCCTGGGCCGTGCCCCCACCCCTGCGCGTGCTCAGCGGGCCGCGGCGATAAAAAGGTTGGTGACCACTGCTCTATAGAATCATTTTGAGGGTAGGAGTTGAAACAGTTTATGTCCAGGATGCAAGGGGTCCCCAAATTTGGTTGTAAGTCAAGGATTTTCCTGTAATACTAGAATGCTTTTTTCCCTCTCATTTTTTGTAAATTCTTTATGCAATTTTTAGATTTTGCCAGATTTCAATGTGTTCTTTTTTCTTCCTCTTTCTTTCTATTTCTCCCCCCGCCATTTTTATTCTCCAAATATCATTATAAATAAATAAAAAGAGTGAACATCCTCATTAAGGTCCTGATTGGACCTGTTCTAATCATCTATAAAATTAGTAAGAGGGAAAAATGCATTAAAATGGATTTAAGAGGAGGTAAATCAGGCCATTATTGAATAATGGTTTATATCTCCCAGTTTGTTATATTATGTTCTCTGCATTTGATCCTTACTTGCATTAAATAGCTGCAGCTCCTGTTATTCCTTGTTTAGGAATAACTAGTCTGGGATGCAAGAGTCGTAATGTCTGTGGAGATTCTCAGTCATCCAAGTCATGTTTGTTCCAAATGTGTTTTTTTTTTTCAAAAGACAACTGGACTTTCTTTGTTTTTCCCTGAAGATGTTTTGCTTCTTATCCAAGAAGCTTCTTCAGTTCTGACTGGTGGAGAATGGAAGCTTTTGCAACACAGTCCTTTCAGCGGTTCCAAGAAGGTTCCACACCTATTTGCGCTATTCAGGTGACCCTGAGGTAAACCTCCAAGTGGCCTCAATGACTCTCTGAAAGCGTGCTAACAACCAGATAACTGCAAGGAATATCAATCCTTCCATTCTGCATCGTTTGGTCAGAACTGAAGAAGCTTCTTGGATGAGAAGTGAAACATCTTCAAGGAAACCAAAATAAAAAAGTCCAGTTGCCTCTTGAAAAAAGCACCTTTGAGACAAGGGTCTTGATGACCACTAGATGGCAGCAAATATCTATACTATTTTTTTTTCTAGCTCTTTGCTACCATTTTGATTTTACAGGCCAGATGTGGTACCCCTACTCTTATTTACTCCTTTCGTTAACAAGCCCATCTCTTTCCACCTCCAGTTGTTCCCTACCCTTATTCCCACTCCCATTGCAACATTTTGTGTTTCATGTATCTCTTCCTTTTCCCCAGGAGTGGCTCCTCCCACTGGTCTGCAGTCACCACAAGTGTCAGGAAACTCCTTGACCTTGCAATGGGAACCACCTACCTCCCGCCCTGATGGCTACATCCTCAGCTACATCCCTCTGGTTTCCACTCGACCTGTTCAAGCCATGAAACGTATAGAGCTGCCCGCAGCCCCTGAGCGGGTCACCCTGGAAGACCTGGAGAGCAGAACGCGATACCGCATCACCTTGGTTGCCCGTCAGAGTGGTGAGAACAGCCGAGCCACCAGCATTGTGGTCAGCACCACAGGTAGATCACTAGTGTCTTGACTACCTCGGTCTAGAACCGTGATGGCGAACCTATGGCATGCGTGCCAGAGGTGGCACGCAGAGTCCTCTCCGTGGGCACACGCACTGTCACCAGCTGCTCTTCTGGTTTCCGGCACTGGCCGGCTGGTCTTCACCTGAAAACGGCCTGAAAAATGGCCAAAAAAGAGGCCGTTTTCCGGCCTGTTTTGGGGCCTTTCTTCGGGACAAAAATGGCCAGAAAACGGCCCGGAAAACAGCCAGAAAACGGCTGGAAAAATAGCCAAAAAACAGGCATACATGTGCCAGCCAGTTGGTCTTTGGGTTTCCGGTACTCTGGTGCACACATATGCACGCAAATGCACACATGTTCTGGTTTGGGCACTCGGTGCCAAAAAGGTTCTCCATCATTGCTCTAGAACTTCCTTTTGTCTGGAAATGTCTGTCGAGATTCTCAATCATCTAGGTTGTCCCAAAGGTGCTTTTTCTGAAAGGCAACTGGATTTTCTTGGTTTTTTTTTTTTCCCTTTGAAAACATTTTGCTTCTCATTCAAGAAGCTTCTTCAGTTTTGACTGACTGGTGGGGAATGGAAGGATTTATATTCTTTGCAGTTATTTGGTCATTAGCACTTAAATATGAGTCAGTAGCGTGCAGCGGCAGCCAAAAAAGCCAGCGCAATCCTAAATTGCATTAACAGAGGAATACAATAAAGTTCAAGTGAGGTACTAATACCACTTTATAAAGCCTTAGTAAGACCACACCTAAAATGAAAATGAACTGGGCTGCTATCTAGGGCACAGAATACTGAATCGTGCATGTTGGGCTAATTGGATCTTTATGTGAAGTGACCAGCACCTCAGAGATTTATTTATTTATTTATTTATTTCCATTTCTATACCGCCCTTCTCCAAACAGGACTCAGGGCGGTGAACAGCCAAAGTAAAAAACAGAACATACAAAATTTAAAAACAGTTTAAAATAATTAAATATTTTGGCCGTAAATTAAAACAACCCAATTTAAAATCAATTTAAAATTTAACTCAAGCCAGCCCAGCTAGTTGAAATAAATAGGTTTTCAGGGCCCGACGAAAAATCTGGAGGTCTGTTATTGTACGTATCTCTGGGGGGAGGCTGTTCCAGAGGGTAGGCGCCACCACAGAGAAGGCTTTCTCCCTGGGGGTCGCCAGCCGACATTGTCTGGCGGACGGCACCCTGAGGAGGCCCACTCTGTGCGAGCGTACTGGCCGGTGGGAGACTATTGGTGGCAGAAGGCGGTCTCGTAAATACCCCGGCCCTAACCCATGGAGCGCTTTAAAGGTGGTCACCAACACCTTGAAGCGCACCCGGAAGACCACCGAGAGCCAGTGCAGCTCGTGCAGGAGAGATACTACCCCAAATGATAGCTATGTGTTGAGTTCTCCCCATCTGGTGACCATGTGATGAGAAATAACCAATACCAGGGCTTAAAAAGGCAGAGGAAGGCACAACATTATATAATATCATAGATGTCCAAATGTGTGGACTTCAACTCCTAGAATTCCTCACTCAGCCATACTGGCTAAAGAATTCTGGGAGTTGAAGCCCACATATCTTAAAGTTGCCAAGGTTGAAAAACACTGCTTTTAAGCGATATTGATTTGGGGCAGAATTTTAAGAATATTTGTTCTCCAGAGTACAATTTTTCTGTCCCAAATTTTTCTGTAACAGCATCCTTGATCCTTGATTCTCTAGGCTAACCTAGAATCTTTGGCCTTCAGTTTCACAGCTTCCCACAAAGATATTTATGTTTTATAGTTCTGTGAACTAAATTAGCAGCCCAGATTGTTCAGCATCCTTAGAAAAATCATTCTTCCATTGTTTGGTCAATAATGGCTCATTTAAGCTTTATTTGCATTGCAGGGTGTGTTGAAACGACCAGAAATAAGTGTGAAAGGATTAGTGAAAAGGGTTTCTGCATTCTTTCACCATGGAAGCCTTTCCTCATAGTTACATTACCTTTTTTCTACTCTTTTTTTAAGTCTTCGTTTTTTCCCCTTCCTTCAACAGTTATGATTGCAATGCCTTTTCTTTATTTGAACTTCCTCTATGTAATCCACAGATCTCTGAAAAACAGACCACGGGAGTTTCCTGGATGCAATGTATAAAAAGACCAACACTAACTCCATCTGTTTTTATTGCAGCTTTGAGGAAATTCAGGATCGGCAGCATGGATAAGTCACCAAGTCTAACTTTTGTAGTGGGATGTGCCAATCTAAACAGTGCATTCAGAAAGTATTCAGAGCCCCTTCGCTTTTGTCAATTTTGCTATGCTGCAGCCTGATTCTACAGTTGTCGAACTTCGTTTTTCCCCTTCATTGATCTACATTCAGTACCCCATCATGACAAAGTGAAAACAGAATTTTAAAAATGTCAGTAAATTTATTAAAAAGAAAAAAAAATTGAAATGCCTTTCCAAATCACATCCAAATGATTTAATTTACCACAGGTGGACTCCCTTCAAGGTGTAGAAACATGCTACCAAAGATCAAGAGAAATGGGAGGAATCTGAGTTTCACGTGTTGTTGCAAGGGGTCTGAATACTTATGCCAATATGATATTTCAGTTTTTTTTCTTTTTAATAAATGTACAGACGTTTCTAAAATTCTGTTTTCACTTTGTCATGATGCGGTACTACTGAATGTAGATTAATGAGGGAAAAATGAATTTCAACAACTGTAGAATCAGTCTGCAGCAGTGGTGAAATCCAATTTTTTTTACTACTGGTTCTGTGGGCGTGGCTTGGTGGGTGTGCTGTGGCTTGGTGGGTGTGGTTTGGTGGGCATGGTAGGAGAAGGATACTGCAAAATTTCCATTCCCACCCCACTCCAGGGGAAGGATGATGCAAAATCTCCATTCCCACCCCATTCTGGGGTCAGCCAGAGGTAGTATTTGCCGATTCTCTGAACTACTCAAAATTTCCGCTACCAGTTTTCCAGAACCTGTCAGAACCTGCTGGATTTCACCCCTGGTCTGCAGCATAACAAAATTGACAAAAGTGAAGGGGGTCTGAATACTTTCTGAATGCCCAATGGTGGGGAAATTAAAAAGCTAGGTTAAATAGCTAGCATACAGGTAGTCCTCGACTTACAGCCGCAGTTGAGCCCAAAATTTCTTATTGCTAAACGAGACAGTTGTTAAGTGATTTGTGCCCCATTTTACAGCCTTTCTTGCCACCGTTGTTAAGTGAATCACGGCACTTGTTAAGTTAGTAACCCAGTTGTTAAGCGAATCTGGCGTCCCCATTGATTTTGCTTGTTGGAAGGTCACCCCAAAAAATGATCACATGACCCCGGGACACTGCAACTGTCATAAATATGAGTCAGTTGCCAAGCGTCTACATTTTGACCACGTGACCATGGGGATGTTGCAACAGTCATAAATGTGAAAAATGGTCCTAAGTAAGTCCTTTTTTTCAGTGCCATTGTAGATTACACACTGACACTAAACGAACTGTTGTAAGTCAAGGACTACCTGTATTTCTAGTCGATAGCCATACATCTCACCTCCATGACTTGTTCCCGCTGAGTACTTTGCCATAACCTCCTGCATTTTCAATCCCACCAGCACCAGCTCCAATTCAACCAAGTCGCAACTACTTGACACCACCCCCCTCTTCCCATAAAAAGCCAGACACTCCCTCTTCTGAGCCTGAAGAGAAGAAACCAGGCACTAAACCACATCCGCGTCGCCGCCCCACCAACACCACCTTATTGACTAAGGAGCACTTCCTGAAGAGAATGACCCAGAATATCTCATCCAAACTGTCCCCATACAACGGGACCCTCCTAGAGCGGCTTGAGAGCTACCTCCGAGCCATCAATTTCCCTCTCCGAGGCAACCAGACAATCCAGAGCGTGGCCAGGGACATCTACCTCTACCTCAAACGGATGAAGCCCATCGAATTTCAAGAGAGGGTTGAAGAACGTCTCGTCCAAGAAACCAGCAACTTGCCTCTGAAAAGGGAATTCCCAATAACCGAAGCAGAGAGTGTCTATTCAGATGGATACCTCCGTCCGGACCATGCCAAGCCAACGGTGGTGACCAGCTCCCCAGACCACATTGAGGTGTCTTTGGACAGCGTGAGGGGGATCTCTGACCATGTGGTCATCCGCTACCGAAACATGGTGACTGGAGAAAGAAAGGAGTTGGTGGTCCCTGGGGATGCTTCCACGGCGACCATCACCGGATTGTCACCTGGGACAACCTACTTGATGGAAATTCATGGTGTCATGAAAGGACATTCCTCTAAGTCATACTCCTTTATAACTGCCACAGGTACCAGCCGTCCACCATGGCAGTTTTCTCTCTCCTTTTGCCTATAATAGTCGCATCACATGCCTTGTTTGTGTTGTTGCAAAGTCGAGCTTCTGCAGCACCCACACATGGCCAAATATGTAATCACACGTTGCTTTCACGTCCTTCCCAAAGTTGCTTGGATGGTAGGCTGCTGACTATTTTCCTCCCTTAAAAGAAAGGCTTTCTTCTTCGCCATATTGCTTTCACGCAGACGTCGCAACCTCCACCAGCTAATTTCTTCTCCAAGCCAAAATGCGCCTTTATTTGCTGCTCCAAAGTTTGTTTGATCTGTTCTAGTTTTGCTACACGCCACTTCTTATAGCCAAAGTGTTTCCCATCCATCTTTTCTATGTTGTCCAGAGTTCCTCTGACGTCTACTTGCAAACTATGGGATGTTTTTCCACACAATCACATGAAGGATTTTATTAGAATTGTGGATGATAACATATGTAAAGAGCTTAGAGAACACAGAGAAGTGACTGAAATATACTGAATTATTTCTTAATAATTTAAAACCTGACTTTCTTCTGAAGACATTCCCATTTTTATCCTTACAGTGATCCTGAGAAAGAATAATTTCTTCAATATCACCCCACAGCAGCCCCTGTCTGTTATATATAAATTTACGTCCAATATTCTCCTGATTTACTGAAAGGTTTTACACAATTTGGCAAAACATTTCTCAATATGTTGGCTCACATAGATACAAGCGAAAGCCAGGGTTTGTCAAAACTGAAGAGATCAAAATCAGACCATCAAAACATTCACGTGTGGGTGTTGAAATCATGCTGAAAATTATCTTTGGGTAGCGCATTGTCCTGGTCTTATATGTTATTTGAATCTCCTGTCTTATATGTTATTTGAATTTTTAACACGCCACTCGCTTTCTTTTCAGCCACAGTCAGGTGCTGATAGTTGTTCAAGTGAAGTCTGTTTGTGTTTTTAATCACTTTAATCTTTCAGGCTTCCAGTTCTTGCCTTGATGTTATATTTATGTGGCTGAAAACTTTCTTTTCAGCTTCCGTTCCAGCAATGTTGGCTTTCAGTGTCAAGCCAGTTTATGTCGTTGCTCTGCTATTGTTGCCACTGCTGCTGTTGCCACCACCTTCACACCTCCAAACCACAACCTCCAAGTGTCTGTCTTGCCGTTTAGCTGGGATTTCTAGGTTTTTATTTTCCGAAATGAAGGGAACCTAAGATCAGCTCTGATACATGTCTGGCTAGCATACCTCTCTGTTGAACTGAACCTTAGGGCTGATTCCCACAATATTGTCAGGCAGCTTCTACCTCCCACTGTGTTGAGTGAACTATCACAGTGAGCCATAAAATGGATGACAGATAGTCCATGAGTTACTACCACAATAGAGTCTGCCTATCACGGTTATAATTTGTGACGGTTGTAAAGAGGATCCATCACGTGACAAATTCGATGTTACTACCATTTGTGCGGTGATCGTTAAGTAAACATTGGGCGCAGTTTTGCCAAAATTGGAAGTAAAATGTCACGTTTGGGCAAAACCGATGTAAAATAGGGACAATTAGGACATTAGGACAAAAGGGGACATTAGGATATTAGGACTAAGGTGCTTTAAGTAAAATCCACAAAGTAGAGAAATATGCTAGCCAGACAAACTAAGGGAGGAAGTTGATGAAACTTTAAAAAAAAAATCTGATTCCCTCACCTCAAATCTCTTTTCCTTCAGCTCCAAGTTCACCAACAAATGACAAGATCCAAACCATCTTCCCATCCACCTCAACTCCCGAAGATCCACTGAAGAACCTACAAGTGACCGAAGTTTCTCCAAACCAGCTCCGTGTGACATGGTCAGCCCCACCCGATTTCTTCCACAAGTTTTCCCTCTACTATAGGGACCCCAAATCTGGGGCACCTCCCCAAAAAATCAGCATTCCAGGGACAGAGAGAAGTGTCGACTTAATGGATTTGCACCCTGGTACGGATTATGAAATAGAGTTGCACGGAGAGAGACCTGGTGGAAGCTATAACGCCCCCTTCTCAACAAAAATAATTACAGGTACCCTCACTATCTTCCTTGAATTCGTCAAGTTCTAACTGACATTTTGATTTTTGTTCTATTCCAGATGTCCTTTTTCCAGCAAAGATGATGATAGAATGTATATTTCTGATGTGATGGAAGGACATTGCCTGAGCCACCGACCATTGCGTTTCATCTGTGTCCTGATGCACTCTGTGTCATTGCTCATGATTCTGACTCCCACATAGAACATAGAGTAAAGGAGTTGGAAGGGACCTTGGAGGTCTTCTAGACCAACCCCTGGCCCATGGCAGGAGATCTTATGCTACCGGTAGTCCTCGACTTACAACAGTTAGCATCCCCCATGATCATGTGATCAAAATTTGGACCCTTGGCAACTGGTTCATATTTATGACCTTTGCTGTGTCCCGGAGTCACGTGATCCCATTTTGTGACCTTCTGACAAGCAAACTTCTGAGTAACACCCCCAACGAAAGAAGACTCCGAGGCTTGAAGTTCCTCAAAGTTCCGTTTTATTAGAGATGTCATATTGGCATATCTGGGAAAACCCGAATCTGAAAGCTTCCAGGTTTTCCCCACCCAAAGGAAAGTCCAAGTCCCTGCCCAGCACCCACAAGTCCATCACACGAACCAATCAAGCACCGTCCCAACTGGAGATGCCTCCCAGTTCCAGCCCTCCAGAGGCAGGGCAAGATGTCCTTGACTCTCTGAGAAAGGAATGTTCTTATGACTGTATATCACCTTGCTCCATCCAATCCCCACTCCCAGTTTTCCACAGTAGTAAATGTGGCAGGCCTGAAGATCCAATGCAAAAGAGGGCTTCCAGGCCTGACAGTCAGTGGAGAAACAGATTCATTTCACAACCATGTTACTAAGTTAACAACTGCAATGACTCACTTAACCACTGAGGCAAGAAAAGACGTAAAATGAGGCAAAACTCAGATAACCAATGTCTCACTTAACAAGAGAAATTTTGGGCTCCATTGTGGTTGGAAGTCAAGGAGTACCTGTATTATGGACCAATGGCTGTCCAGGCTTTTCTTGAAAACATGCAGTGATGGAGGATTCATTTGCTGGGTGAGAAGGCCCAATTCTGTTTTGATTCAGCTTCAAAGTGACCCTTTGGAGATCTAGAAGCACCCAAAGAGCAATGGGGCCAAATAAACTTTTTCCTCCATCAGAGCTTTTTTTTTAATGAACACACTACAGGTAGTCCTTGACTTACGACCCCAACTGAGCCCAAGATTTCTGTTGCCAAGTGAGACAGTTGTTAAGTAAGATTTTCGCCCCATTTGACGACCTTTCTTGCCACTGTTGTTAAGTGAATCACTGCAGTTGTTAAGTTAGTGACACGGTTGTTAAGTGAATCTGACTCCTCCAGTGACTTTGCTTGTCAGAAGCTCACAAAAGGGGATCACAGGACCTTGGGATGCTATAATCATCATAAATACATGCCAGTTCCAAGCATTCAAATTTTTGATCATGTGGCCATTTATTTATTTATTTATTTATTTATTTAATTTGTATACCGCCCTTCTCCCAGAAGGGACTCAGGGCGGTGAACAGCCAAAATTAAAAAACATACAAATGCAAAAGTTAAGATAATTAAAAAGAATTAAATCACTGGCTACCCAATTTAAAACCCCAAATCCATAAAATTTAAAATCCCAATTAAAAACCATTTAGGCTAGGCCGGCTTGATGAAATAAAAACATCTTCAGGGCTTTACGGAAGGTCCGGAGGTCCGGGATCAATCGTATTCCAGGAGGCAGCTCATTCCACAGGGCGGGTGCCCCCACAGAGAAGGCTCACCCCCTGGGGGCCGCCAGCCGACATTGCCTGACCGACGGCACCCCGAGGAGGCCCTCTCTGTGAGAGCGTATTGGCCGGTGGGAGGTTATCGGTAGCAGCAGGCGGTCTCGCAAATACCCTGGCCCTAAGCCATGGAGCGCTTTAAAGATGAGAACCAACACCTTAAAGCGCACCCGGAAGACCACCGGGAGCCAATGCAGCTCGCGCAGGAGAGGTGTTACGTGGGAGCGCCATGTCGCTCCCATAATCACCCGCGCGGCCGCATTCTGCACCAGCTGGAGCCTCCGGGTGCTCCTCAGGGGGAGCCCCACGTAGAGAGCATTGCAGTAGTCCAGGCGTGATGTAACCAAGGCATGAGTTACTGTGCACAAGGAGTCCCGATCCAGAAAGGGGCTCAACTGGCATATCAGGCGAACCTGATAAAAAGGCCCCTGGCCACGGCCGTCATATGCTCTTCTAAAGACAGCCGTGTGTCCAGGAGGACGCCCAAGTTGCGAGCCCCCTCTGTGGGGGTCAGTGACTCGCCCCCAATAGCCAGCAATGGCACCAGCTGGCTATACTGGGACCCCGGCATCCACAGCCTCTCGGTCTTGGAAGGGTTGAGCCAAAGCCTGTTCCTCCCCATCCAGACCCGCACGGCCTCCAGACACTGGGACATCACTTCGAGGGCATCATTGGGGTGGTCTGGGGTGGAAATGTACAGCAGAGTGTCATCAGCGTACAGATGGCATCGCACCCCAAAACCACAGATGATCTCACCCAGCGGCTTCACATAAATGTTGAACAGGAGCAGTGAGAGGACCGACCCTTGCGGCACCCCGCAAGCAAGGCGCCTCGAGGTCGACCTCTGCCCCCCTGCCAACACAGACTGCGACCGGTCAGAGAGATAGGAGGAGAACCACCGCAGCACGGTGCCTCCCACCCCCAATCCCTCCATCCGGTGCAGCATGATACCATGGTCGATGGTATCAAAAGCCGCTGAGAGGTCTAACAGGACCAGAACAGAGGAACAACCCCTGTCCCGAGCCCTCCAGAGATCATCCACCAATGCGACCAATGCCATCTCCGTGCTGTACCCAGGCCTGAAGCCGGACTGGCACGGATCTAGATAGACGGTTTCATCCAGGAACTGTGGGAGCTGTCGCGCAACCACACTCTCCACAACCTTCGCAACAAAGTGAAGGTCGGAGACCGGACGGTAGTTTGCCAAAACAGCCGGGTCCAGAGAAGGCTTCTTTTTTTTTTTTATTGAAAAGTTTTATGAAAAATACAAACATTTTCACCCCCCCACCCTTCCCCCCTCAACCCCCCCTCCCCTTCCCACCCTCCCTTCCCCTCCCTCCCCCCACCCCCCTCCCTAGACTTCCCAGAACGAGCACAGGGTATAGCATTCAGAAACCAAGAACTAAAATGTGCTAACAAATTATTACATTTCATATTCTCCCTAGGTCCTTAACTCCTTATAACTCAGAAAAAACAAACATAAACTACTTAATATTATTTCATTCATAAGCTATATGAATCTTCTTATTTGGATACTTCTTCTGTATGTAATCAATCCATTTTCTCCATTCCGATATATATCTCTCATTTGAATGGTCTTTAAGGTATGATGAAATTTTTGCCATTTCCGCCAAATGCACAACTTTTAATGTCCATTCCTCAATAGTAGGTGGATCTTCCTTCTTCCAATACTGTGCCACCAGTAACCTGGCAGCTGTTATTAAGTTCAAAACCAGCTTAGTCTCTATTACAGTACAATCCGTAACTATTCCAAACAGAAAAAACTGTGGTGTAAATTTAATTTTTTTCTTCAAAATATTTTGAATAATCCACCATATTTTTATCCAAAAAGCCTTAATCTTTTTACATGTCCACCATATATGAAAATATGTAGCATCTTCACACTCACATCGCCAACACTTGGGTTGTAAATTTGGATACATACAAGCTAGTTTTTTTGGGTCTAAATGCCATCTATAAAACATTTTGTAAAAATTCTCCCTTAAATTGTGTGCTTGTGTAAATCTTACATTTCTAACCCATATCTTTTCCCATGTTTCCATCATTATTGGTTCACCTACATTTTGTGCCCATTTTATCATACAATCCTTGACTAAGTCTGTTTCTGAATCTATTTCCAATAATGCATTGTACAACCTTTTTATGTGCATTTGACCTTCATCTCTTCCCCACCCCACCGGAGGCCCTCCAAAATGGCCCAATTGCCATTTCCGGGCAAAACGGGATGATCTATGCAGATACTCCCATCCTCAGAAAATAGCTAGTTGCTATAGTGGAGGAAATGGGCTTGTCTAGATGTCAAAAAGTTTGTGTATTTAGAATTGGGCATTATGAGATTCAGGAAGCACTGCCCTTGCTCTGAATTGAAGTTCTTTATCCTTAGATAAAGTTTCCATGTCAAGGAAAAAAAATTGGCACCAAAACCTCCTTAAGAGAAGGAAAAAAGGAAGGATAAAAACCTGAAAGCTAAATAACAGAATTCAGTTTCTACCTTCAAAATAATTCATGGATTAATTTTAACAGTTTATCTTTTTCATTAATTTCACTGTCCACATATTCCCTATAATTGGTTTTGCTGAATACAGATATTTTAGGGAATGCATAATTATTGATTTTGGCATCTTATTTACTGTCGTAGTGACTCATTATTTTGGCATAGGATGTTTTATACAGTTTAGCTCCTTAGCATGACTATTTATATAGGATACCTGAAACAAAACCAGTCTCTGCTCAAAATAATACCTGCTCAAAATAATACACATGTAGGTGCTATAGGTAATTCTACAATATTAACTGCAGAAAACAATTATGAAATTAAGTTTATTTTGAGATAGAACAGTTGAAGTTTTTCGGTAATTAACAATTGAGCTTCGGAAATCCAGATGTCAACATTTTTGTGTATTTTTCTTTCATTTAGTATAGGATCGGGAATATTATAATATTATTATTATTTTGATAACTTTGATAATAATAATAATATTATTATTATCAAATTTAGAGAGACCAAACATCTCACTCACAGAGTGACTCTAGAGATTTCCCGTTACTGATTCCCATGTAATAAACTGTCACATTTCAAAGGCTCAAAGATTCAAACTGCAATCAAAAGACAGACACACATACAGACAGAGAGATACAGGTAGTCCTTGACTTACAACCATTCCATTCGTGACTGTTGGAAGTTACAACAGCACTGAAAAGAGAGCCTTATGTCCATTTTTCACACTTAACATTGCAGTCTCCCCATGGTCATGGGATCAAAATTTGGGTGGTAGGCAACTGGAATGTATTTATGACGGTTGCTGTGTCCCAGGGTCATTTGGTCACCTTTTACGACCTCTTGACAAGCAAAGTCAATGGGAAAGCCAGATTCACTTAACAACCATATTACTAACTTGAAAACTGCATTGATTCATTTAACAACTGTGGTAAAAAAAAAAGGTCATAAAATGAGGCACAACTCAACTCACCTGACTAGCCAAGTTCAGCATGTTGTCTATATATGATATTTGCATCAGTACCTCACACTTAAAATTACAATAATATGGAATGGAATGGAATGGAATGGAATAGAATAGAATAGAATAGATTCTAAGTTCTGACTATTTATTTTATTTTATTTTATTTGTCAAGCATATATAAGATTACATATAAAAGTATAAACATGATTGCGAATACATGAAATGTATAGATATGATTATGAATACATGGGATGGTTATGAATAAAAGGGGACATTAGGACAATTAGGATTAGGACAATTAGGACATTAGGACAAAAGGGGACATTAGGACTAAGGTGCTTTCTCTAAAATCCACAAAGTAGAGAAATATGCTAGCCAGACTAACTAAGGGAGGAAGTTGATGAAACTTTTTTTAAAAAAAATCTGATTCCCTCACCTCAAATCTCTTTTCCTTCAGCTCCAAGTTCACCAACAAATGACAAGATCCAAACCATCTCCCCATCCACCTCAACTCCCGAAGATCCACTGAAGAACCTACAAGTGACCAAAGTTTCTCCAAACCAGCTCCGTGTGACATGGTCAGCCCCGCCCGATTTCTTCCACAAGTTTTTCCTCTACTATAGGGACCCCAAATCTGGGGCACCTCCCAAAAAAATCAGCATTCCAGGGACAGAGAGAAGTGTCGACTTAATGGATTTGCACCCTGGTACGGATTATGAAATAGAGTTGCACGGAGAGAGACCTGGTGGAAGCTATAACGCCCCCTTCTCAACAAAAATAATTACAGGTACCCTCACTATCTTCCTTGAATTTGTCAAGTTCTAACTGACATCTTGATTTTTGTTCTATTCCAGATGTCCTTTTTCCAGCAAAGAAGATGATAGAATGTATATTTCTGATGTGATGAAGGACATTGCCTAACCCACCGACCATTGCGTTTCATCTGTGTCCTGATACACTCTGTGTCATTGCTCATGATTCTGACTCCCACATAGAACATAGAGACCTACAGAGACCTATAGGGACCCCAAATCTGGGGCACCTCTCCCCCCCAAAAAAATCACCTTGCTCCCCTCCCAGTTTCCCACAGTAGTAAATTATTAGCAAGAATAGAAGAATATGGGAGGGTAGCCAGACTTAAAATTAATAAACAAAAAACCTTAACGAAAAAGCTTACAAACCAACAAGAGAAGGAGCTAGAAGATAAAATGGGAATACAAATGACAAAGAAGGTAAAATCCTTAGGAATATGGCTCACCAATAAAGTATCGTCGATTAGAGAAGATAATTACATTAAACTGACAAGACAGATAAAAAAGGATTTAGAAATTTGGACTAAGTTACAACTATCCTTTCTTGGAAAGATTGCCTCGATTAAAATGAACGTACTACCTAGAATTTTATATCTGTTTCAAGTAATTCCGATAAAACTGGGGAAGGATTTCTTCAAAGACTTTAACAAACTGATTGCAAACTACATCTGGCAGGGGAAGAAAGCAAGGATCAAAATAAAGCACCTACAGGACACAAGAGAGAGAGGAGGACTAGCACCACAGGACTTGGAGATGTACTATAAAGCAACATCACTGATTTGGATTAAGGACTGGATAGAACTCAAAAATAAAAGAATACTAACATTAGAAGGTTTTGACTTACAAAGAGGATGGCATGCATTTGTGTGGGAGGGAAAAGATAAACAAAATGGATATTTCCAACAACATATCATTAGAGAAGCACTGTTTCAAACCTGGCGGGAGATTAAAAAAACACACTATGATAAAATACCGGAATGGCTATCGACTATGGAGGCACAGATTTACCCCAACGCTATGGACATTGATAAAACGAAAACTTATAAAGATCTATGAAACAACCAAGGGGAATTAAGATCAAGGCAAGAATTGAAAGAAATGGGTAGACATTGATTGGTGGCCGTATTTACAAATAAAATCTAGGTATAAGATAGATTCGGTACAATTTGGATTCCAAAAAGGGCCATATGAATTAGACAAAATTTTACAAGGAAATGATAAATTGATAACAAAAATTTATAATGACTTATTAAGATATAAATTAGAAGAAGAAGTGGTTAAAGAAAATATGACAATTGGGGCGAAAAATTTCAGATGTAACATTGAATTGGAAAAATGGGAAAAATTATGGAATATAAATTATAAACTAACAATGTCTGTATCCTACAAAGAGAACATGTAGAAAATGTTCTATAGGTGGCACCTCCCGCCAGCTCAATTAGCAAGAATGTTCCCGATCACCTCCCCAACATGTTGGAAATGCAAGCTTCAAAAAGGAACTTATTACCATATGTGGTGGTCTTGTCAGAAAACAAAACAATTTTGGCAAATGATTAGAATACAAATAGAGGAAATCATACACCAAAAAATTGAAATGAGGCCAGAAACATTTTTATTAGGAATAATTACAGGGCAATATGAAAAAGAAATAAAATATTTAATTATCCATATATTAACGGCAGCACGAATCCATATATTAACGGCAGCACGGCAGCATCCAATTCTGCCCAGAATTGGAAGAATAACAATACACCAACAGAAGATAAAATAATTAGTAAAATTATGGAATGTGCAGAAATGGACAAACTTACAAAAGAAATACAGGAAAAAGAGGAATAGGACTATTACCTAGTATGGCAGAAATGGTATGACTGGTTGGAGAGCAAGAAAGAAAAAAGATAAAGATATAAATAAGAAGACAAAAATTATATATAAGAAATTAGGTACCATTTAAGGAAAATAGTGAATTAAATATGTAGATTAAGAAAAGATAAAGAGAGGATGTATTAGGAATATAGATACAAGAGATACAGTAGAAAAAAATAGAGAAAAGGTATAAATATAAATACAGATCACCGATACGATAAACTTGAAAAGAAGATGTAAAGATTTGATTTATGTTTATTTGTTTTGTATGTTTTGTTGTGGTTTGTATGTTTGTTTGTACTTTTTAATAATAAAAATAGTAAAAAAAAATTCTGATTCCCTCACCTCAAATCTCTTTTCCTTCAGCTCCAAGTTCACCAACAAATGACAAGATCCAAACCATCTCCCCACCTGCCTCAACTCCCGAAGATCCACTGAAGAACCTACAAGTGACTGAAGTTTCTCCAAACCAGCTCCGTGTGACATGGTCAGCCCCGCCCAATTTCTTCCACAAGTTTTCCCTCTACTATAGGGATCCCAAATCTGGGGCACCTCCCAAAAAAATCAGCATTCCAGGGACAGAGAGAAGTGTCGACTTAATGGATTTGCACCCTGGTACGGATTATGAAATAGAGTTGCACGGAGAGAGACCTGGTGGAAGCTACAGCGCCCCCTTCTCAACAAAAATAATTACAGGTACCCTCACTATCTTCCTTGAATTTGTCAAGTTCTAACTGACATCTTGATTTTTGTTCTATTCCAGATGTCTTTTTTCCAGCAAAGAAGATGATAGAATGTATATTTCTGATGTGATGAAGGACATTGCCTGAGCCACCGACCATTGTGTTTCATTAGTGTCCTGATGCATTCTGTGTCATTGCTCATGATTCTGACTCCCACATAGAACATAGAGTAAAGGAGTTGGAAGGGACCTTGGAGGTCTTCTAGACCAACCCCTGGCCCATGGCAGGAGATCTTATGCTACCGGTAGTCCTTGATTTACAAAAGTTTGCTTAGTGACCGTTCAAAGTTACAACAGCACTGAAAAATAGGATTTATGACCGTTTTTCATGGTTACGACCTTTATAGCATCCCCCGTGATCATGTTCATATTTATGACCTTTGCTGTGTCCCGGAGTCATGTGATCCCATTTTGTGACCTTCTGACAAGCAAAGTCAATGTCAGGGTTCCGAGTAACACCCCGAACGAAAGAAGACTCAGAGGCTTGAAGTTCCTCAAAGTTCCATTTTATTAGAGATGTCATATTGGCACATCTGGGAAAACCCGAATCTGAAAGTTTCCAGGTTTTCCCCACCCAAAGGAAAGTCCAAGTCCCTGCCCAGCACCCACATGTTCATCACATGGTCCAATCAAGCACCGTCCCAACTGGAGATGCCTCCCAGTTCCAGCCCTCCACCGGCAGGGCAAGATGTCCTTGACTCTCTGAGAAAGGAATGTTCTTATGACTGTATATCACCTTGCTCCATCCAATTCCCCCTCCCAGTTTTCCACAGTAGTAAATGTGGCAGGCCTGAAGATCCAATGCAAAAGATGGCTTCCAGGCCTAACAGTCAATGGGGAAACCAGATTCATTTCACAACCGTGTTGTGACCCCAACTGAGCCCAAGATTTCTGTTGCCAAGTGAGACAGTTGTTAAGTGAGTTTTTCACCCCATTTGATGACCTTTCTTGCCACCGTTGTTAAGTGAATCACTGCAGTTGTTAAGTTAGTGACACGGTTGTTAAGTGAATCTGACTCCTCCAGTGACTTTGCTTGTCATAAACTCACAAAAGGGGATTACAGGACCTTGGGACGCTATAATCATCATAAATACATGCCAGTTCCAAGCATTCGAATCTTTGATCATGTGGCCATGGGAGTGCTACAATGGTTGTGTGAAAAATAGACATAAGTCACTCTTTTCACTGCTGTTGTAACTTTGAATAGTCACTAAATGAATGGTTGTAAGTCAAGGATTACTGTTATTTGCTTGGACATTGCATGTTATGTGAATGCAGCAGTTACGAATTTTAAAGCCAAGTTAAGCATGTTGTCTAATATTTGTATCAATTCCTCACACTTAAAATTATGAATAGAATAGAATAGAATAGAATAGAATAGAATAGAATAGAATAGAATAGAATAAACAGAGTTGGAAGGGACCTTGTTGGTCATCTAGTCCAACCCCCTGCCCAAGCTGGAAACCCACACCATTTCTGAACAAATTTCCCTTGTTTAAATTTAAGGTAAACAAAGTATACTTATGTAAAAGGTGGATTAAAAATGAGAGAACGGGATGATCTATGTAGATACTCCCATCCTCAGAAAATAGCTAGTTGCTATAGTGGAGGAAATGGGCTTGTCTAGATGTCAAAAAGTTTGTGTATTTAGAATTGGGCGTTATGAGATTCAGGAAGCACTGCCCTTACTCTGAATTGAAGTTCTTTATCCTTAGATAAAGTTTCCATGTCAAGAAAAAAAAAATTGGCACCAAAACCTCCTTAAGAGAAGGAAAAAAGGAAGGATAAAAACCTGAAAGCTAAATAACAGAATTCAGTTTCTACCTTCAAAATAATTCATGGATTAATTTTAACAGTTTATCTTTTTAAATTAATTTCACTGTCCACATATTCCCTATAATTGGTTTTGCTGAATACAGATATTTTAGAGAATGCATAATTATTGATTTTGGCATCTTATTTACTGTCGTAGTGACTCATTATTTTGGCATAGGATGTTTTATACAGCTTAGCTCCTTAGCATGACTATTTATATAGGATACCTGAAACAGAACCAGTCTCTGCTCAAAATAATACCTGCTCAAAATAATACACATGTAGGTGCTATGGGTAATTCTACAATATTAACTGCAGAAAACAATTATGAAATTAAGTTTATTTTGAGATAGAACAGTTGAAGTTTTTCGGTAATTAACAATTGAGCTTCGGAAATCCAGATGTCAACATTTTTGTGCATTTTTCTTTCATCTAGTATAGGATCGGGAACATTATAATATTATTATTATTTTGATAAATTTTATAATAATAATATTATTATTATTATCAAATTTAAAGAGACCAAACATCTCACTCACAGATGACTCTAGAGATTTCCCGTTACTGATTCCCATATAATAAACTGTCACATTTCAAAGGCTCAAAGATTCAAACTGCAATCAAAAGACAGACACACATACAGACAGAGAGATACAGGTAGTCCTTGACTTACAACCATTCCTTTCGTGACTGTTGGAAGTTACAACAGCACTGAAAAAAGAGCCTTATGTCCGTTTTTCACACTTAACATTGCAGTCTCCCCGTGGTCATGGGATCAAAATTTGGGTGGTAGGCAACTGGAATGTATTTATGACGGTTGCAGTGTCCCGGGGTCATTTGGTTACCTTTTACGACCTCTTGACAAGCAAAGTCAATGGGAAAGCCAGATTCACTTAACAACCATATTACTAACTTGAGAACTACAGTGATTCATTTAACAACTGTGGTAAAAAAAAGGTCATAAAATGAGGCACAACTCAACTCACCTGACTAGCCAAGTTAAGCATGTTGTCTATATATGATATTTGAACAGTACCTCACACTTAAAATTATAATAATATGGAATGGAATGGAATGGAATGGAATGGAATGGAATGGAATGGAATGGAATAGAATAGAATAGAATAGAATAGAATAGAATAGAATAGAATAGAATAAATTCTAAGTTCTGACTATTTATTTTATTTTATTTGTCAAGCATATATAAGATTACATACAAAAGTATAAACATGAGTGCGAATACATGAAATGTATAGACATGATTATGAATACATGGGATGGTTACGAATACAAGGGGACATTAGGACAATTAGGATTAGGACAATTAGGACATTAGGACAAAAGGGGACATTAGGACATTAGGACTAAGGTGCTTTCTGTAAAATCCACAAAGTAGAGAAATATGCTAGCCAGACAAACTAAGGGAGGAAGTTGATGAAACTTTTTTTTAAAACTTATTCCCTCACCTCAAATCTCTTTTCCTTCAGCTCCAAGTTCACCAACAAATGACAAGATCCAAACCATCTCCCCATCCACCTCAACTCCCGAAGATCCACTGAAGAACCTACAAGTAACCAAAGTTTCTCCAAACCAGCTCCGTGTGACATGGTCAGCCCCGCCCGATTTCTTCCACAAGTTTTCCCTCTACTATAGGGACCCCAAATCTGGGGCACCTCCCAAAAAAATCAGCATTCCAGGGACAGAGAGAAGTGTCGACTTAATGGATTTGCACCCTGGTACGGATTATGAAATAGAGTTGCACGGAGAAAGACCTGGTGGAAGCTACAGCGCCCCCTTCTCAACAAAAATAATTACAGGTACCCTCACTATCTTCCTTGAATTTGTCAAGTTCTAACTGACATCTTGATTTTTGTCCTATTCCAGATGTCTCTTTTCCAGCAAAGAAGATAGAATGTATATTTCTGATCTGATGAAGGACATTGCCTAACCTATCGACAATTGCGTTTCATCTATGTCCTGATGCACTCTGTGTCATTGCTCATGATTCTGACTCCCACATAGAACATAGAGACCTATAAAGACCTATAGGGACCCCAAATCTGGGGCACCTCCCCCCCCAAAAAAATCACCTTGCTCCCCTCCCAGTTTCCCACAGTAGTAAATTATTAGCAAGAATACAAGAATATGGGAGGGTAGCCAGACTTAAAATTAATAAACAAAAAACAAAGGCCTTAACGAAAAAGCTTACAAACCAACAAGAGAAGGAGCTAGAAGATAAAATGGGAATACAAATGACAAAGAAGGTAAAATACTTAGGAATATGGCTCACCAATAAAGTATCGTCAATTGGAGAAGATAATTACATTAAACTGACAAGACAGATAAAAAAGGATTTAGAAATTTGGACTAAGTTACAACAATCCTTTCTTGGAAAGATTGCCTCGATTAAAATGAACGTACTACCTAGAATTTTATATCTGTTTCAAGTTATTCCGATAAAACCGGGGAAGGATTTCTTCAAAGATTTTAACAAACTGATTGCAAACTACATCTGGCAGGGGAAGAAAGCAAGGATCAAAATAAAGCACCTACAGGACACAAGAGAGAGAGGAGGACTAGCACTACCGGACTTGGAAACGTACTATAAAGCAGCATCACTGATTTGGATTAAGGGCTGGACAGAACTCAAAAATAAAAGAATACTAACATTAGAAAGTTTTGACTTACAAAGAGGATGGCATGCTTTTTTGTGGGAGGGAAAAGATAAACAAAATGGATATTTCCAACAACATATCATTAGAGAAGCACTGTTTCAAACCTGGCGGGAGATTAAAAAAACACACTATGATAAAATACCAGAATGGAGGCACAGATTTAGCCCAACGCTATGGACATTGATAAAACGAAAACTTATAAAGATCTATGAAACAACCAAGGGGAATTAAGATCAAGGCAAGAATTGAAAGAAATGGGTACAGACATTGATTGGTGGCCGTATTTACAAATAAAATCTAGGTATAAGATAGATTCGGTACAATCTGGATTCCAAAAAGGGCCATATGAATTAGACAAAATTTTACAAGGAAATGATAAATTGATAACAAAAATTTATAATGACTTATTAAGATATAAATTAGAAGAAGAAGTGGTTAAAGAAAATATGACAATTTGGGTGAAAAAATTCAGATGTAACATTGAATTGGAAAAATGGGAAAAATTATGGAATATAAATTATAAACTAACAATGACTGTATCCTACAAAGAGAACATGTACAAAATGTTCTATAGGTGGCACCTCCCGCTAGCCCGATTGGCAAGAATGTTCCCGATCACCTCCCCAACACGTTGGAAATGCAAGCTTCAAAAAGGAACTTATTACCATATGTGGTGGTCTTGTCAGAAAACAAAACAATTTTGGCAAATGATTAGAATACAAATAGAGGAAATCATACACCAAAAAATTGAAATGAGGCCAGAAACATTTTTATTAGGAATAATTACAGGGCAATATGAAAAAGAAATAAAATATTTAATTATCCATATATTAACGGCAGCACGAATAGTTCCTGCCCAGAATTGGAAGAATAACGAAACACCAACAGAAGATAAAATAATTAGTAAAATTATGGAATGTGCAGAAATGGACAAACTTACAAAAGAAATACAGGAAAAAGAGGAATAGGACTATTACCTAGTATGGCAGAAATGGTATGACTGGTTGGAGAGCAAGAAAGAAAAAAGATAAAGATATAAATAAGAAGACAAAAACCATATATAAGAAATTAGATACCATTTAAGGAAAATAGTGAATTCAATATGTAGATTAAGAAAAGATAAAGAGATGATGTATTAGGAATATAGATACAAGAGATACAGTAGAAAAAGATATATATATAAATACAGATCAGCGATACAACAAACTTGAAAAGAAGATGTAAAGATTTGACTTATGTTTATTTGTTTTGTATGTTTTGTTGTGGTTTGTATGTTTGTTTGTACTTTTTAATAATAAAAATATTTTTAAAAAATTCTGATTCCCTCATCTCAAATCTCTTTTCCTTCAGTTCCAAGTTCACCAACAAATGACAAAATCCAAACCATCTCCCCATCCACCTCAACTCCTGAAGATCCACTGAAGAACCTACAAGTGACTGAAGTTTCTCCAAACCAGCTCCGTGTGACATGGTCAGCCCCGCCCAATTTCTTCCACAAGTTTTCCCTCTACTATAGGGATCCCAAATCTGGGGCACCTCCCAAAAAAATCAGCATTCCAGGGACAGAGAGAAGTGTCGACTTAATGGATTTGCACCCTGGTACGGATTATGAAATAGAGTTGCACGGAGAGAGACCTGGTGGAAGCTACAGCGCCCCCTTCTCAACAAAAATAATTACAGGTACCCTCACTATCTTCCTTGAATTTGTCAAGTTCTAACTGACATCTTGATTTTTGTTCTATTCCAGATGTCCTTTTTCCAGCAAAGAAGATGGTAGAATATATATTTCTGATGTGATGAAGGACATTGCCTAACTTATTGATCATTGCGTTTCATCTGTGTCCTGATGCACTCTGTGTCATTGCTCATGATTCTGACTCCACATAGAACATAGAGTAAAGGAGTTGGAAGGGACCTTGGAGGTCTTCTAGACCAACCCCTGGCCCATGGCAGGAGATCTTATGCTACCGGTAGTCCTCGACTTACAACAGTTTGCTTAGTGACCGTTCAAAGTTACAACAGCACTGAAAAATAGGATTTATGACCGTTTTTCATGGTTACGACCTTTATAGCATTCCCCCGTGATCATGTGATCAAAATTTGGACCCTTGGCAACTGGTTCATATTTATGACCTTTGCTGTGTCCCGGAGTCATGTGATCCCATTTTGTGACCTTCTGACAAGCAAAGTCAATGTCAGGGTTCCGAGTAACACCCCCAACGAAAGAAGACTCCGAGGCTTGAAGTTCCTCAAAGTTCCGTTTTATTAGAGATGTCATATTGGCACATCTGGGAAAACCCGAATCTGAAAGCTTCCAGGTTTTCCCCACCCAAAGGAAAGTCCAAGTCCCTGCCCAGCACCCACATGTCCATCACATGGTCCAATCAAGCACCGTTCCAACTGGAGATGCCTCCCAGTTCCAGCCCTCCACCGGCAGGGCAAGATGTCCTTGACTCTCTGAGAAAGGAATGTTCTTATGACTGTATATCACCTTGCTCCATCCAATCCCCCCTCCCAGTTTCCCACAGTAGTAAATGTGGCAGGCCTGAAGATCCAATGCAAAAGAGGGCTTCCAGGCCTGACAGTCAATGGGGAAACCAGATTCATTTCACAACCGTGTTACTAACTTAACCACTGAGGCAAGAAAAGACGTAAAATGGGGCAAAACTCACGTAACCAATGTCTCACTTAACAAGAGAAATTTTGGGCTCCATTGTGGTTGGAAGTCAAGGACCACCTGTATTATGGACCAATGGCTGTCCAGGCTCTTCTTGAAAACCTGCAGTGATGGAGGATTCACTTGCTGGGTGAGAAGGCCCAATTCTGTTTTGATTCAGCTTCAAAGTGACCCTTTGCTGATCTAGAAGCACCCAAAGAGCAATGGGGCCAAATAACCTTTTTCCTCCATCAGAGCCTTTTTTTTCATGAACACACTACAGGTAGTCCTTGACTTACGACCCCAACTGAGCCCAAGATTTCTGTTGCCAAGCGAGACAGTTGTTAAGTGAGTTTTTCGCCCCATTTGACGACCTTTCTTGCCACCGTTGTTAAGTGAATCACTGCAGTTCTTAATTAAATAACACGGTTGTTAAGTGACTTTGGCTTCCTTATTGACTTTGCTTGTCAGAAGGTCACAAAGGGGACCCGGCAACCGTCATAAATATGAGCCAGTTGCAAAATGTCTGCATTTTAATCCCTTTGTCATGGGGATGCTGCAACTGTCATAAGTGTGAAAAACGGCCATAAGTCGCTTTTTTTTAAGTGGCCTTGCAACTTCTAATGGTCACTAAACGAACTGTTGTAAATCGAGGACTGCCTGTACTCACCTCTGTGATCCTTATTCTGAATTTTTCCCAAGCCATTAGCTTTTGAACAGGCTAAAACTAATTTTTGCAAACTAAGCTTTCTTCCTTGCCTATATAAACACAGTGTAACAAAGTATATTTTATTTATTCACCCATAAGTGAGATCTGCAGCACTCATACATACAGCCCTATTTTCTCCCATCATCTGTGCTTTCCTCTTCTTCCAAGAAATTCCTAACCATCATTTTCTCTTTCCTTTTTTTTTTATCAGAGGCAGAACCCAAAGAGCCCAGGCCGGGAGATTTCTCTCTTCTAGACGTCACAGACACTTCAGTTCACCTTTCTTGGGATGCCCCCACTGGGCCTTTTGACTCCTTTGTCATCCAATATAAAGATGCCGAGGGGAAGCCCAAGCTGCTTAAAATGGACAAGAACTCTCGAGAAGCCACGATTTCCAATTTGGTGCTTTCCCGAAAATACAAATTCAACCTTTATGTTCTCCTAGGCCGTAAGCCCTTCGGCCCCGTGTCTTTGGAAGTCATCCCAGGTAAGCAATGGCTTCTGAGCACAGTAGTTGTCATGAATTGGAAATGAGATGGTGTGCAAAGCCAGATCAACTAGTGCAGTGTCAATCGATCGATCAATCAATCAATCAATCAGAATAGAACTGGAAGGGACCGTGGAAGTCTTCTAGTCCAACCCCCTGCTCAAGCAGGAGATCCTATACCCGTGATGGCGAACCTATGGCATGTGTGCCACAGCTGGCACTCGTAGCCCTATTGGTAGGCACATGAGCTCAGCTCCGGCCCACATGTGCGTGCCGGCCAGCTGATTTTCGGGCCTTCTGGGCCCACCAAAAGTAGGGAAACAGGCTGTTTCCTGTCTCCGGAGGACCCCCAGGCGGGTGAGGAAGGCCGTTTTTGCCCTCCCCAGACTCCTAGAAAGGCTCTGGAGCCTGGGGAGAGAGAAAAACGGGCCTATTGGGCCATCACGTGCCAGGAGCGGGAGGATCATGGGGGGGTCGCATGCGCAGGGGCGGGGCGCATAGAATTATGGATGTGGGCATGCACGCACGCACGTGACCCCCCCCCCCCCGCTGCTGGCACGTGATGACAAAAAGTCATCACTGTCCTATACCATTTCAGATAAGTGACTGTCCAGTCTTTTCTTTAAAACCCTCAGTGTTTTTAAGTGTCTCTCAACCTTAGTAACTTTAAGATGTGTGGATTTCAGTTCCCAAAGTTCAAACACAGGTAGCCCTTGCTTACCAACTGCCTCATTTAGCAACTGTTCAAAATTATGATAGTATTTGTTTTAAACATAGCTTTTGTCAAAACATTCATAACTGGGAAGACATAGTAACAAGGTCATGCCAATGAATAGGCATGGCAACAGATCAGCCAATGGGAACTGAATTGGAAACTGAAACTGGAAGGAGGCTGGGCATGGCTCAGCTCTGTGCGTGTGCTGAGAACTGAAATTAGTCTGCTGTACTCTGCTTGTGTTTTGCTTGTAACTGCTACCACGTTGGAAGAATCTGCTATTGGTATTATACATTTATCTTCATGTGTTTTATGTATATAAAGAAGTTAATGAATCCTGCTGAATCAGTTTACCTGTGTGTGCTTTCTGGATTTGATTTTGCAACAAACTGACAGCTTTGCAACTAGTTTTGGGAGTTGAAATTCACTGATCTTAAAGTCGTCAAGATTGAGAAACATTGAACTGTTGTAACTGAAATGGCCTTCCAAAGAAATGATCAGTTGCTCTATTTGCAGGATTCAGACTGTGGATAACATTGTTGAAATAGTCCAAAAAAACCACCTTCATACAAGATAGACAGCCATCATGCTTCAAACAACATTAAGGCACTATATTTGTTAGTTTAATTTGTTCATCTAAAAATCTTTCTTTTTGATAATAAGCTGAGGCAATGCAATTTTTGAGCAGGTCCATTGAAGTAGATTTATTACTGCTACTGCTACAATTATTGCTTATAAAATGATTTTGGTCACTATCATAATTACATTATAGATTATTTCACTGACATTCCTCCCTCACACAATGAACATCGTATTTCCTGATTCTGTACATTTGCAAACGGCATTTCAACTGTATGATGATCTTTTCCTGCCCAACGGTCTCCACAGCCTAGCTACTTGCAATTCTCCATTTTTGCAGGAGTTTATCAAGGACTTTCTAAGCCTTGTTCTGATCTTCTGGCATTGTCTTTCTGTCAGCATTGCTCACTTATTTATTTACTTGTTGTTATCAATTTGCAAAATGTATATCTCCTCCCCCTCCAAGCATTCTGGTGAGCTTGCATCTTATTATGAGAGTCAGGTGGCTCAAGTTTAATAAATTGTGGCTGTTGTTGTTATTAAAGCAACATATTCTATTAAAACGATATTCTTTGTTTTCCTTTCTTTTGTTTTTTTATCATAGGTTCCACAGGAAAAGCTCCTGCCATTTTTAAAGACATTTCTGCCACTGTCACCAGCAATTCTGCCCACTTGTCCTGGACAGTTTCCTCTGGGAACTTTGATTCCTTTTTAATCCAATATAAGGATGCTGAGGGCAGACTCCAAGAGCTGTTCACTGAGGGAGATTCCCATGAAATCACTATCCCCAACCTGACTCCTTCCCACAGATACACAATAGATCTCTATGGCATCTCCAACCAGGGACGTCTGGGTCCTGCCTCTATAACTTTCATCACAGGTCAGTGGAATTTATTTTATTCATTTATTTAGTTTGTCAAACATGTACAAGATAACAGGTATAAGTATAAACATAAATATAAACACAGTAAATGGGTACAAATAAATGGAGACAGTAGTTGCTGGTGCGTTTATGCATGCCCCTTACAGACTTCTTAGGAATTGGGTGAGATCAGTGATGGGATTCAGCCGGTTCGCACCATTTCGGGAGAACCGGTTGTTAACTTTCTGAGCAGTTTGGCAAACTGGTTGTTGGAAGAAATCATTAGGGCAGAGAACCAGTTGTTAAATTACTTGAATCCCACCACTGGGTGAGATCAACAGCAGACAGTTGATGGTTAAAGTTATGGGAGTTTGGGGATGTAACAGCAGAGTCAGGTAGTGCAATCCAGGCATTGACCACTCTGTTACTGAAGTCGTATTTTCTGCAATCGAATTTGGAGCGGTTTACCTTAAGTTTGTATCTATTGTGTGTTCTTGTATCGTTGTGGTTGAAGCTGAAGTAGTTATTGACAGATAGGACGTTATAGCAGAGAATTTTGTGTACTACGCTTAGGTCAGACCATAGGCAGCGTAGTTCTAGGTTGTCCAAGCCCAAAATTTCAAGCCTTGTGGCATAGGTATTCTGTTGTGAGTAGAGGAATGGAGTGCAGATTCCAGGCAGGTGAACTGTATTTGAGAATTGGTCTAGCAAGGGTTTTGTATGCCCTAGTTTCAGGGGTGGGTTCTACTTACCTTTACTACTGGTTCGCAACAGGGCCACACGCGCAAAAGCTTCCTGATGATGTTGGGGTCGGTGGGCGGAGCCTCCCACCGGTTTTACTGCCGGTTCTTGTGAACCGGTCCGAACCAGGGGCAACCCACCACTGCCTAGTTTGCAGTATAATATTACTGGAGAAGAAGCTTTGCAAGATTAGGTTGACAACTCTTAATGCCTTTTTGGCAGTGCTGTTACAGTGACCTCTGGCGCTTAGATTGTTTGAGATGAGTACTCCGAGGTCCTTGACAGAGTGAGGTTAAGAGAGCCACAGAACTTCCCTGCAAGACGTGTGACTTTTCTTCCCTACCCAGTTGCTTTCTCCCAAGGATAATGCTTGATTTCAGCTTCTCTCAGAACCAGCCTCCATGTGATAGTAAGTGTATATTTGCATCTTGACCAAAATCGAAAGAGCTAACCCTGCAGATCGAGTTGATGGCGAATGACAAAAGGGAAACGTTGTGAGAGATGCATCTGAAAAAGAAGTATGTTTCCAAGGAGGTGGATGCAAAAATAGATGTTCATGTGGAGGAAAAAAAGACAGACTGGACAAATACCCATTCTAAAAGTCTGCACTATGATGTGTGCATTAAAATATGCTTCCTTGTGACTTTACTTATTCACAGGGATGTGTGAAAGTTATGTAAATTAAGAAGAGTTGCCATTGTGAATGAACATGGATTTTTATCACTCGTTATGTTTTTATATTTATTTATTCCATTTCTATAGCCACACATCTCAATCAATGACTCGGGGCAGCTTAGAATTCCAAAAATACAAAACAATATAAAAACATCCAAAATAAATATACACAGCAGCTGAGATACTTGGCCAGTTAATAATAAAATCAGGAAACAAGTCTCTTAACACATTTAGAGCCCTAGGCTTGGGAATACAGCCAGCCAAATATAATCCATTAAAGAAACAGCTCGCCAATATATTGCTTTATTATTGTAAAGTAAACAATAAAAAGGATATACAATATACAGATCTGCACACAGCTAAACCTAGGACTGCAAACTTAAAAACATAACAGAACTGTGGTGGCGCAGTGGTTAGGCCTCTCCTCAAGAAGCCCTCCCTGGACCCGGCAATGTTGGTAAACTATCGTCCGGTCTCCAACCTTCGCTTTGTGGCGAAGGTTGTTGAGAGTGTGGTTGCGCAACAGCTCCCCCAGCACCTGGATGAAGAGACGTATCTGGATCCGTTCCAGTCGGGCTTCAGGCCCGGGTACAGCACGGAAACGGCATTGGTCACGTTGGTAGATTATCTCTGGAGGGCTAGGGACAGGGGGTGCTCCTCTGTCCTGGTCCTGTTAGATCTCTCAGCGGCTTTTGATACCATCGACCATGGTATCATGCTGCACCGGTTGTAAGAGTTAGGGGTGGGAGGCACTGTGTTGCAGAGGTTCTCCTCCTTTCTCTCTGACCGGTCGCGGTCTGTGTTGACAGGGGGGCAGAGGTCAACCCCGAGGCCCCTCATATGCGGGGTGTCGCAAGGGTCGGTCCTCTCGCCCCTCCTGTTCAACATTTATGTGAAGCCGCTGGGCGAGATCATCCGTGGTTTCGGGGTGAAGTACCACCAGTATGCTGATGACACCCAGCTGTATATCTCCACCCCAGACCACCCCAACGATGCCCTTGAAGTGATGTCCCGGTGCCTGGAGGCCATACGGATCTGGATGGGGAGGAATAGGCTCAGGCTCAACCCATCCAAGACCGAGTGGCTGTGGTTTTCGACGTCCAGATATAGTCAGTTGGTGCCATCACTGACTATTGGGGGCAAATCATTGGCCCCCACGGAGAGGGCGCGCAACTTGGGCGTCCTCCTGGATTCACAGCTGTCTTTAGAAGACCACTTGATGGCCGTGACCGGGAGGATTTTTCATCAGGTCCACCTGATTCGCCAGTTGCGTCCCTTTCTGGATCATGACTCCTTACGCACGGTCACTCATGCCCTTGTCACCTCCCACCTGGACTATTGTAACGCTCTTTACATGGGGCTCCCCTTGAGGAGCACCCGGAGGCTCCAACTGGCACAGAGTGCGGCCGCGCGGGTGGTAATGGGAGCGACATGGCGCTCCCATGTAACACCCCTCTTGCGCGAGCTGCACTGGCTTCTGGTGGTCTTCTGGGTGCGCTTCAAGGTTTTGGTCACCACCTTTAAAGCGCTCCATTGCTCAGGACCTGGGTATTTGCGGGGCCGCCTACTACCACCAGTAGCCTCCCACCGGCCAGTACGCTCTCATAGAGAGGGGCTCCTCCAAGTGCTGTCGGCCAAACAATGTCGACTGGCTGCCCCCAGGGGGAGAGCCTTCTCTGTGGGGGGCACCTACTATCTGGAACGAGCTCCCCCCGGAGATATGGAGGATCCCGGATCTGCGCACCTTCCGCCACACTCTAAAGACCTTTTTATTTTACCAGGCGGGCCTGGCCTAACTTTCTCCCTCTTTTTTAAATAATTTTAATATTTTAATATGTTTAATATTTTTTAATCCTCAAAGTTTAAATCTGTTTTAAATTAATTGGGGTTTTAATCTGTCTGGGCCAAACTATTTAATTCGAATTTATTTCTGCTTTTTTAAATTTTGTATGTATGTATTTTATTGTTGGCTGTTCACCGTCCTGAGTCCTTCGGGAGTAGGGCGGTATAGAAATCAAATAAAAGTAAAGTAAGTAAAATTAGAGTGCAGTACGGCAGGCTACTTCTGCTGATTACCGGCTGCCAGCAGTTTGGCAGATCGAATCTCACCAGGCTCAAGGTTGGCTCAGCCTTCCATCCTTCCAGATTGTTGGGGGCAATATGCTGACTCTGTAAACCACTTAGATAGGGCTGTAAAAGCACTATGAAGCGGTATATAAGCCTGAGTACTATTGCTATTGCTATAACCGGTGTATAACAGGAGCTAGAGATCTCAAAGACGGTGACTATCTTTTATATCCACAGGATCACAGGAGGATGTATCCATCCACAAAACTGTCTTCAGGGATCTGGCTGTATCAGAGGTGACCAGCAACTCTGCCCATCTTACATGGAGAGTCCCTTCAGGCAGATTTGATTCCTTTTTGGTCCAGTATCAAGACTTAGAAGGCAACGATCAAACCTTGAATATTGACGGAGATTCCCACGAAGTCATTATTCCCAATTTGGTTCCCTCCCAAAGATACAGATTCAACCTCTATGGCATTTTGGGGACACAGCTTCTTGGACCTCTCTTTGTCGATGCTGTGACAGGTTAGCAATACCATGAGCCCAGGGGTGAAATTCAAAATTTTTCCCTACCGGTTCTGTGGGCATGGCTTGGTGGGCGTGGCAGGGGAAGGATATTGCAAAATCTCCATTCCTACCCCACTCTGGGGCCAGCCAGAGGTGGCATTTATTGGTTCTCCGAACTACTCAAAATTTCTGCTACCGGTTCTCCAGAACCTGCTAGAACCTGCTGAATTTCACCCCTGTGAGCCTGGCAGCTATCTTTCCTTCAATCATAAAAATCTTCTCTTCTTTCTCTTTTAATATGTAAAAAAAATAGGAAAGTGTTTCCTAATGTTTTCTTGTCATCTTGCAGTACATCTTCACTTTGTACAAAAGAGAAATCAAGGAAGGTTAACTATTAATAGAAGAACTATTATGAACATGCAAAGAATATGCATAGAAAGCTTACAGGTTTATTTCCAGTATTTTTTCGGAAAGATTTACTGCAAGTTACAAGGGAAAGCAGTCTTAGTGAGAAATGGTGCTGACAACAACTCTTTTTTATTCCCTGTCCCCTATAGCTGCAGTTCAGGAACCAAAAAAGGAGAAACCAGATGAGACCGTAGTGAGTAAGCCCAGCCTGGGGGAGTTCTCAGTCCTGGATGTCACAAGTGATACTGTCCGTCTTTACTGGACCGTCCCCACTGGACGCTTTGACTCATTCCTGATCCAGTACAAGGATGTAGATGGTCAACCCCAAGCGTTGCCTGTGGAGGGAGATTCCCATGAAGTCACTGTGACCAACCTGGCTCCTTCTCACAGATACAAGTTCAACCTCTATGGAGTCTTTGGGCGCAAGCGATCCAGGCCACTCTCCACCGATGCCACCACAGGTCAGCTTCAGGATTTGGAACTTTTCAAATACTTAACAAGCAGCAATTTTACTGAACATTGCAGTTTATGGATTGCATATCCAACACCAAGGCTCCTTTAATAAGGCGAATATTTGCAGCTCAGGGTTGAAATGAGGGGTCCTTGGAGCTCGCATGATTGTTTTCTTGCAGATGTTTCATTATCCTGTCTAGGTAACATAATCAGTGCCAGTAAAGAGTTTGTTGTCAGTTTATATTCTGGTGTCTTGCCTGTCTCTGTGGGTGGGGACAATCTTAGAGATTCTTTGGTTGGGCTGTTTCCTGATGGTTCTTTGGTTTGTTGATTGGGGTATTGCTTACTTGATTGTTGGTCTGAAGTTAACTTTGGGGTTTAATCAATGCTGATCTGGATGCTGATTAGCAGTGGAGAGGTGCTGGAGTCTTTTTCTCTTTTGGGCTGGTTGATTGTCTCTTTTGCAAAATCTGTAGATCAGTGGTGGGTTTTAAATTTTTTTACTACCGGTTCTGTGGGTGTGGCTTGGTGGGCCTGGCATGACTTGGTAGGCGTGGCTTAGTGGGCGTGGCAGGGAAAGGATACTGTAAAATCTCCATTCCCACCCCACTCCAGGGGAAGAATAGTATAAAGTCTCCATTCCCTCCCCACTCCAAGGGAAGGATACTGTAAAATCTCCATTCCCTCCTGATCAGCTGGGTCTCGGGAGGCAGAGAATAGATGGGGGCAGGGCCAGTCAGAGGTGGTATTTATCGGTTCTCCGAACTACTCAAAATTTCCGCTACCGGTTCTCCAGAACTGGTCAGAACCTGCTGGAACCCACCTCTGCTGTAGATGTTGTTAATGTCTATGTGTTTATTGATGGCTGATTTGTCAGAGTGCCAGGCTTCTAGAAATTTCCTGGCATTTTTGAAGTTGGCCTGGTCTAGGATGGTCACAGTTTCCCAATTGAAACTATGGTTAAATCTGCCTATATGTTGTGAACTTTTTATAACTCTTATAACTAAGCCCTTTTTTATTTCTCTGCTTTAGCCCACATTAGAGACTCAGAGAAGCCAATTCCTGTCCAACCCAGCCTAGGAGAGTTCTCAGTCCTTGATGTCATGAGTGATTCTGTCCGACTCCATTGGACTGTCCCCACTGGGAGCTTTGAGTCATTCCTAATCCAGTACAAGGATGCAGATGGTCAACCCCAAGCGTTGCCTGTGGAGGGAGACTCCCGTGAAATCACGGTGACCAACCTGGCTCCTTCTCGTAGATACAAGTTCAACCTCTATGGAGTCTCGGGACGCAAACGTTCCACCCCCCTCTCCACTGATGCCACCACAGGTCAGCTTCAAGGATTGTGAGATTTTCAGATATTGTACCTTCAGATCAGCATGATTGGTTTCCTTATTAAGCAGTGTTATTGCTGCAGTAGTTGCCTAACACTTCAATATCTTGTTTCATACTAGCTCTTGCAAGTTGGATCTTTTGTTAATATTGTGCTGGGTTTTTATTGTTTTGCCTAGCCCCTTTGGAATATTTCTTCCCATTTTTGATGATGTCAGGGTCAGTGGGCAGAGCCTCCCGCCGGTTTTACTACTGGTTCTATAGAACCGGTGCAAACCAGGGGCAACCCACCACTGATCTGGTGGACACAAAACTAATTCAACTATTCAGGTGCAATATATATCAGGTATTTTTTGCAGCAGGTCAAAAGAGGATTCTCCTGACAAGATGGTAGTCAGTTCATAGGTCTGAATAATTCCCCTTTTTAAAGTCTTGATAGAGTCCAAGACTGGGGATGAAGCCTAGTACAATAAGGACATTCTGAACATAAAGAAGACAAGTGTCATATTATCAACCTCTTGATATTATCTCAAAATTAACAATAGTAGAACAACATCAAATTATACAGAAATGTTTTCCAAACACAGTACCTAGTTAATTTTTACTACCACAAAGATTATTATAACCTTTTACTTCTATTTCTCTCTTTTTAAGCACCAATTCCAAATATTGAGCTTGCAGTTCCTATCCAGTCCAGCTAGCGGGACTTCTTGGTCCTTGATGCCACAAATGCTTTGGTCCATCTCTATTGGACCAATCACATTGGAAGGTCTTTGATTCCTTTGTGGTCCAGTACAAAGATGAAGATGACCAATCCTAAACCCTGCCTGTGGAGGGAGACTGCATGGAAGTCATTGTAACCAACCTGGCTCCTTCCCACAGATACAAGTTCAACCTCTATGGAGTCTCTGGACAAAAATGCTCGCCCCCCCCCCCCTCGCCTCTACTTATGCCATCACAAGTCAGCTTCAGGAGTCACTGTGCTGAGATTTTTCAGCTCTTGTAACTTGGTATTAATATTTCTAGTTTCTTTAATGAGTAGCATGGTTATTGAATGTTTCAACTCCAGGGTTATATCTCCAACAGTAAGACATTCTAATCAAGCTTTTCTTCCATATTCCTTTTTAAGCTCAAACCACAGAGCCCGAGAAGCCAGCTTCTTTCCAATCCAGCCTGGGAGAACTGTCTGTGCTTGATGTCACAAGCGATTCTGTCCGACTCCATTGGACTGTTTCTACAGGGAGCTTTGACTCCTTTCTGATCCAGTACAAGGATGCAGATGGCCAGCCCCAAGCTTTGCCCGTGGAGGGAGACTCCCATGAAGTCACTCTGACCAACCTGGTTCCTTCGCGCAGATATAAATTCAATCTCTATGGAGTCTCAGGGCGCAAACGCTCCAACCCTATTTCTACTTTTGCCACGACAGGTCAGTTTCAGGAAATTCTCTGCCTGGGAGGTTTTAAAATCATATTACTACTGTATTATTGATTTCCTTTATATATAGCATATTTGCTGATTTTTCCCCCCACAACTACTATATTATATTTGCAACATCAATGCAATTATCCCTTCTCTTTCGTTTTCATGTTTAGCTCGCCTTACAAATTCAGAAGAACAATTTCCTGTCCAATCCAGCCTGGGGGAGTTCTCTGTCCTGGACGTCACAAGCGATTCTGTCCGTCTCCACTGGACCATTCCCACTGGGAGCTTTGAGTCCTTCCTCATCCAATACAAGGATGCAAATGGCCAACCACAAGCATTGCCTGTGGATGGAGACACCCGTGAAGTCACTGTGACCAACCTGGCTCCTTCCCACAGATACAAGTTCAACCTCTATGGAGTCTCTGGGAAAAAACGTTCTAGGCCGCTTGCCACAGAGGCCATCACAGGTCAGCTTCAAGTTTTAGCATGGCTTTGCACTTTTCACATAATATTCTTTCATAGTAACATCCTTGATTTCCTTAACAGATAACCTTTTTTGAACATTTCAGTTTTTGGGTTCCGTCTCCAACACCAGTGAAATTCTAATAAACCCTTTTCTTTCTGTTTAATCCCCTTTGCAGAATCTGAGGAGCCAATTCCTGTCCAACCCAGCCTAGGGGAGTTTTCAGTCCTGGATGTCACAAGCAATTCTGTCCGACTCTATTGGACTGTCTCCACTGGGAGTTTTGATTCTTTCCTGATCCAGTACAAGGATGGAGATGGCCAACCTCAAGCTTTGCCAGTTGAGGGAAACTCCCGTGAAGTTACCGTGACCAGCTTGGCTCCTTCTCACAGATACAAGTTCAACCTGTATGGAGTCTCTGGGCGCAAACGCTCCAGCCCCCTCTCCACAGATGCCACCACAGGTCAGCTTCAGTATTTAGCATGGTTGAGCACTTTTCAGATATTATTTTTCCAAATTAACATTCTTGATTTCCTTAACAAGTTACCGTTTTACTTATTGTCTATGGAGATTCTCAGTCATCCAGGTCATGGTTGTCCCAAATGTTCTCCTTTTTACTGATTGTTCCAGCTCTTGGGTTGCATCTCCAGGACCAGGGACATTATAACTGAGCCTTTTCTTTCTTTCCTCCTTTAGTTCCCTTGGTAGACTCAGAGGAACCAGTTCCTATCAAACCCAGCCTGGGGGAGTTCTCAGTTGTTGATGTCACAAGTAATTCTGTCCGTCTCTATTGGACTGTCTCCACTGGGAGCTTTGACTCCTTCCTGGTCCAGTACAAGGATGCAGATGGCCAACCACAAGCGTTGCCCATAGATGGAGGCTCTCAAGAAGTCACTGTGACCAGCTTGGCTCCTTCTCACAGATACAAGTTCAACCTCTATGGAGTCTCTGGGCGCAAGCGGTCTGGGCCCCTCTCCACTGATGCTACCACAGGTCAGCTTCTTAAGCTAGCATGACTTGTCGTGGGTTCCTTTTTTGTATGTGTGAAGTAGTAATAACTAGATTGACCAGTCTTAATAGCCACAAAGCACCAGAAACTAGCAGCAGTGGTTGTAATTTTTTTTTGGCATCTCTCTTCAATATTTGGAGAGGGAGGGGAGGAGCGAGATATTGGTTTAATTACAAAAGAACATCTTAAACCCCCCCAAAAATTTTTAATCATATTCTTTTCAGTCGTTCAAAAATTAACAATTTAAAAAGCTGTTTTCTAGTTTATCTGTTTTCTATATGCTCTTTATTTTGTTTAAACTCTGATTTCACTATTATTTTCATATTTTTCTGTATTCTGTATTCTGTATCTCCAGTAGGTTTATTACTGATTTGTATAAATTATTACAAATTTGTATAAATTTGTTGTTTTAGTCCCTATACAGGTAGGGACTATACAGGTAATCTATAATGGTATTTGGAACTGGATTTCCATCACTAAAAAATGTGGTAGTAAGGCGTAATGTCATTGACTGTGCCGATTTATGACACTAGTAACAATCCCAGTTGCAGTTGTTAGGGGAATCCTACATGGTCGCTGTGCCCCATGTCCCCAATTGCCATTTGAGACCTCCTGTTGCTTTCCCCTTTGACTTTGCTTGTCCAAAGCCAGCTGTGAATATCACAAATGGTGATCACATGTCCATAGGATGCTGCAATGTCATAATTGTGCCGTGTACTCAAATCGTGATCACATGACATGGAGACAGTGTGACAGCGCAGCTAAGAGGACCCATTGTGAATCCCCTCATTTAGCATCACGTTAAGTTCAAAAGGTCACTGAACAAGCAGACATTAAGGGAGGACTACTTGTATGACTCTGTTGGCACTCACAATTAGAGCTATCCTCCTTTTTGTAGAGTTCAATTTGTCTTTTTATCTTTTTAATTCGTTTTCTGTTCTAATTTAGTCCAAAATGTGGCTTTTACTTTGGCTTTTCTGTTTGTCGGTTCCTGGCAGGGCTTGTGGATGCTTTTCCTCTGGAAAATTTACTGCATCAGAGAAAATGGCTCCAAGAACTTTTCCCTCACTTCACTTCTGAGGGAAATAAATAAATGCCTCTCTCCCCCTAGTTTTCTCAGTTTTTGCTTCCTTTCATTTGCCTCTCTTCATCAAGGCAGTCTATCTTTTAGTTTGCCTCTTTATTTCTCCAGGGCTTTGGCTATGCTTATTCAACCTCTTCTTTATGAGGCCTGAGGCAGCAGAGTTCCCTGGCAGCCATTATGTCTTCCCTCCTTCTCCCCTCCTGCCCTAAACTGCTCTTCCTTTCACAACTGTTCTTTGATTGGCTGCTCAGTTGCTATGACAATGGAGGCGGGTTGAGAGGGAAGTGGAAAGAAGGCATACAGGTGCTTTTAAACAATGCAGGAAGTCCTTCTACAGAGCAGTTCAGATATTATTATTTTGTGTTCATTGTCTTGATTTCCTTAGAAAGCAACAATTTTAAATGATTATTCCACCTCCTAGATGGCATTTCAAGACCAGGAAAATGTAATTAAATCTTTTTTTAAATTTTTTTTCTCTGTGTTAGCCCATGTTACAGACACAGAGGACTCAATTCCTGTCCAACCCAGCCTAGGGGAGTTTTCCATCCTTGATGTCACAAGTGATTCTGTGCGTCTCCATTGGACTGTCCCCACTGGGAGATTTGACTCCTTCCTAGTCCAGTACAAGGATGCAGATGGCCAACCTCAAGCGTTACCTGTAGAGGGAGATTCCCGTGAAGTCACTGTGACCAACCTGGTTCCTTCTCGCAGATACAAGTTCAACCTCTATGGAGTCTCCGGGCGCAAACGCTCTGGGCCCCTCTCAACCGATGCCACCACAGGTCAGTTTCAGGAGATGGCATGGCTGGAGGTTCTTCAAATGTTATTCTTCCATATTATCATTCTTGATTTTCTTAACTAGCAACTTTTTTACTGATGGTTCCATCATTTGAGTGTTATCACAAAGACCAGGGAAATTATAAATTAGCCTTTTCTATTATTTCCTTATTTTAGCTCGCCTTACAGCCACACAGGAGCCAATTCCTGTGCAACCCAGCCTAGGGGAGTTTTCCATCCTTGATGTCACGAGTGATTCTGTCCATCTCTATTGGACTGTCCCCACCGGGATCTTTGATTCCTTCCTGATCCAGTACAAAGATGCAGATGGCCAACCCCAAGTGTTACCTGTGGAGGGAGATTCCCGTGAAGTCACTGTGACCAACCTGGTTCCTTCTCGCAGATACAAGTTCAACCTCTATGGAGTCTCCGGGCGCAAACGCTCCGGGCCCCTCTCCACTGATGCCACCACAGGTCAGCTTCAGGATTTAACATGACTGGAGGCCATTCAGATATTATTCCTCCATGTTAATGTTCTTGATTTCCTTAACAAGATTTTTTTTAATTGATTGTTCCAGCTTTTGGATGGCATCTCAAAGATCGGGGAAATACTAACTAAGCCTTTTCATTAATTTTCCTGTTTTAGGTCATCTTACAGATTCAGAGGAGACAAATCCTGTCCAATCCAGCCTAGGAGAGTTCGCAGCCCTTGACATCACAAGCAATTCTGTCCGACTCTATTGGACTGTCTCCACTGGGAGGTTTGATTCTTTCCTGATCCAGTACAAGGATGGAGATGGCCAACCTCAAGCCCTGCCTGTGGAGGGAGACACCCGTGAAGTCACAGTGACCAATCTGGCTCCTTCGCAGAGATACAAGTTCAATCTCTATGGAATCTCGGGGCGCAAACGCTCTAACCCCCTTTCCACTGATGCCACCACAGGTCAGCTTCAAAAGACATTTTGCCTGGGAGATTTTACGATATTGTAACATAATATTAACATACCTAATAGCATATTTGCTGAATGTTCAAGCTGCTGGATTGCATCTGTAACTGATCCATCCTTCCTTCCTTCCTTCCTTCCCTCCTTCCTTCCTTCCTTCCTTCCTTCCTTCCTTCCTTCCTTCCTTCCTTCCTTCCTTCCTTCCTTCCCTCCCTCCCTCCCTCCCTCCCTCTCCCTCCTTTCTTTCCTTTGCTCCCTCCCCTTTCCTTCCCTCTCTCTTTCTTTTCCACACATTATAGACTTAAAAGAGGCAATTCCTGTCCAACCAAGTCTAGGAGAATTCACATTCCTTGATGTCACAAGCAATTCTGTCCGACTCTATTGGACTGTCCCCACTGGGAACTTTGATTCCTTCCTGATCCAGTACACGGATGCAGATGGCCAACCCCAAGCTTTGCCTGTGGAGGGAGACTTCAATGAAGTCACTGTGACCAACCTGGCTCCTTCCCACAGATACAAGTTCAACCTCTATGGAATCTCTGGCCACAAACGTTCTACTCCTCTCTCCACTGATGCCATCACAGGTCAGCTTCAGGATTTAGCTTGGCTGGGGACTCTTCACATGTTATTCTTCCATATTAATGTCCTTAGTTTTGATAATTAGCAACGTTTTAATTGACTATTCTAGCTTTTCCATGGCATCTCCAAGATCAGTGAAATTATAAGTAAGAATTTTCGTTCTTTTCTGTGTTTTAGCCCACCTTACAAACACAGCAAAGCCAATTCCTGTGCAACCCAGCCTTGGAGAGTTCTCAGTCCTTGATGTCACAAGTGATTCTGTCCATCTGCATTGGACCGTCCCCACCGGGAACTTTGATTCCTTCCTCATCCAGTACAAGGATGCAGATGGTCAACCCCAAGCGTTGCCTGTGGATGGAGACTCCCGTGAAGTCACCGTGTCCAACCTGGTTCCTTCACGCAGATATAAATTCAACCTTTATGGAATCACAGGACGTAAACGCTCCAGCCCTTTCTCCACGGATGCCACCACAGGTCAGCTTCACATGACATTCTACCTGGGAAATTTTAAGATATTCTAACAACATGTTAACATTCCTGATTTCCTTAAAAAACCTTAGTTGCTGAACATTAGAACTGCTGGATTGCATCTACAACATCAGTGTAATTTCAACTAAATCTTTCCTTTCCTCCCTGCCTCTCCTCCATATTACAGTTTCAAAGGAGGCTATTAGTGTCCAACCCAGCCTAGGAGAATTGTCAGTCCTGGACATCACAACTGATTCTGTGCGTCTCCATTGGACCGTTCCCACTGGGAGCTTTGACTCCTTCCTGGTCCAGTACAAGGATGCAGATGGTCAACCTCAAGCATTACCTGTGGAGGGAGACTCCCGTGAAGTCACAGTGACCAACCTGGCTCCTTCTCGCAGATACAAGTTCAACCTCTATGGAGTCTCCGGGCGCAAACGCTCCGGGCCCCTCTCTACTGATGCCACCACAGGTCAGTTTCAGGAGATGGCATGGCTGGGGATTCTTCAGATGTTATTCTTCCATTTTACCATTCTTGATTTTCTTAACCAGCAACCTTTTTACTGATGATTCCAGTGCTTCGGTGTTATCTCAAAGACCAGGGAAACTATGAGTTACGGTAGTTTTTTCTTTTATTTCCTTTTTTTAGCCCACCTTACAGATTCAAAGGAGCCAATTCCTGTGGAGCCCAGCCTAGGGGAGTTTTCCGTCCTTGATGTCACAAGTGATTCTGTTCGTCTCCATTGGACCGTTCCCACTGGGAGCTTTGATTCCTTCCTGGTCCAGTACAAGGATGCAGATGGCCAACCCCAAGCGTTACCTGTGGAAGGAGGCTCCAACGAAGTCACTGTGACCAACCTGGTTCCTTCTCGCAAATACAAGTTCAACCTTTATGGAGTCTCTGGGCGTAAACGCTCCAGGCCCCTCTCTACAGAGGCCACCACAGGTCAGTTTCAAGATACACTGTGACTGGGTCAGGGGTGAAATCCATCAGGTTCTGACAGGTTTTGGAGAACCGGTAGTAGAAATTTTGAGCAGTTCGGAGAACCGGTAGTGGAAATTTTGAGTAGTTCGGAGAACCGGCAAATACCACCTCTGGCTGGCCCCAGAGTGGGGTGAGAATGGAGATTTTGCAATATCCTTCCCCCAGGAGTGGGGAGGGAATGGGATTTTGCAGTATCCTTCCCCTGCCACACCCACCAAGACATGCCACGCCCACCAAGCCTTGCCAATAGAACTGTTCGTAAAAAAAATTGGATTTCACCACTGGACTGAGGGTTCTTTGGATGTTTACTCTTCCATATTAACGTTCTTGACTTCCTTAACAAGAAATCTTTTTACTGATTGTTCCTGTTCTTGAGTGACACCTTCAAGACCAAAGAAATTTTAACTAAACTTTTTTATTCTTTTCCCTGTTTTTGTTCGCTTGGCAGACTCAGAGGAACCAATTCCTATCCAACCCAGCCTGGGGGAGTTCTCAGTTCTTGATGTCACAAGCGATTCTGTCCGTCTCTATTGGACTGTCCCCACTGGAAACTTTGACTCCTTCCTGGTCCAGTACAAGGATGCAGATGGCCAGCCCCAAGCCCTGCCTATAGATGGGGGCTCTCAAGAAGTCACTGTGACCAACCTGGCTCCTTCACACAAATACAAGTTCAACCTTTATGGAATCTCTGGGCGTAAACGCTCCAGCCCTCTCTCCACTGATGCCACCACAGGTCAGCTTCGGGTATCAACTTATGTAGCCTTTAAGAAATTGCAGGCTCATTTTAACATTCTTTCCTCTCAGTTGGCAGCATGGATAGGCGAGATGGTTCCCCTGTTTTGCAATTCCTTGTTTCATATTCCCTCTGTTAGACTTTCTTCATATACAGTATTTGGTGGTTTTCCTTTCCTGTTTGACTTTTCCTTTTCCTTTTGTTGTTGTTGTTCTTGTTGTTGTTATTTTGTGCCTGATTGTATAGCCATGAGTTTGAGAAGTCACATAATCAGCTTGTGACTGAATGATTCATTTCTTTCCTATGATGCGCCAGATTTCTAACCTATGAGCAATGAGGAGGCTTCTTCTCCAATCAAATTATAAAGTTCTAAGTGCATAGTTCAGTGATGCTGAACCTTTGGCACCGAGTGGACAAACCGGAATTTGTGTGCATGTGCATGTGCCGGAGCACCAGAAATCTGAAGACCAGCCAGCTGGTCTGCATGTGTGAGCCAGCTGGTCTTCGGGTTTGCGGCAGGCACATGCACGTTGGCCATCTGGTTTTTGGGTGCACCAGACCATCGGACACCTGAAGACTAGACCCCAGGGGGAGAGCCTTCTCTGTGGTAGCACCCACCCTCTGGAACAATCTACCCCCAGAGATACGAGTGATCCCAGACCTCTGGACTTTTCGTCGGGCCCTCAAAACCTATTTTTTTCAGTTAGCCGGACTGTCCTGATTTTATGATTGGTTTTAATAAATTTTGATATGGCTTTTAATTGGAATGTTTTAATGGGCCAAATTTATTTAATTATTTTAAATTTATTTTAACTTTTGTATATAAAATGTTTTATTTCTGGCTGTTCACCGCCCTGAGTCCGAAAGGAGAAGGTCGGTATAGAAATTTGAAGAAAGAAAGAAAGAAAGAAAGAAAGAAAGAAAGAAAGAAAGAAAGAAAGAAAGAAAGAAAGAAAGAAAGAAAGAAAAAGAAAGAAAGAAAGAAAGAAAAAGCTGGCCGGCGCATGGCCTGTTTTTTGGCTGTTTTTTGGCCTTTTTTCAGGCCGTTTTCCAGGCTGTTTCCAGGCCATTTTTCAGGCCATTTTCAGGCTATCTTTGGGCCCGAAAAACAGCCTGAAAATAGCTCAAACACGGCCTGAAAAAGGCCTGAAAAACAGCCTGGTTGGGCTGTTTTCGGCATTTTTTGGGCTTTGGGGGGCTGTTTTCTGGTGCTCTGGCACCCACGAAGACCAGCTGGCCAGCGCACATGCCCAAAGAGAGGGCTCTGTGTGCCACCTCTGGCACGCATGCCATAAGTTTGCCATCACAGGGATAGTTGGTATTCATTAGACTTAACATGTCCAATAGTCTTTATCCATGAATGTCTCTCCTTCATGTCTGTTTATCTGCCTGCCTGCCTGTCTGCCTTCCTGCCTCCCTCCATGTCTGTCTACCTATTTTACTGCCCAGTGCTCAAATTGCAACCTATTTCAACTGCAGAACAGTTTTCAACCTTGAATTTATTAATCAGTGAGTTTATTTCCTGCTAGTAGCGTGGGAATAAAATGCCTTTTTATTTCATCTGTGTGAGAGTACCAGATGGTAGTTCCCTCTTCAGTTATAACATTTTGAATCCTTTGCAGATTTTCTTACAGAGAAGGGAGATTGAGAGACCGAATGCTAGTCACTTTGTTTTGTATTAGAACTATTAAGTTCTGCTTGTTTCCTTTTTCAAAGTTTTGCATGTGATCGTTGACAAAATTAGATGATCACGTAGAAAATTCATTTTGCTGAATTCCGGACTAGCAGAATTGGATTTTTGTACTGTTCGTCTTTCAACATTGGAACTTGTATGAAACGTATGAAATGGGACTTTCCATCAGTTAGGACTTTGCAGGAGTAGAATGCATAGTATGAAGGGGCACATAGGAACAAGCCAACTATCAGAATAATAGAGTTGGAAGGGATCTTGGAGGTCTTCTAGTCCAACCACCTGCTCAAGCAGGAAACCCTATACCATTTCAGACAGATCTCTTCTTAAAAACCTCCAGTATTGGAGCACCCACAACTTCTGGAGACAAGTCGTTCCACCGATTCATTATTCTTAATTCTTAATTGTTAATCGCTTCACTAACTCTTTAGGTGTTGTTTCTTTTGATGAGAATTATGAGTAAAAATTGACTGAAAGTACTGAAAAACCTTCAGATTACTTAATGAAAAATAGCTTCCCAACCTTATTTATTTATTTATTTGTTTGTTTGTTTGTTTGTTCAACTTGTATGCAGCCTTTCTCCGAAGACTCAAGGCAGCTTACAATGCATTTAAAAACCATATATAAAACATTAAAAGTTAAACCATTAAAAACAATTAAAACCCATTCGCACCATTCATGGCCGATGACTTTAAGTATTTAAGTATTTATGACTGATAAATATTTAAAAATGCATTTCCTGATTTTTTTTTTAAAAAAAACTGGTACTTAAAAATTGACAGCCCAAAACACAACAGCCAAAAAATACTTTCAAAATGGCAACCAAAGTCAACTTGTCTGCCTTCTTCTCCTTTCCATATCTCACTGTCTAAATATTTTTACCTGGAGAAGAGTATATTGGTCATTGGGAGTGGGAGGGGCGTGGTTAGGTTTTGTCTCTTACAGATAGTCATACCTGGAATGCAAGGATGGGTTTCAAAACCCATTGCTACTTCTTCAAGCGTGCACGTCAGGGGTGGGTTCTAATTTTTTTTTACTACTGGTTCTGTGGGCATGGCTTATTTTGTGGGTGTGGCTTGGAGGTCATGTGACTAGGTGAGTGGCTAGCTGGTCAGAGTAATTTCTGGAAGATCCTCATACTTACGACCAGTCCTCGCACTTACGACCAGACTCATTTGTTTGCTTTTAACACTGATCAGCTGTAGGACGGCCCTTTGAAGCCCCGTGGCAAGAGTTTAAACAGTTTTTTTCCCTCTAGTCATCAGCTGGGACTCAGGAGGCAGCAATAGATTGGGGGTGGGACCAAATAAAAGGTAAGAATAACGTGGGTGGGTGGGAGGGCGGGGGGGGAGAACCAGTTCAGTGACGTCATATCGTCACCGCTACCGGCTCGGCCAAACCGGACCGAACCGGGAGGAACCCACCACTGGTGCACGTGTGTGCTCACAAGTGCGCACAACACTTCTGCGCATGCACAGAAGCAGGTGGGCAGACCCTCCCGCCACCGCCACTGCTACCGGTCCGTGGGGAACCAGTAGCAACCCACCATTGCTAGAATGGGCAGCCACGATATATATTTCTAATTTATTTATTTTTTTGAAGCGTTCACAAGGTTTCTTCAGATTGCGAGCAAGAACAGAGCTAATAAAGCTTCCTAAAATTGTCCTCTTCATATTATTATGGGGACCTCTTATAAACCAGGAAAATGGCTACCAAAACTTTCTCACCCTTCCAATTTTTTAAGCAATTTAGCAATGAATTATATCAATTGCTATACTATCGATGAAACTCAAAAATATTGTCCCATATACTGTATATACTCATGGTAAAGCCAAGAATTTTAGTTGCCAAAAATACACCCCAAAATTGGCCAGTGAATGGCCTCTTCCATGAGAATATAATACTTTTTAAAAGTACCCATTTATCCTGTATATGTCAGGCTTCGGTGCTATCTCAAAATAAATGACTTTCCAAACTGCGATTTTCTCAGCGCTGACAGTATATCTATTTATATAAGTGGCCAGTAAGCGAGGACTACCTGTATTACTTTTCATTCAAAAAAAGTTCAGAAGAAAGACAGGATTTATTCTCAATAAAAACCTACCCTGGATAATTTTAAAGTCCTTCACCTTCAAAGGGTTCTTCTTTCCTGAATTTTATTTATTATATTTTGTGTTTTGAAGAATTTTAGAAAGTTCAGAACTACAAAAATGAACCATCACTGCTGTTTCCACAATTTACCACGTCTCTCCTTGTTTTATTTCGCCTTACAGGCTCAGAGGATGCAAGTCCTCCCCAACCTAGTCTCGGGGAGTTCTCAGTCCTTGACGTCACAAGTGATTCCATCCAACTCCATTGGACTGTCCCCACTGGGAGCTTTGACTCCTTCCTGATCCAGTACAAGGATGCAGATGGCCAACCCCAAGCGTTACCTGCGGAGGGAGATTCCCGTGAAGTCACTGTGACCAACCTGGTTCCTTCTCGTAAATATAAGTTCAACCTCTATGGAGTCTCTGGACGCAAACGCTCGGCCCCCCTCTCCACCAATGCCACCACAGGTCAGTTTCAGGATATGGCATGGATGGGGGAGTTTTCAAATGATATTTTTTCCATATTATCATTCTTGATTTTCTTAACAGTAAACTTTTTACTGATGTTTCCATCAGTTGGGTGTTATCCCAAAGACCAGGGAAATTATAAATAAGCCTTTTCTTTTATTTCCTTGTTTTAGCTCACCTTATAGTTGTAGAGGAGCCAATTCCTGTGCAACCCAGCCTAGGAGAGTTCTCAGTCTTTGATGTCACAAGTGATTCTGTCCATCTCCATTGGACTGTCTCCACTGGGAGCTTTGACTCCTTCCTGGTCCAATACAAGGATGCAGATGGCCAACCTCAAGCATTACCTGTGGAGGGAGATTCCCGTGAAATCACCGTGACCAACCTGGTTCCTTCTCGTAGATACAAGTTCAACCTCTATGGAGTCTCCGGGAGGAAACGCTCCAGGCCCCTCTCTACCGATGCCACCACCGGTCAGTTTCAGGATTTAGCATGGCTGGAGGCCCTTCAGATATTATTCCTCCATGTTAATGTTCTTGATTTCCTTAACAAGAATTTTTTCAATTGATTGTTCCAGCTTTTGGTTGGCATCTTCAAGATCAGGGAAATTCTAACTAAGCCTTTTCATTCATTTTGCTACTTTAGCTCGCCTTACCGATTCAGAGGAGACAAATCCTGTGCAGCCCAGCCTAGGAGAGTTTTCAGTGCTGGATGTCACAAGCGATTCTGTCCGACTCTATTGGACTGTCTCCACTGGGAGCTTTGACTCCTTCCTGATCCAGTACAAGGATGGAGATGGCCAACCTCAAGCTTTGCCAGTTGAGGGAAACTCCCGTGAAGTTACCGTGACCAGCTTGGCTCCTTCTCACAGATACAAGTTCAACCTGTATGGAGTTTCTGGGCGCAAACGCTCCAGCCCCCTCTCCACAGATGCCACCACAGGTCAGCTTCAGTATTTAGCATGGTTGAGCACTTTTCAGATATTATTCTTCCAAATTAACATTCTTGATTTCCTTAACAAGTTACCGTTTTACTTATTGTCTCAGTCATCCAGGTCGTGGTTGTCCCAAATGTTGTCCTTTTTACTGATTGTTCCAGCTTTTGGGTTGCATCTCCAAGACCAGGGACATTATAACTGAGCCTTTTCTTTCTTTTTCCTGTTTTAGTTCCCTTGGTAGACTCAGAGGAACCAGTTCCTATCCAGCCCAGCCTGGGGGAGTTCTCAGTTGTTGATGTCACAAGTAATTCTGTCCATCTCTATTGGACTGTCTCCACTGGGAGCTTTGACTCCTTCCTGGTCCAGTACAAGGATGCAGATGGCCAACCACAAGCGTTGCCCATAGATGGAGGCTCTCAAGAAGTCACTGTGACCAGCTTGGCTCCTTCTCACAGATACAAGTTCAACCTCTATGGAGTCTCTGGGCGCAAGCGCTCCGGGCCCCTCTCCACTGATGCCACCACAGGTCAGCTTCAGGATTTAACATGGCTGTTATATATATATATGTGTGTGTGTGTGTGTTTTTCCTCTAGCCAGGTTTTCCCTACATAACCAAGGTTTTTCTGCAGCCCCAGCTCAGTAGAATCACATCCACTCAATTCTGGGCTTTTTTCCTTTCTAGCAGCCAGCAAGCTCTTCCTGTTAGGTGGGAGACCTATATAGATCTATTTCCAGCTCGTTTGCTTTCATCAGTAGGCCACACCCACATCTTATGTATCCTCCCTGTAAAGCTATAGTATCTATTTTCTTACTTCTTCGTAGGGTTTATGTGTGTTTTTCCTCTAGCCAGGTTTTCCCTACGTAAGAAAATAGATACTATACCTTTACAGGGAGGATACATAAGATGTGGGTGTGGCCTATTGATGAAAGCAAACAAGCTGGAAATAGATCTATATAGGTCTCCCACCTAGCAGGAAGAGCTTGCTGGCTGCTAGAAAGGAAAAAAGCCCAGAATCAAGTGGATGTGATTCTACTGAGCTGGGGCTGCAGAAAAACCTTGGTTACGTAGGGAAAACTGGCTAGAGGAAAAACACACATAAACCCTACGAAGAAGTAAGAAAATATATACATATATATACATATACATACATACATATATTAACATTTCTCATTTCCTTGCGGGCCCAGAAGATGCAAATAGCATATTTGCTAAATATTCCATCACCTCCTAGATGTAATCTCCAACTTCAATGCACCTGTACATGAGCCTTTTCTTCTCTCTCTGTTTTAGCTCACCTTACAGACACAGAGGAACCAATTCCTGTCCAACCCAGCCTAGGAGAGTTTTCAGTCCTGGATGTCACAAGCGATTCTGTACGACTCTATTGGACTGTCCCCACTGGGAGGTTTGACTCCTTCCTGATCCAATACAAGGATGCAGATGGCCAACCTCAAGCGTTACCTGTAGAGGGAGATTCCCGTGAAGTCACTATGACCAACCTGGTTCCTTCCCGCAGATACAAGTTCAATCTCTATGGAGTTTCAGGGCGTAAACGCTCCAGGCCCCTCTCCACCGATGCCACCACAGGTCAGCTTCAGAATATGGCATGGCTGGGGGAGTTTTCCAATGATATTCTTCCATAAGAGCCACGATGGCGCAGTGGTTAAAATGCAGTACTGCAGGCTACTTCTGCTGACTGCTGGCTGCCTGCAATTTGGCAGTTCGAATCTCACCAGGCTCAAAGTTTACTCAGTCTTCCATCCTTCTGAGGTGTTGTAAAATGAGGAGCCAGATTGTTGGGGGCAATATGCTGACTCTGTAAACTGCTTAGAGAGGGCTGTAAAGAACTGTGAAGTGGTGTATAAGTCTAAATGCTATTGCTTTTGCAATTGCTGTATTACCATTCTTGATTTTCTTAACCAATAAAGTTTGGATGTTGTCTCAAAGACCAGGGAAATGATAAATTAGTCTTTTCTTTTATTTCCTTATTTAAGCCCGCGTTACAGACTCAGAGGAGCCAATTCCTGTCCAACCCAGCCTAGGAGAATTCTCAGTACTGAATGTTACAAGTGATTCTGTCCGACTCCATTGGACCGTCCCCACTGGGAGCTTTGACTCCTTCCTGATCCAGTATAAGGATGGAGATGACCAACCCCAAATGTTACCTGTGGAGAGAGGCTCCCGTGAAGTCACGGTAACCAACCTGGCTCCTTCTCGCAGATACAAGTTTAACCTCTATGGAGTCTCCGGACGCAAGCGGTCCAGCCCGCTCTCTACCGATGCCACCACAGGTCAGCTTCCCAAGTCACCTTGACTGTCACTTTTCAGCTCGTGGTCATCCTGTAAACATTCCTGCTTCCTTTTATAAGCAGCCTTGTTAACGGATACAATCAAGATCAAGTGAGATACTAATACCAATCTATAAAGCCTTAGTAAGACCACACCTAGAGTACTGCATCCAGTTTTGGTCACCACACTATAAAAAAGATGTTGAGACTCTAGAAAAAGTGCAGAGGAGAGCAACCAGAATGATTAGGGGACTGGAGACTAAAACATATGAAGAATGGTTACAGGAACTGGGCATGACTAGTTTAGTAAAGAGAAGGACCAGGGGAGACATGATAGCAGTGCTCCAGTATTTGAGGGGCTGCCACAGAGAGGAGGGGGTCATGCTATTTTCCAAAGCAGTTGAAAGACAGACAAGGAATAATAGAGGGAAACTGATTGAGGAGATTCAACCTGGAAATAAGGAGGAATTTTCTGACAGTGAGAACAATCAACCAACGAAACAGCTTTCCTTCAGAGGTGGTGGGAGCTTCATCACTGGAGGCTTTCAAGAAGAGACTGGACTGCCATCTTTCAGAAATGGTGTAGGGTCTCCTGCTTGGGCAGGGGGTTGGACTAGATGACCTATAAGGTCCCTTCCAACTCCGTTAATCTGTTAAAAGATTGATCTATAGAGTGAATTTCCTGTTGCTGGATTTTATCTCCGACAAGAGATTCTAACAAAATCTTTATTTCCATATCTCTGTTTTAGCTCAAACCACAGACTCAGAAGTGGCAATTCCCATCCAACCAACTTTGGGAGAATTATCTGTCCTGGACATCACTAGCAATTCAGTTCGTCTCTATTGGACTGTCCCCACTGGGACCTTTGACTCCTTCCTAGTCCAGTATAAGGATGCAGATGGCCAACCCCAAGTGTTGCCCGTAGATGGAAGTTCCCGTGAAGTTACTGTAACCAACCTGGCTCCTTCCCACAAGTACAAGTTCCTCCTCTATGGGGTCTCTGGACGCCAGAAGATCAGATTCCTCTCTGCTGATGTCTTTACAGGTCAGAGATAATAAGAAGCCTTCCGATTCTATGCTCCATTTAAAATTATTTTTTATTTCTCGATTCATTTATGTATTTGTTTCTTCTGCTTCCGCTGCCAAAGTAGTCCCATCACACATCTTTACCATTTTCCCTGTTTTTGACCATAAGGGTTGTTTCTTTTTTTTTTTTATGGTCAACATTTTTTATTGATTTATAAAGTATAAAATACAAAAAGTAAATGGAAAAGCAGTGGGGGGTGGGAGGGAGGAAGGGACGGAGAAGTAAGGGGAAAAAAAGGAAAAAAAAGAAGCATTGATTTCCGACTCTCTCTGTTAACAGTAAAATAAGACATTAACATCAAATCACAACATTATGCAGTTTCATAATACAAGCAAGCCAGGGATGCTATTCAGCAGATCCTGAAAGGTTCTGGAGAACCGGTAGCGGAAATTTTGAGTAGTTTGGAGAACCGGCAAATACCACCTCTAGCTGGCTCCAGAATGGGGTGGGAATGGAGATTTTGCAGTATTTATTCCCCTCCCATGCCCACCAAGCCACACCCACAGAACCGCTAGTAAAAAAAAAAATGGAATTCCACCACTGGAGCAAGCCATTTCTATAAAGATCTATCAGTCTAATTGGTAAAACCCGAAGTCAAATCTTCATTCTTTTCCACATCAAGCACAAAGTTCAGAAGCAGTCTCTATGTGGAAACAAAAGCACTTACCGTATTTTCTGGAGTATAAGATGCACCTTTCCCCCCCCTAAAAGAGGCTGAAAATTTGGGTGCGGCTTATACTCTGTAGCTTTTTCAAAGCTTTTTTTCAGCCCTAACGAGGCGCTAGCGAGTAAAGTGATCTCCCCAGCTTTGCCTGCTCCCTCTACTCTCCGCTGTGCTTTAATGAGGCGCTAGCAAGTGAAGCAATCAAGGCGCAAGGGAGTGAAGCGATCTCCATGCTTTGCTCTGACTCTCAGCTGTTCTTTAGAAGCTTTTTTCCAGCCCTAACTAGGTGCTAACCGAGTGAAGCAATCTCCCCGTGCTTTGCCTGCTTTTCTCATTGCTGCTTTCTCTCAGCTGTGCCTTAGAAGCTGTTTTTTATCCCCAAGCAGGGGATAAGAAACCAGCAAACTAATGTGCTGAAGCTGGTTTCAGACTAAGGATGCTAGCCAGATGAATACCTGGTAGGCAGGTGTTTTTTTTCCTATTTTCCTCCCCAAAAACTAAGCTGCGTCTTATACTCCGAAAAATACGGTATGTTCTTGTTCTGTCCCCGTCTCACGGGGTTAAATAAACTGGCAGACAACCAATTCTTCCGATAAGAGGCTTGGCAGCAACCTAGTAGCTGCTTGCCAAGAACTTTACTCATAAACAAGATACACACAGTTCAAGAATTGTCCAGTCCGTAATTAAATCCAAGGCAGATAATGCTGTTTCCAAAGATGCAATGTGACTCGATAGTAGTTAGTTTTGTCCGTCACAGAGTCTGAATGGCCACCTCACTCCCTTTTATACCCTGTGGGGTGTGGTCCAGTGACTCAGCTTAATCTCTGGCACGCCTCTTCTTCTGTTGCGCGCGCTTATCTCTGCGACGCTGCCGAGGATCCAGCCAAGACTCATCTCCCTCATTACTGTCCACCTGTGGCTGTGTGGACGTGCTTGGCCCCGGCCCTATCTCTTGACCTTCAGCGGACACCGAAGGCATTGCCAGAGAGGAGGGTCCTGGAGAGGGAGACCTTGCCAACTCCTCTCCTTCACTCTCGGAGTCCTCTCCTGCCGATGACACAGGCTCAGGTAATGGAGCCACAACAGTTCTTTTCTTTAATCAGAATAGTCAGACCAAGCATAAAGTTTTAAATACTTTTTTTATGGGGGTTTTTTTTCCTCCCCTAACTATACAATGACACACAAGTGAGGATTTTCTTCCTTACACATGATCAGTCTGATATCATTTCCTAAGGGTTCTTCATTCCTTCCTCTAAATATGGAAGCATCTTCTCCCAACCCTTTGCATGAAGCCTCCTGTTTATTTAAACACGTTGCTGCCGTACTTAATTTTTCTTAGCAAGGTTGAAAGAGTTATACTAAATGGCGTGTCTTTTGTGGCTGCTCTCTTTATCTGATTTAGAACCACCTTCAGATGCAGAGGAACCAATTCCTGTCCAACCTACCCTGGGGGAGCTCTCCGTCCTTGACGTCACAAGCGATTCTGTCCGTCTCCATTGGACCGTCCCCACCGGGAGCTTTGATTCCTTCCTAATCCAGTACAGGGATTCAGATGGCCAACCCCAAGTGTTGACTGTGGAGGGAGGCTCCACTGAAGTCACAGTGACCAACCTGGTTCCTTCCCACAGATACAAGTTCAACCTCTATGGAATTTCCGGGGACAAATACACCAGCCCACTCTCCATTGATGCTACTACCACTGGTGAGCTTCAGCAGACATTCTGCCTGGGAGATTTTAAAATATTGTAGCATCATGTAGTATGGTTGTATTACTACTATCCTTCTCATCTTTTCTACTACCTTCTTCTCTTGTTATTTTATGATTATATTACTTTGTTGTTTGTATGTACACTGAGAGCTTAAGCACCGGAGACAAATTCCTTGTGTGTCGAATCAAACTTGGCCAATAAAGTATTCTATTCTATTCTATTCTATTCTATTCTATTCTATTCTATTCTATTCTATTCTATTCTATTCTATTCTATTCCTATTCCTATTCCTATTCCTATTCCTATCCATTCTATTCTACACTACACTACACTATTGGTTTCCTTAGAAATAGTATATTTGCTGCTCGATGGCATCCAGAACATCAACACAATTGTAACAATTCTTTACCTCCACATCACAGGCTCCAGGGAGGCAGTTCCCATCCAACCCAGCCTAGGGGAGCTCTCGGTCGTAGACATCACAACTGATTCTGTGCGTCTCCATTGGACCGTTCCCACTGGGAGCTTTGACTCCTTCCTGGTCCAGTACAAGGATGCAGATGGCCAACCTCAAGCGTTACCTGTGGAGGGAGACTCCCATGAAGTCACAGTGACCAACCTGACTCCTTCTCGCAGATACAAGTTCAACCTCTATGGAGTCTCCGGGCGCAAACGCTCCGGGCCCCTCTCTACCGATGCCACCACAGGTCAGTTTCAGGAGATGGCATGGCTGAGGGTTCTTCAAATGTTATTCTTCCATATTATCATTCTTGATTTTCTTAACTAGCAACTTTTTTACTGATGGTTCCATCATTTGAGTGTTATCACAAAGACCAGGGAAATTATAAGTTAGCCTTTTCTATTATTTCCTTATTTTAGCTCGCCTTACAGCCACAGAGGAGCCGATTCCTGTGCAGCCCAGCCTAGGGGAGTTTTCCGTCCTTGATGTCACAAGTGATTCTGTTCGTCTCCATTGGACCGTTCCCACTGGGAGCTTTGATTCCTTCCTGGTCCAATACAAAGATGCAGATGGTCAACCCCAAGCGTTACCTGTGGAGGGAGGCTCCAACGAAGTCACGGTGACCAACCTGGTTCCTTCCCGCAGATACAAGTTCAACCTCTATGGAGTCTCTGGGCGCAAACGCTCTGGGCCCCTCTCTACCGATGCCACCACAGGTCAGCTTCAGGAGTCAATGTAGCTGGACACTTTTCAGATATTGAATTATAATTTTAATTTTCTACATGGAAAATTCCTCCTTTTATTTTTATTTTCCCTAGAGACAGTATTACTGTAGCACAAGGGATTTTTTTTTCCCTAACACATATTGGATTGTTTTGATAGTAACTCTTGTACATGTGAGTCAACCTGAACTTTTTAAATTCTTGCCAGTTTTTTGCTGATTTATGAGGTATGAAGAGACCAAGTCAGATTGTTATCTGCAGCAGTGGTGGTATTCAATTTTTTTTACTACTGGTTCTGTGGGCGGTGCTTGGTGGGCATGGCTTGGTGGGCATGGCTTGGTGGGCATGGCAGGGGAAGGATACTGTAAAATCTCCATTCCCTCCCCATTCCAGGGAAAGGTTACTGCAAAATCCCCATTTCCTCCCGATCAGTTGGGACTTGGGAAGCAGAGAATAGATGGTGGCAGGGCCAGTCAGAGGTGGTATTTACCAGTTCGCCGAACTACTCAAAATTTCCGCTACCAGTTCTCCAGAACTGGTCAGAACCTGCTGAATACAACCTCTGATCTGCACCCCAGAAACTTAATACTGTTCACCACTGCCACAGCTTCAGCCTTGATACAAAGTAGAGTATGACTAAAATCAACAGTGATCTCCTTTTTGTTAACATTCAAAAACCAGGTTATTTTTATGGCACCAGTCCACCAGAGCCAGATGTCTATGAGGAAACCAGATTAACCATGTTACTAACTTAACAACTGCAGGGATTGATTTAACAATCTATTATATCTATTAAATCTATATAGATTTAACAGCTATTCAACATCCTATTCCAGCAAGCCGGCCTGGCCTAATTTTCTCCCCTTTCTTTTAAATTTTTAAATTGAAATTTTAATTTGTTTTAAATTATTGGGATTTTTAATTGTCTTGGGCTAAATTATTTAATTTGGTTTTAATTATGTTTCTAACTTTTGTATTTATGTATTTTATTCTGTGCCTGTTCACCGCCCTGAGTTCTTCGGGAGTAGGGCGGTATATAAATTTAATAAAACAAACAAAACAAAACAAACAAACAACTCGTGGCAAGAAAGGTTGTAAAATGGGGGCAAAAAAATGGGGTCTCACTTAGCAACAGAAATTTTCTGCTCAGTTGTGGTCGTAAGTCTAGGAGTACCTGTAACCATCATATCTAGTAACAGAAGTGAAATATCTTGTTTCCGTTAATTCTTCCGTTCGGTTGTATCTTTATCCTCCTTTATGTCTTCTCTCTTTTTCAGCCCCGTTAGCCACGACACCACTGGTTCAGCCCAGCTTGGGAGAGCTTTCTGTTTCCAATATTACCCACAATTCTGCACTTCTCTCGTGGACAGTCCACTCCGGGAGTTTTGACTCTTTTATGATCCAATACAAGGACATGGATGGCAAGCCCCAAGCCGTCCCCGTGGAAGGGAACACTTATCAAATCGTCCTCCCCAATCTGACTCCCGCCCGCAGATATAAATTTAATCTCTATGGAGTCTCTGGTCGTAAGCGTTTTGGACCCATTTCTGCCGATGCCATCACAGGTCAGCAAGGGAAGCCTCTTTTAATAACTTTGAAGTCAGTCAGTTTCTAAAAACATCCATATTGGGGCAGGGAAGTTAAGGTTGATGCGATACAGGTAGTCCTCGAGTTACAATAGTTCGTTTAGTGACCGTTCAAAGTTGCAACGGCACTGAAAAAAGTGACTTAAGACCGTTTTTCACAGTTACGACCAGGGATGGTATTCACTTACCTTCGCTATAAATGTGAGCGGCCGCACATGCCTCCCCCATGCAGGCTCTGTGCATGCGCAGAGGGTCAAAAACGGGACGTGATGACATCCGGGCGGGTGGGCGGAGGCTCCCACCGCCAGCGCTACCGGATTGTGTGATCTGGATAGAGCCGGCTGAATTTCACCACTGGTTATGACCTTTCCAGCATCCCCATGATCACATTTGTATGGTCATGTTTGTGACCGTGGCTGCGCCCCAAGATCACGTGATCTCCTTTTGCGACCATCTGACAAGCAAAGTCAATGGGGAAGCCAGATTCCCTTAATAGCTGACTTGCTAATTTATCAACGGCAGTGATTCACTTAACAGCTGAGGCAAGAAAGGTCGTAAAATGAGGCAAAGTTCACTTAACAAATGTCTCGCTTAACAACAGAAATTTTGGGCTCAATCGTGGTTGTAAGTCAAGGACCACCTGTACTGTACTGTGATTCCTTTATAAAGGTCTAAATAATGGCTGCCCCAGAAAGCTGGTGATGTCAAGGGTGGATATTATAGGGCGGTTACTGGAGCCATCACTGTTTCTTCTTCTAATATACAGGTAGTCCTCGACTTACAACAGTTCATTTAGTGACTGGTCAAAGTTACAAGGCACTGCAATAAGTGACTTATGACTGTTTTTCACACTTATGATTTTTATGGCATTATGGGTCATGTGATTCAAATTCAGACACTAGGCAACTAACTCATATTTATGACTGTTGCAGTGTCCCAGGTCACGTGGTCATTTCTTGCGATGTTTTGACAAACCAAGTCAATGGGGAAGCCAAATTCACTTAACCAATGTGTTGTTACTAAACTGAATGACTGCAGTGATTCACTTAACAACTGTGGCAAGAAAGGCGTAAAATGGGGCAAAATGCACTTAACATATTTCTCATTTAGCAAAAAGAAATGTTGGGCTTAATTACGGTCGTAAGTCGAGGACTGCCCGTACAACACATTTTTTTTTTTAAACTTGGCAACTTTAACTCATCCAAAAATTCATCAGCCCTTCCTTCTTCCTTCCTCTCCTAGCAACACCGGATCTACAGGACCCCGTGATTCCTCCCAGCCTAGGAGAGCTCTCTGCTTCAGAGATCACTAGCAATTCTGTCCGTCTGTCCTGGACCGTCCTCACGGGGCGCTTTGACTCTTTTGCAATTCAGTACAAGGACGCTGAGGGCCAGCCCCAGGCAATTCCGGTGGAAGGAGATTTGCGTGAGATCACCATCCCCGACCTGGTTCCATCTCGCAAATACAAGTTCAACCTTTATGGGCTTTCTGGTCGTAAGCGCCTGGGCCCCGTTTCTGTTGATACCATCACAGGTCAGCTTTCCCTAGAACTGTGCCTTTTTCGGGTTCCTGTTTTTAGTGCGGAGGTATCTATTTTCTTTCAGTGAGCCAGTGGTGGTATTCAGCAGGTTCTATCCGGTTCGGGCTAACCGGTAGCGGTGGCAGCTGGAGGCTCCACCCACTCGCCCGCACGTCATCACATCCCATTTTTGATGCTTTGCACATGCGCAGAAGGTCCTGCGCATATGTGGCGGTGGTGCGTGCGAGCAAAGTGAGCGTGCGCGCACACGCGCTCACATTTGCGAACCGGTAGCGAAGATAAGTGAATGCCATCCCTGCAGTGGGCCTGTCAGCATTCCAAGTAAAGCACCCATAGAAAACAAAACTCTGAGGCAGGCAAGTTCCTCAAAGAATGATTTATTGGATGCATCAAACTGATGAAAGCCGACTCTTGAGTTTTCCCCCAGCTGTCACCTGATTAACAGTAAAAAGTATTCCTTTTCTCCCCCCCAGTCACTGGTCACATTGTCCAATCCAAGTGCTGGCCAGTCGCTAGGGTTACTGTCTCCTCCTCTGGCCAGCCACCTGTGCGAATGTCCTTGGTTCCCACAGGAAATCTTTATTGTTTTGGCTACAAAACCCCATCTAACTATTCTCTCCCCCCCTCCCACCGGTATGTGGCAACCCTGGAGCCTCCAAGATGGCTTCAGCCAAGCTCCTTTCAGGGTTAACAGAGTTAGGGTTAGGGTTGTGTTTCTGAAGCACATCTGCTTTTTTACTCTTAGTGATTGCTTTCTCTTACAACTATAGTGAGCGTTATTTGTTTTAACACAGAAGATATTCATTCTTTGTATTGCTCATACATGCTGGCCAAAGTTGTTCAGATTGGGGCAACCTATAGTTGGAAGGGAAGGGAGAAGGGGAAGGGGAAGGAGGAGAAAGAGAAGGAGGAGAAGGAGGAGGACAGACAACAGAAGGGATAAATGTAGATGCACAATGCATATGTGTAATTTGTGTGTTTGGGTCAACATTGACTCCTAGCAACTGCATGGAAGTCCCTGCAGTCCTCTTGACAAGATTTCAGAAGTGTTGTGTCCTTCCTCCTAGGGCTGAGAGAGAGAGGGACTAGCCCAAGGCCACCCAGCTGGCTTTGATTCGTATTACTCACCAGACACTATTTTCATTCCTGTTTTCCCTTTCTGCTCCCAGCATCCACCACAAAGAAAGAAGCTACACCAAAGCCCTCTTTAGGAGAACTCTCTATCTCTGAGGCCACCAGCAACTCTGTTCTTCTCTCTTGGACCATCTCCACGGGGAGATTTGACTCCTTCCTGCTCCAATATAAAGATGAGGAGGGCAGAACCCAAACACTGACTGTGGAAGGAGATTCGCATGAAGTCACCGTTTTGAATCTGGCTCCATCCCACAAGTACAAGTTCAACCTTTATGGAATTTTTAGTCAAAAACGTATTGGTCCTATTTCTTCTGAAGCCACCACAGGTTAGCTCTCCTTCTCCTTCTCCTCCTCCTCCTCCTTCTCCTTCTCCTTCTCCTCCTCCTCCTCCTTCTCCTTCTCCTTCTCCTTCTCCTCCTCCTCCTCCTTCTCCTTCTCCTTCTCCTTCTTCTCCTTCTTCTCCTTTTCATTTTCCTTCTCCTCCTCCTTCTTTTCCTTCTCCTCCTTCTCCGTCTCCTCTTCCTCTTCTTCCTCTTCCTTCTTCTTTTCCTCCTCCTTCTCCTCCTTCTCCATCTCCATCTGCTCCTCCTCCTCCTCCTCCTCTTTCTCTGTAACATCTTGTTTGACCATCATGGTGTATTTCCATCCTTTTTTTATTGACCTGGGAAAAAAAACTATCTACAGTATGTGGACAATAATAGTAGATATCAATTTGATGGCCCATAATCAATCAATCAATTGAAACGAACAAATAAATGCAACCTTCTGAGATAGAATTTGGGATCCTGTGGATTTCCACATGGCGTAGAGCCCTTCAAATACCAAATGGCAGTGGTTTCTGGGGGTATCTGTAAAGAGGATATTCCCTCTTCAGCAGGTTAACTGAGATTTGGTGAGCTCACCTTTATTGGAAATTTTCTAGATGGCCGATAAATGTCTCCTTCCCCAGATCTCTGTTTTACTTGTAGCCCTTTCCAATTTTAGGATTCTTACAGCAGTCCTTGTTTTTCTTTTATCTTCATTTTCCAACTTTTCTTCCTTTCTAAAATAAATTTTCTTGGTTGGACAGAAGGAACTTCTATGGTCGTGTTACCCTTTATCCTTTTGGATACCTTTCAACTATTCATTGCGGGGGGTGGGGTTTCTATTTCTTTTTTCCATTAGTTCTTTGTAGAAAAAAATCCAGAGAGGACATGCTTAACAGTGATGGAATCTCTTCTTTCTCTCTCCCATTTTCTCTTTTAGCTGAACAAGAGAAGGAAGAAGAAAAAGAAAAAAAAGATGAAGATGGGGAGAATCAGCCTAGTTTGGGGGACCTCTCCATCTCCGAAACCACCAGTGATTCTCTTCTCCTTTCCTGGAGTGTCCCAACTGGGAGCTTTGATTCCTTCCTGATTCAATATGAAGATGGAGGTCTGCAGAGCTTGCCTGTGGATGGGGCTTCCCGTAGAACGATGGTCTCCAACCTGACTCCATCTCACAGTTACCAGTTCGACCTCTACGGCATCTCTGGTGGCGAACGCCTGGGCCCCATTTCTGCCAAGGCCTTAACAGGTCAGCACAAGCCACTCACTCCTGACTCTCCCTCCCTGGGTTAAGGGAAAGTGTGAACCTTTTTGTACAGCAGTGTTTCCCAACTTTGGCTATGCGAGGATTTTAATTGGCTGAGGAATTCCAAGACTTAAATTTCATGCGTTATAAAGCTGCTGAGGTTGGGAAACGCTGGTAGGGTGTCACCCTTGCAGTAGTTGGGACAAAGCCTTAAATGATCTTGCTGCTGTTCTGACCCAGCCTTAGTAGAAGCAAGAAACAGACTCTGTCAGGTATAGTTTATGGGATGTGTAAGCACAGGGTTGTAATATTCCATTCTCATTCTTTTGCAAGAGTATTGCTCCTACGGCGACGTCGCTAGCATCAGCTTGTACTACAAAAGGTTGTTCTATGTCGGGGTGTTTGAGCACAGGTTCAGCTGCAAACAGCCGTTTCAGTTTTTCGAAAGCGGCCTGACAGTCCATAGTCCATTCTAGTGGTTTCGAGGGTTTGGGTTTTATTTCCCCTTTTGTTTTGAGCAAGTTTGTAATTGGCAGTGCGATTTTTGCGAAAGAGGGGATAAATTGTCTATAAAAGTTAGCAAACCCTAAGAAACTCTGTAACTGTTTACGGGTGCGTGGTGCGGCCCATTCCATTACTGCCCGGACCTTTTCCGGGTCCATCTCTATTCCCTCATGCGATATACGATATCCAAGATAGTCGATTTTGTCTTGATGGAATTCACATTTAGAAAGTTTGGCATAGAGTTCAGCTGCTCTGAGTTTATTCAAGACCGCTCGAACCAATCTTATATGGTCGGCCATGTTGTCAGAATAAATTAGAATATCGTCCAAATAGACCAACACCCCCTTATATAGATGCTCATGCAACACTTCGTTGATCAACTGCATGAATACGGCCGGGGCCCCCTGTAGTCCAAAAGGGAGTACTCTAAATTGGAAACACCCCAGTGGGCAATTAAATGCTGTCTTCCATTCATCTCCCTCTTTTATTCTCACTCGGTAGTATGCCTCTCTTAAATCAAGTTTGGTAAAAAATTTTCCCTTTCCTAAATGGGCCAACATGTCCTTCATAAGTGGGAGGGGATAGACATTTTCCACGCAAATGGCGTTCATGTTTCTATAATCAACAACTAATCTGAAGGATCCATCTTTCTTTTCGCGGAACATTACTGGCGCTGCTACCTTGGGTTTGAATTCGGTCTTCCCGCCAGTCATCTTGGCCGCCCCCTTACGGTAGAGAGAGGATGACTGGTCCCCCATCCGCCTTCCTCGGAGTTCGCTCCATTTCAGCTCGATCTCCACATCCTCAGCTACTATGTACCATCTATCCAAATCATCGGGGACCCCCATGCTCCTGCAATCTCGATATATCTCATCATTCAATCCATCCTTGAAACTCTCCAAAAGCGCCATTTCTGACCAGCCTGTCATATAAGGTGCCAGTTCACGAAACTCTTGGATATACTCTGCCACCGGCCTCCGGCCCTGCTGAATGCTCTTCATTCTGAGTCTCGCCTTTCGTTCAGCTAAATGGTCTTCAAAACGTCTTCTAAGGGCCCTCATGAACTGGTTGTAATTTCTCAGCAGGAGGGAGTTGTTATTGTGGAGAACTACCATCCACTCAGCCGCCACTCCCTCTAGGGCATTCGCAACGCTTCTGACTTTAGCCGCATCTGTTTCGTAGTCCTCCCCCCAATCCTGCATGTGGTTCCACACTTGGGTCAGGAAAAATCCCAAGGTTTTAGGATTTCCATCAAACTTTCCAGGAAGGGGGGGGATTTTTGGCTTTTTACGTCTGCGGGGGGGGGCCTGCAGGGCTGGGGTTCTCTGGCCGGCTGCATCTCTTCCTCGAGCTGCCGAAGCCTGGGATGTTCCCTCCTCAAACTCTTCCTCTCCCCCGCAGGCTGTCTCTTCGGCCTCCCCCCTGGGGTCTGCTTCCCCCTTCTCCACAGGAGTTTCAAAAGACTCACGGTTTTTTCTGCTTTCTTCCACATCACGGATAAGCTGCAAGGCTTGATCTATCATGAGATGTTCCTTCTGCTGTTGCATCCACACTGCCTCCCTTTTTCGGGGTCTGGAAGTCGTCACTCCCCGGGGATTCTCCCCCCAGTCCGGCAGTCTGCCCACACCTTTGGACCATCTAGCTTCCTCCGGTTCCAAACGGAGTTTTTCCAGCCATTCTGCAGTTTCTCTTTCCGACTGGAGGGCGGTTGAACTCGCTGCCCCCATCTTCCCTTCGTCATCACTCCCTCGATCTGACATACTTTGGATTTTCAGTCCCCTCGGGTTTTGTCCGGGATGACTGAGATGACTTCCAGCTTAATGTCAGGTATGCTTCCTTCAGTATCCAGGAAAGAAAACCCCAAACTCAAGCATTTTGAAGAATCTGGTACTTTTACTGAATATGAAGAGATTAACATCCCAGTGAAAAGCTGGAAGTGATCAAAACGCGCGAAAGCATCTACTAAGCTTCTTCCCCCCCTCGTGTTTATAGTTTCTCAGCCAATCTAAAGGTCTTCCAAAGGTCAGGTGGCAACACGTCTGGCAGCGTCATCCATCAGGAATGTCAAGACAGTTGGTCGGCCATCCCCTTCTGAAATTTAGTTTCGATTCCCACGAAGTCCCCTCCTACAAAGACAAACCCCCTCCTGCTCTCTTCCCCCCCTTTGCTCCATACCTAATCCCTCCCCGTTTCTTATGGCAGCTAAAGCAGGAAAGCTGATGCTGACAGACTCCTTGTCACGAAAAATCCCTCTTTATTTACCTCTTGTGAATTAATTGCATTCACCCACCGAAAAGTCCAGGCAATGGTCCTTCAAGGAGTTAACTGCGGTAACAGACCTTATCAGTTCCTTGTGATAATTGCAAGGCCATGAGCTCGAAAGGCTGTAAATTAAGTTCTGGCAAGCAGTCTCTGTGGCACGAAACACAATGAGCAAAATCTTCAGAAATATGAAATGTTGTCTCCTACGACAACCACTCCGCTTTCCATCTATTTATTCCCCAGTCAGGGAGGGGCCATTCAGCATCCACATGTGCTTTGCTTCCCAAGTCGACTCCTTGTCCTCTGTTCACCTCTCCTAACTGCTCTGTGCATACGTGCATCTAGAACAGGCCCCAGCTGTTCTTCCTCCTCACTCATCTCAGCCTCCAAAGGCAGCTGCCTCTCCAGTGTTTGGGAAATGTCGGACGGCCCTGGCTCTATCTCTGCATCCAACACAGAGCATCCATCAGAGCCTTCCCCAGACTCCAGAACTGGCCCAAATTCCTCCCGAACCTCCTCATTGTCCGAGTCTGCTGCCAGCTCTGCTGGCAGCTGGCAGTTCACAACAGTTATATAAGAGTGAACTCCATCATCTAATCATGGGGGACTTCAATTCTATAAAGCCTTAGTAAGACCACACCTAGAATACTGAATCCAGTTTTGGTCACCACACTATAAAAAAGATGTTGAGACTCTAGAAAAAATGCAGAGAAGAGCAACCAGGATGATTAGGGGACTGGAGACTCGAACATATGAAGAACAGTTGCAGGAACTGAGCATGGCTAGTCTAGTGAAGAGAAGGACCAGGGGAGACATGATAGCAGTCTTCCAATATTTGAGGGGCTGCCACAGAGAGGAGGGGGACAAGTTATTTTCAAAGGCACCTGAAGGACAGACAAGGAATAATGAATGGAAACTGATCAAGGAGAGATTCAACCTAGAAATAAGGAGAAATTTTCTGACAGTGAGAACAATCAACCAATGGAAGAGAAGTTGCCTTCAGAAGTTGTGGGAGCTTCATCACTGGAGGCTTTCAAGAAGAGACTGGACTGCCATTTGTCAGAAATGGTGTAGGGTCTCCTGCTTGAGCAGGGGGTTGGACTAAATGACCACCAAGGTCCTTTCCAACTCTGTTATTCTATTCTATCTTTCTCTCTCAAGCTTCATGTAGCAATAAGGACTGAGGGCAAACACCAAGATAGCTTGAGGAAAGGGTTCTAGCGACAGAGAAGCATCTTAGGCTTCAGAAACTTAACATTTGGCGGGAGCATCAACACTGGAGGTTTTTAAGAAGAGATTGGACAGTCATTTGTCCGACATGGTATAGGGTCTCCTGCTCAAGCAGGAGGTTGGACTACAAGATCTCCTAGGTTCTTTCCAACTCTGTTATTCTATGTTCTGTAATACTTGAGCCGAAACTACTCTAACTAAGACTAAAACCTTCCTTTCCATGATGGCCAGATAGTAGCTGTGATGAGAACAAGACTCAAGGTAGAATCCTTCCTTCTGGATCCTTCCTTCTGGATCAAAAAATAGCATTTGGCTAGCAATGTCTTCTGTTTCTGTATGGCCTCTTATTTTGGCACAGAGAACTGAGTGAGTTTCATCATCGGAGCCACCCAGAGTCAGTCTGGGTAGTGAGATAGGTGGCATATAAATCTAATACATAAATCATGTTTCTTATATTTTGTCTTAGATTCCCCAATCCGCTTTTAAAAAAAAAAAAAAAAAATCTTCCAACATGCAATTTTTTGAGGGGGGAAGAATCCATGTCAATTTGAAACTTCCCTTTCCGTGTCCCGTTCTGTTGATGATCCATTCCCCTTCTTTTCTACCCACAAGTTTACTGTAAGTCACAAGTATCAAACTCGGTCACATCATGGGCCGGATCACGATGAATCGTGATGTTTTTAGCCTTTGCGGAGCCAGGGTGGGTGTAGCCTGTGTGTGACGTATCCGGCCCGCGGGCCGCCAGTTTGACAGGCCTGCTGTGAGTGAAGCCAAAATCAATCCAGGTGCAACACATATGGTAGATGTTTTGTGTACACTATGTCAACCCTGAAACAAACCTGGCTGAGGCCATCTTTGAAGCTTCATGGCTGCCACGAGGCAGAGGGGGAGAAAAGGAGGGGGGAAATTAGACAGCTCGGCTTTGCTGTCAAAATAAAAAGTTTTCTTGTGGGAACCAAGGTCATTCCAACAGGTGGCTGAGAAGAGGAGGAGTGGAGTAACCAAGCAACCTGCTAGCAGCTCTATTGGACAATGTGACCGATGACCTGGGGGGAAGGGGGAACTTTCACTTTTTAATTAGGTGAAAACCACAGGAACTTTCAGAGTCAGCTTTCCCCAGTTGTGCCAATATGATGTATCCAATAAATTGTTCTTTGAGGAATCTACCTACCTTGGAGTTCTGCTTTCAATGGGTGCAAATAAAGATGTTGGCTGGACAACTATTTTTCAATCCTTAGCAACCTTTAAGATGTGATTGGACTTCAACTCCCAAAATTCCCCAGGCAGCCATTTTAAAGTTGCCAACCATAGGAAATCGACAGTATGGATTTTACTCTGCAATCATCTTTTTCCCCAGCCCTCATTTTTTTCACTCTTCTTCTTCTTTTCTTTTTTACAGCTCCGCGATCTCCAAGTCAGGGCACAGAGGAGAGTGGATCTCCAGGCCCATCTCCAAATCCCAGTTTTGGGGAGCTCTCTGTGTCTGACGTCACCAGCAACTCTGCCCGCCTCTCTTGGAACGTCCCTGCTGAGACCTTTGACTCCTTCCAGATCCAGTACAAAGATGCGGAAAACAAACCACAAATAGTTCCTGTGGACAAGGAAACCAACACCATTGTGATCTATTATCTAGTACCTTCCCATAGGTACAAGTTTAATCTGTATAGCATCTCCGGACGCAGACGCTTTGGACCAATCACTGCCAGTATCGTCACAGGTGAGTAGCAGGTTTAAACCAGAGGTGGGGAACGATGGTCCCTTTATGACTGGTGGACTTCAACTCCCAGAATTCCTGAGCCAGCATGACTCATACCCATAATTCAATTCACCCCCGCCCACCCCCTTGCACATGCGCGTGCAACTCCCTGCACTCCCCCCACTTTTGGCATGCGACAGCAAAAAGGTTACTGGTGCGCCCGGTAGGCCCGTTTCTCGCTCTCCCCAGGCTCCAGAGGCTTTCTTGGAGCCTGGGGAGGGTGAAAACTGCCTCCCCCACCCCACCCCCGAGGCCCTCCAGAGGCTGAAAACGGCCCGTTTCCCAACTTCCGGTGGGCCCAGAAGGCCTGAAAATCAGCTGGCCGATATATGCTGGAGCTGAGCTAGGGCAACATTCACGAGCCCACAGATATGGCTCCATGTGCCACCTGTGGCACGCGTGCCATAGGTTCGCCATCATGGGTATAGGGTTTCCTGAGCAGTGGGACAGTAGGTTTCCTGAGCAGGGGGTTTCCTGAGCAGGGGGTTGGACTAGAAGACCTCCAAGGTCCATTTCCATTCTGTTATTCTCTTATTGTGTTCTATTAAGTTGCTCCATCACTGGAGGCTTTCAAAAAGAGATTGGACAACCATGCTTGAGCAGGGGGTTGAACTAAAAAATCTCCAAGGCTCCTTCCAAATCTATTATTCTATATTAGTAACGGTTAACCTTTTTGGTGCCGAGTGCCCAAAGCATGCATGTGCACGCGTGAATGCCCGTGTGTGTGCCCGAACTCCCAAAATGCAATGCGAGCGCCCCGCGCATGCGTGCCGCCGCTGCACATGAGCCACGCCCCCCCGTCCCCCCTGCACCCCATTTTGGTTTCCAGGTTGGTACAGGAGAATTTCCAGGCCCAAAACGGCCTCATGTAGCCCTCCGTGCCCCGTTTTGGGCCTGGAAACCCTCCTGCACCAACCTGGAAGCCAAAACGGGGTGCAGGGGGGCCATTTTGGGCCTGGAAATCCTCCTGCATCAACCTGAACCCACGCACATGTGCCCTGTCCCTCCACGCATGCATACACGTGTCCCCTGCATGCGCCCGCCCCCCCGCCCCCCGTGCATGCATGGCAGAGACCCGAAGACCAGCTGGCTGGCGGGAGGCGTGTGCACATGCATGGTGGAGCTGGGCTGGGGCAACGACTGTTGTGCCCGCATGCCATCATGGTTCTATATCCTCTCCCCCTATGAGACAGCGCAATTATAAAACACACAAATGTTTGGATCTTTTTTTCGGAAGTTACAGGAATACACATCCTAGCAGTTTAGGATCCTAGCCGCCCTGAGTCTTCGGAGAAAGGCGGCATATAAATTGAACTAATAAATAAATAAAAATATTCCTAGAACATATAAGGATCCTTACACGTACAGTACAACCCTCTTTTCCAAACGTGTGCTAGTTGGGAATTCTGGGTGATGTGGTCAAACCTGTCTCCAGATCCGGGAAACTCCTGATGTGAACTTTTGTCTCCGAAAAGAAAAATGAGGCTAGTAGAACCGCAGCATCGGCCTCTCCCTCTCTCTCTCTCACTCAACCATATTTCTTTCCTCTCTAGCACCAGCAGACAATGAGAAGCCATCAGGTATGCCTGGAGAGGTGGACCAGGAGGTCCCGGCTGGAATAAGCCCCCGCTTGGGCGTGCTCTCAGTCCCAGAGGTCACCAGTCATTCAGCCCAGTTATCATGGACTGTCCCAGAGGGAAGCTTTGATTCTTTCTCAGTCCAATACAAAGATGCTGAAGGAAGACCCCAAGCGCTTCCTTTAAGAGGAGATTTCCGTGATGTCATGGTTTCCAACCTATCCCCTTCTCACAAGTACAAGTTCAATCTTTATGGTATCTTTGGGAAACAGCGTCTTGGACCAATCTCTGCCCAAGTGGTCACAACAGGTGAGCAGCACCTGCTGGGGAAGAAAAAGGGTGGGAGGGATACAATCAGTGAGGGGACCCTTGGTGTTCTCTGAGCTTGGTGGTTTCCTTGCAGGCGTTTCCTCACCCAAACCTTTCATTTGAAAAGAAACACAAGCTTCTCATCCTTATGAGCTGAAGTTTGGTTACAGGTAGTCCTCGACTTACAACAGTTCATTTAGTGATCGTCCTAAGTTACAAAAGCACTGAAAAAAATGACTTATGACCATTTTTCACACTTATGACTAGGGATGGGTTTCACTTACCTTTACCACTGGTTCACCCCGTGCGCTTACACTGTCCGTACATGCCCCGGCCTCAAAAACGTGCCTAAATACGATCGCCGCTACCAGTTTACCCGAACTGGTGCGAACTGGCTGAATACCACCTCTGCTTATGACTGTTACAGCATGGTCATATGATCAAAATTCAAATGCGGTGTCCTGAGGGGGGGGTGTCACATGATCCCCTTTTGTGACAATCTGACCAGAAAAGTAAATGGGGAAAACAGATTCACTTAACAAACCAGGTTACTTAACATAACAACTGAAGCAGTGGTGGGTTGCTCCCGGTTCGCACCGGTTCACAAGAACCGGTAGTAAAAATTTGTAATAGTTCGGAGAACCGGTAATAACTTTGGCTGGCCACGCCCCCGAACCAGTCCCCAGCCCGGTTGCCGCTCGCTTACCCCGCCCACCTCAACAGAGGCTTTTTAAAAAAAACTTTTAAAAGCATTTTTTTCTACAACTACTTCAGCCGAAGAGGTTGTAGAAAAAAAAATGCCTTTAAAAGCCTCTGGCAATCCCAGCTGAGTTGCCTGATCGTCAGAGGCTTTTAGAAGCATTTTTTTCTGCAACCTCTTAAGGTTGTAGAAAAAATGCTTTTAAAAGTATATATATATATAAAAAAAAAGTTGGCCACGCCCACCCAGTCACATTACCCCCCCCCACCAAGCCACGCCCACAAAATAAGCCACGCCCACAAAACTGGTAGTAAAAATTTTTAGAACCCACCCCTGAACTGAAGGGCTTCACTTAACTGTGGTAAGAAAGTATTGTGACCTAGGATCACTTAATCATTAAAGGACACAATTAGTCTCAAACAAAACTATTTTACTATAATAGCTGAGAAGTATTTCATTCCCAGCTTAGTCCAAATTAATTCCAAAACAAGTCCTTCAGAAAAAGTCCTTCGGGCTTATCTCAAACCTTTGTTTTCTTTGGCACCCTGCCAAAGGCCTTTCTTGGCAAAGCCACACGAAGTTCAGAAACAAGAGATGCCAACTGGAAAACAGATTTAGCCTTTGCTGCTCTTTTAAGCCTAATGCAAGGGGCTAATCCTGTCCTGGCCTTACTCCTAAATTGTCCTTTTTGCTTTAGCTGTTCTTGCCTTCTGGCAGCTCTGTGCATGTGCGCACTAGGAACAGGCTCCTCCTGTTCCTCTGCCTCTCTGCTGTCCGACTCTGGAGGCTCCGGAGTCCACACATCACTCCCAGATGGCCCTGGCCCCATCTTTGCCTCCGACGCAGAGCCCTCATCTGGGCCTTCTCCAGACACCAGCACTGACCCATGGTCCTCCCCAGTCTTCTCACTGTCCGATTCCACTGCTAGCTCTACGGCTGCTGGCGGACCACAACCGAAAGGTCATAACACAGGGCAAGATTTCTTCCTGGCAGTTATACCTTAGGATCCTCCATCATCTTCCTCTTTTTTGCAGCTGCTGAAACATCTGGGAAGAATGAAGAAAAGAAACAACCAGAGGAAAGTACAGGCAAGAGCAACCAGCCCAGGCTTGGAGATGTCACTGTCTCTGAGGTCACCCCTGATTCCCTTCTCCTCTCCTGGACCGTCCAGGAAGGAAGCTTTGACTCCTTCATTATCCAGTACAAGGATGCTTCAGGCAATCCCCAGACGGTACCCGTTGATGGAGCCATGCGCTCCCTCCATCTCTACAACCTCACACATTCACAGACGTATGAATTTGACATATTTGGAGTTTCCGGCTTCAGGCATCTTGGACCTCACTCAGTTCACACCGTGACAGGTCAGTGATTGATTGACTATGGATCGATTCATTGACTTAGCCAACACACTTGAGATCACTTGAAGTGTTAATACCACTTTATAATGCTTTGGTAAGGCCACCAAGGAATACTTGGAATACTGCATTCAGTTTTGGTCGCCATGATGTAAAAAAGATGTGGAGACTCTAGAAACAGCGCAGAGAAGAGCAACAAAGATGATTAGGGGACTGGAGGCTAAAACATATGAAGAACGGTTGCAGAACTGGGTATGTCTAGTTTAATGAAAAGAAGGACTAGGGGAGACATGATAGCAGTGTTCCAATATCTCAGGGGCTGCCACAAAAAAGAGGGAGTCAAGCTATTCTCCAAAGCACCTCAGGGTAGAAAAAGAAGCAATGGATGGAAACAAATCAAGGAGAGATGCAACCTAGAACTAAGGAGAAATTTCCTGACAATTAGAACAATTAATCAATGGAACAACTTGCCTCCGGAAGTTGTGAATGCTCCAACACTGGAAGTTTTTAAGAAAATTTTGGATAACCATTTATCTGAAGTGGTGTAGGGTTTCCTGCCTAAGCAGGGGGCTGGACTAGAAGACCTCCAAGGTCCCTTCCAATTTTGTTATTCTATTCTATATTTCTAACAGACACACAAATAAAATGGATTTTGGGCCCCTCATCTCAGCCAAGTGACTCTGGGCAGCTCACAGTTCTTAAAAAATTGTAAATTTTATCTCTTCAAATCCCTGCAGCGCCCTGACTTTCCGAACTCTGGAATTGTACAATTTCATTTTCTGTGGAGATTCTCAGTCATCCAGGTCATAGTTGTACCCAAAGGTGCTTTTTTTCCCAAAGGCAACTGGACTTTTTTTTCCCCTTGAAAACGTTTCGCTTCTCATCCAAGAAGCTTCTTCAGTTCTGACTGAATGGTGGAGGATGGAAGGATTTATATTTCTTGCAGCCAGCTGGTCGTTAGCACTCTTTCTGAGAGTCGTTGAGGCCCCTTGGCCCGTCAGGACAAGATTCAACCATCCATCTGCATTTGAAAGACAAAGGTCACTCTTTTGAAGACAGCAAAATTCACATTCTGGACAAGAGGCCATCTACATTAAGGTTGAACATCCCTCTCTCAACAGAGTTGGGGGATACGACACCACCTACCTCCTGTTTACAACAAAGTCCTTTTAGCAAGAAGGCTCCACCACAGCTATTTGCACCACTCAGGTGACTCTGAGGACACGGATAAACCCCAGGTGGCCTCAACAGCTCTCAGAAAGAGTGCTAATGACCAGATGACTGCAAGAAACATCAATCCTTCCATCCTCCACCATTCAGTCAGAACTGAAGAAGCTCCTTGGTTGAGAAGTAAAATGTCTTCAAGGAAAAACAAGTCCAGTTGCCTTTTGAAAAAAAAAAATTGTACCTCAGGTACAATTTCATTCTACGTTTTCTGAGGCAGGTTGGCCTCCTGCCTGATGCGCTCAATCTGTGAGGGGCTACGACAGATCTAAACATTTGTGTAATTTAAAGTTTGACAAGCATCTGTTTTCTTTTTTATTATTCTCTATTGCAGAGATATCTGAAGGAGGAAGGATCGTTCAGCCCCAGCTAGGAGATCTCTCCGTCTCTCGGGTCACTAACGACTCCGTGGCTCTGTTCTGGACTGTGGCTGCTGGGAATTTTGATTCTTACTTGCTCCAGTACAAGGACTCTGAGGGCAAGCCCCAAGTCCTGCCCCTAAATGGCACTTCACGGGACGTCACTGTCACCAACCTGGCTCCTTCTCACAGATACAAGTTTAACCTGTACGGCCTGAGTGGGCGCAAACGCCTCGGTCCCGTTTCTACCAATGCCGTCACAGGTCAGAGGGAAACTGGGCTTTGGGGACTTCACAATGGTGTTCATTGATTATGATTTTGTTTATTTATTTTGTGGAAATCAGAGGCCAGCCCACCCCCCACCCCCGAATCTGTTACACTTATGACTTACATAGTACAACAGTAATATACTATAAAGAACAGAAAGATCTTCCAGAAACTGGAAGACAGTGGTGGGATTCAAATAATTTAACAACCGGTTCTCTGCCCTAATGATTTCTTCCAACAACCAGTTCACCAAACTGCTCAGAAAGTTAACAACCGGTTCTCCCGAAGTGGTGCGAACTGGCTGAATCCCATCACTGCTGGAAGACTGACTTTGGGCCAAGCCCTACCTCTCAGACCTAGGAAGAAAAAAGCCCCAGAGGCAGCTAACCACTTTGGTGATCCCTGGCTAACACGTGCCATATGCTAAAAAAATATATCTATCTATCTATCATCTATTATCTATCTATCTATCTCTATCTATCTATCTCTGTCTGTCTGTCTATTATCTATCTATCTCTGTCTATTATCTATCTATCTATCTTCTATCTATATCTATCTATCATATATTATCTATCTATTTATCATGTCTATTATCTATTTATCTATCTAACTACTGTATCTATCATCTGTCTATTTATCTGTATATCTATCTATCTGTCTATCTATCTATCTATCTATCTATCTATCTATCATCTGTCTATCTATCTATCTATCTATCATCTGTCTATCTATCTATCTATCTATCTATCTATCTATCTATCTATCATCTGTCTATCTATCTATCTATCTATCATCTGTCTATCTATCTATCTATCTATCTATCTATCTATCATCTGTCTATCTATCTATCTATCTATCTATCTATCTATCATCTGTCTATCTATCTATCTATCTATCATCTGTCTGTCTATCTATCTATCTATCTATCATCTGTCTATCTATCTGTCTATCTATCTATCTATCATCTGTCTATCTATCTATCTATCTATCTATCTATCTATCATCTGTCTATCTATCTATCTATCTATCTATCTATCTATCATCTGTCTATCTATCTATCTATCATCTGTCTATCTATCTATCTATCTATCATCTGTCTATCTATCTATCTATCTATCATCTGTCTATCTATCTGTCTATCTATCTATCTATCTATCATCTGTCTATCTATCTATCTATCTATCTATCTATCTATCTATCATCTGTCTATCTATCTATCTATCTATCTATCTATCTATCTATCATCTGTCTATCTATCTATCTATCTATCTATCTATCTATCTATCATCTGTCTATCTATCTATCTATCTATCTATCATCTGTCTATCTATCTATCTATCATCTGTCTATCTATCTATCTATCTATCATCTGTCTATCTATCTATCTATCTATCATCTGTCTATCTATCTATCTATCTATCTATCATCTGTCTATCTATCTATCTATCTATCTATCTATCATCTGTCTATCTATCTATCTATCTATCTATCTATCTATCTATCTATCATCTATCTATCTATCATCTATCTATCTATCTATCTATCTATCATCTGTCTATCTATCTATCTATCTATCATCTGTCTATCTATCTGTCTATCTATCTATCTATCTATCTATCATCTGTCTATCTATCTATCTATCTATCATCTATCTATCTCTATCTATCTATCTATCTATCTATCATCTGTCTATCTATCTATCTATCTATCTATCTATCTATCTATCTATCTATCATCTGTCTATCTATCTATCTATCTATCTATCTATCTATCATCTATCTATCTATCTATCTATCTATCTATCTATCTATCTATCAATCTATCTATCATCTGTCTATCTATCTATCTATCTATCTATCATCTGCCTAAATCCCAAACAAGAGTCCTGTGGTATTCCCTTGCATAATCTTTCACACAAAACCCGTCACCATCGTATTTTCAATCCGGATTGTCTTCCTTCTCTCTTCCAGGCCAAGGCACCCAACCGCTTAAGCTGGGAACCTTGTCAGCTCATAACATCACGTCAGAATCCCTTCTTCTGTCCTGGGTTGTGGAATCTGGGAATTTCGACTCTTTCATTATCCAGTACCGGGACGCCGCAGGCAAATCCCATGCATTGCCTGTAGATGGAGGTTTGCGATTGCTGCGCTTCCATGACTTGGTCCCTTCGCACCGATACAAGTTCAACCTTTATGGGGTCTCTCGTCGCAAGCGTCTCGGCCCCATATCTGTGGAGGCTGTTACAGGTCAGTTGCAGTCTAATAGCCACCCTTGCAACTGTTGCTCTTCTTTTTACAATGCTTCTCCTTCCTGAGACAACACCACCTGGGGACTTGAAGTCAACACATCCTGGAAGTTGCCACAGTGGAGAAACATTGATCTAAGCTCTGTTAACAAATAAACAAACACTTTCTTGGCAATTAAGGTAAACTTTCCAGAGCTCGTACCTCTTGTCTGGACTGCCTCTTCTTGATCAACCAAAGGTTCTTCCACTTGCTTTCCACAGATCCAGAGCTCAAGTAAATTTTCTTTTCTTTTCTTTGTTTTGTTTTTCTTTAGTCCCCAAACCTTCAGGACTGCAAGTTGCTCCTCAACCCAAGCTGGGGAAACTGTCCACTTCCGACATCTCTGACACAACTCTCCGTCTGACCTGGCGGGTCTTGACTGGAAAATTTGAATCGTTCAGCATTGAGTACAGAGATGCAGAGGGCAACCCCCAGGTGTTGCCTATAGACACCAACGCCCGGGATGTGGTGATTTCCAACTTGGTGCCTTCCCACAGATATAAGTTCAACCTCTACGGCATCTCTCAACAGAAACGATTCGGTCCCATCTCTACTGAAGCCGTCACAGGTCAGAGACTCCAATTTCTTTAAGAGGAAAAATAAAATCATTCTCTGTCCACCTCATTATTTTCTGTCTGTTGTGACCCAGGCCCACTTAGTTAATATTAAATGCAAAACAGTTCCAAAAAACAAACAGATTTTATTCAAACTGCTGAGAATTAACTCATTCTCAGCGTATTCCAAATTAAATGAAAGCAAAGTCCTCAAAACACCATTCTTCAGTTTATCTCTGACCTTGGGATAATTAGGCAAACTGCCAAAGGCTTTTCTTGGCAACAGTTCAAGAACAGAAAACATTGACAAGAAAGAAATACATCCAAACACAAAGCAAATCTCTCAACGGTTGTTTTCCAGCAAAGAGGCCAAGAGCCATTGCTGGTCTTTTAAGCCTTATGGGAGGGGCCAATCATCTCTTGGCCCTATTCCCAAGTCATCCTCTCTGCTTTAGCTGCTCCTGCCTTCTAGCAGCTCTTCTCATGTGTGCACTAGGAACAGGCTCCTCCTGTTCCTCTGCCTCTCTACTGTCAGCCTCTGGAGGCTCCGAAGTCCACGCATCACTCCCCGATGGCCCTGGCCCCATCTCTGCCTCCGACGCAGAGCCCTCATCCAGGCCTTTCCCAGCCTCCAGGACTGGCCCATGTTCTTCCTCAGCCTCATTGCTGTCCGACTCCGCTGCCAGCTCTGCAGGCTGCTGGCAGACCACAACACTGTCAAGGTTTTTTCTTGCTGCCGTCTATGCAGATCTCTATATACCGGTAGAACTTTATATAATTGGGATGGCTGTAGACCAGAGGTGATATTCAGCCGGTTCACACCGGTTTGGGTGAACTGGTAATGGCAATCGCGGGTTTCCGAGGAAAGAATTTTATTTTGGCTACAAGTCCACAGCTATTTCTACCTCCCCCTCCTGTTCCCACAGCTCAACTCAGCTCCGCTGTGGCAGCCCTGGAGGTGCCAGGGAAAATGGCTTCAGGGCTGACACAGGAGGTATACTGGGTGGGATCATGAGAAAGGGCCTTCTCGGTGGTGGCCCCTTCCCTATAGAACAGTATTGGACATGAGAATCTCCATAGACATTTTGTATTTTTATTTCTTCCAGCTCAAGGCAAGCACTCGGAGGCAAAACCCAAACTGGGGGATCTCTCCATCTCCGATGTCACCAATGACTCTGTCCGCCTTTCGTGGACTATCTCGTCTGGGAAATTCGACTCTTTTCTCATCCAATACAAAGACGCCCAAGGGAACCCTCAAACCGTGCCTGTTGGTGTGGACTCCCAGACAGTTTTCATCTCTAACTTAATACCTTCCCACAAATACAAGTTCAGCCTCTATGGTCTCTCTGGGAAGAAACAGTATGGATCAGTCTCTATTGATGCTGTCACTGCAGGTGAGTTTCTCTCTTTGCAGGGGTCCTTTGTGCTCTCCGAGCTTGGTTGTTTCCTTGCAGATGTTTCAGTACTCAAACCCTGAAAATCCCACTTAGAAACTCACCTAAACCCCTAAGAATATTGAGGAGTTGGGAGGCGGGGAAGGATGAGAATTTAGTCCCTGTGTTCACTTAATGTTGTGATTTCACCAGTCTCTGGGACACAGGTCACAAAGACTGTGTTACCTACCCTATCTCATTCCCGGTTTGTGGCCCCCTCACCCGTTTGCATTCTTTCTCCTGCAGCTTTCTCAGAAAGCACCAGCACTCCAGCTCCCTTGCTCGATCATCTTGTGGTCTCTGAAGTGACTTCCACGACTCTGAAGCTCAGCTGGGATGTCCCGGAGGGGGAATTTGATTCCTTCCTTGTGAGATGGAAGGACAGTTTGGGCAGCGGTCAAACGGCTGTCCCAGCCAAAGAAGTTAAAGTGCCTGGGGACGGGCGCTCCGTCACCCTCCAGGGACTCGCACCCAGTACCGAATACAGCCTTACGGTCTATGGCATCAAGGATGAGTCAGAAGTGGCCGAGATCAACACTGGAGCAAGGACAAGCGGGCTAGGTAAAGGGGCAGCATGGGTTACCCCAATGTCAAAAAAACCCCAACCCCAGGAACAAATATTTCTCAATGAAAGCATTAACATAGTAAGTGGGTGTCGGTCACAAAAAGAGAGCTAGCTACCTACCTAACTAGATAGATTGACAGACAGACAGACAGACAGATGATGGATGGATGGATGGATGGATAGATGGATGGATGGATAGATAAATAGATATTTATTTATTTATTTGTTAGTTTGTTTGTTTGTTTTAATTTGTATACTGCCCTTCTCCAACAGGACTCAGGGCGGTGAACAGCCAGAATAAAACAGAACATACAAAATTTAAAAACAATTTAAAAATAATTAAATATTTTGGCCGCAATTTAAAACAAACCAATTAAAATCAATTAAATTTAACCAAAAACAGTGGGATCAAGCCAGCCTGGCTAGGTGAAATAAATAAGTTTTCAGGGCCCGACGAAAAGTAATAGATAAAGTGATAGAGAGAGGTGACAGAGATAGATTATAGATAGAGAAAGATGATAGGTAGGTAAGGTAGATAGACAGAAAGAAAGATGGTTAGACAGATAGACAGAAAGATACTGGTAGCTAGATAGATATAGATCATAGCTAGCTAGACAGACAAACAGCATATAGATTCATTCAGAGAGAGAGAGAGAGAGAGAGAAATGTAGAGGTGATAAATAGAGATATATGACAGAGATAGGTAGATGATAGATAGATAGATAGATAGATAGATAGATAGATAGATAGATAGATAGATAGATAGATAGATAGATAGATAGTGAAATCTACTTACTTTCCTTACCGGTTTGGAAGTGCACGTGCCCCGCGCGCATCACATGCACACACAGACCCTCTGCGCATGTGCAAAACCTTCTGCGTATGCACAGAGGGTAAAAAAGACACCAAAGGACGGAGCCTCGTGCTACCATCTCTGAACCACCTGCCACAATCGCTACCAGATCACCCGATCTGGTCTGAATTGGGAGCATTTCACCCCTGGTTAGATAGATTAGATAGATAGATAGATAGATAGATAGATAGATAGATAGATAGATAGATAGATAGATAGATAGATAGATAGATAGATAGATGATAGATAGATAGATAGATAGATAGATAGATAGATAGATAGATAGATAGATAGATAGATAGATAGACAGACAGACAGACAGATTCATTCATTCCATTCCATTCCTTGGCAAAGCTGCAAACATACCATTTGCTTAAAAGCCTTGCCCCATAACTATTGGCTGGGCTTCTGTGATGTCACAGAAGGATTACAATAAGGACCTTTCAAATAAAGTAACTCCCTGGATAATTCTTAGAAGAGAAGGGAAAGAGAAGACCCGAGAGGTGGGATGATGGTGAAAGGCCAAGCTTCATGCCTTGGGGTATCCCTGACAAATATGAAGTGAAGGATTGGGAGAACCCGGAACTCACAGAACTGGTGGGAAAATAGTTCAAGCTTTGCCAGAGAAATCTGGGAATCTTTGGCTAGAAACCAATGGAGGAAGAAGGAGCCATTTCTTGGCTGTTTTCGTCATCATTCCAGATTTCACAGGAGAGTCATGTCAACAACAGCTGTAGTAGCCTGTGTGTTCTTCCTGGTTCCCTCCCTCTATCCTGGGAATAAGCTAGGAACTAACCATAATAAAGTCCTCTTCATTGGGACTTCTGGAAGAGGTAAAGAAGAAATTGTTCCACGGCTGCCAAGAAACCATACACAGAGTCCAGTTTCTACTCACCTCCATCAATCACAACCCACCCTCTCGGTCAAATATAGTTCTGCCCGCTCTTGAACCCTACCTGCTCATCTGCCCTAGGAAGGCCATTTTGGGTCATCGAGGCAGAACAGGCCACGATGTTTAAGAGCTCAGAGCTGATCTTGTGGGAGACCACAAGCAACTCAGCAGCTGTGCATTCCTGGCTCGGGTCGCATCGGGCTGGGCCAGCTTCCAGCTGTGGTTTCTTTGTGTAAGGCTCAAGTAAATTCATCTTTGGCACTGTGCTGTTTTCTTTGCGGTCGGCCAGCTTGGCCACCGTGGATCCCAAGAGGGAGGGAGGGGAAGACTTTTCAGGGGGAGGGGCGAGCGTGGAAGAGGCACATGCCAAACCACAGGCCGCGTTTCTGTAGTCCTCAGAAGGTCCCAGCTGCAGCTACATTTGAGTTAAAATCCACAAGGTTGTTTTTCATTTCTTCCTAAAATAATAAAAAAAATAAAAATTAAAAAAGGGGGGAGCCCCAATTTGAACTGAGGCTTTGGGGCAAGGAGAAAGGGAATTCAACATTTTGAGGGCTATAGCCACCCACCCAAGGCGGTTTCCCAACATTTATTTATTTATTTATTTAATTTTTGTACCGGCCCCTCTCCCGAAGGACTCAGGGCGGTGAACAGCTAAAATTAAAAAACATACAATATAAACATTAAAATATTATAAAAACAAAATTAAATTTATATTGGCTTCCCCCAATTTAAAACCCCTACCCATAAAATTCAACAATTAAAAGATTTTTAACCCAGCCTGGCTTCCTGAAATAAAAAAGTCTTCAGAGCCCGGCGGAAGGTACGGAGGTCTGGGATCAGTCGTATCCCGGGGGGGTAGCTCATTCCAGAAGGCGTGTGCCCCCACAGAGAAGGCTCTTCCCCGGGGGGGGTCGCCAGCCGACATTGCCTGACCGACGGCACCCTGAGGAGGCCCTCTCTGTGGGAGCGTATTGGCCGGTGGGAGGTTATTGGTGGCAGAACATAACCCCTTGCTGTGTTTTAAGGCGATGGTAACATTTATTCTTCATTTTCTTTGTCGTCGCCGTTCTGTTCTGTTTTATATTACATCAGGGCTCTCCAAACTTGGCAGCTTTAAGACTTGTGGACTTCAATTCTCAGAATTCCCCCAGCCAGCATGTTGAAATCCACAAGTCTTAAAAGTTGTCAAGTTTGGAGAGCCCTGTATTAGAGGATTAGAATAGAACAAGAGAGTTGGAAGGGACCTTGGAGGTCTTCTAGTCCAACCCCCTGTTCGGCAGGAAACCCTATACCATTTCAGGCAAATGGTTGTCCAGTCCCTTCTTAAAAACTTCCAGGGTTGGAGAATTCACAACTTCCGGAGGCAAGTTGTTCCACTGATTAATTGTTGTAAACTGTGAGGAAAATTCTTCTTGGTTCTACGTTGCTTCTCTCCTTGATTAGAAGCAACCTTGAACTAAAAAGATTTTCTTAATTGGTTGAGTGTTTCCTCTTTTGCTTAGATTGGGTGTTTCCTCTTTTGACTAAGAAATTGACTCTTCCACAACTGTTTTTATTGGGTATAGTTAAGGGTTTTACACTGGGTGAAATAAAATTGATATTGTATATGATAACAGCAGCAAGATTGTTGATAGGTAAATACTGGAAGAATGAAGCCTTGCCCACTATTGAGGAATGGACTTTGAAGATGGCCAGTTTTGCCGAGATGGCGAAGATTTCAGCATATTTAAAAGACTGTTCACAAGAGACTTATGAATGGGAATGGAAAAAGTGGATAGAATATGTTCAGAACAAATATCAAACTAGGAAGTATCAAATAGCTTTTACTTGAAAATAATGTATTAGAAATTTTTTTAATGTGATGAAGATAAAAAGAGAAATTATAAGGGGGAGGGAGGGGTTCAAGTTTTATACAAGTTTTATACTAAGGGGGGTTTTGTATCGGATATGAGTATATTGTGTGGAAGTCTGGGGGGAGGGGAGGGTTAGGGAGGGTTAGGGAGGTTTGGAAGTTTGGGGTGGGTGGTGGGGGGGGGAAAAGGGGAGAAAATGTAATTGTAAAACTTTTGCAATAAAAAAAAAAAAAGAAAGAAATTGACTCTTCCTACAATGATGTATGTTTTATTTTCTACAAAAAGACACACAGATCGATCTCTCGCTTGTTCTCTTCTGCCTTCTTCCAGAGCTGGATGGTCCCCAGGACTTGCGGTTCAGTGACATTCATGAAACCTCTGTGGTAGCCAACTGGAGGCCTCCATCCTCTCGCATTGATGGCTACAAAGTTTCTTTCCAGCCTTCAGATGGCGGTGAGGGTCTTTATCGACTTGTTCCCCAGGATTGTTTGTTAACAGCAGACAGAACGTCTTAGTTGAGTTCACACCAGGCGTGGCTGCTGGGGGTTCACAGGGGTTCGGGAGAACCTCTAGCTAAGATTCTGTGCAGTTTGGAGAACCCCCAAATCCCACTCCTGGCTAGCCCCGGCCACCCCACTCTGCCCCTCCCAGGAGTCCCCATGCGGCCCATTTTGGATGCAGGTAAGTGCAGGGTGTGCATAGACGCTTAGGGCGGGCAAAAACAGGCCTACCAGAAGTTCAGGAAGGCCAGAAATGGGCCTGTTTCTGGCCTCCAAAGGGCCTCTGGACACTGGGGAGGCCGTTTTCACTCTCCCGGAGGCTTGAGGAAAGCCTCTGGAGCCAGGGGAGGGCACAACGACCCCACCCCCGCCATGGTGAAGGAGGCCAACTTGCCACACCCACCATGGCCACGCCCACTCAGCAACCAGGCAGAGAACCCCTTGCTAAAATGTTTGAAGCCCACCCCTGGTTCACACAATATGGCAGGAAGAGCTAAGGTGGAATAGAGGCAGCGTCTGAGAAAAAGCCAACCATTATGAATCAGTTTAGTGTGGTTTATTTGGGCACAGGGTTATTTATTTATTTATTTATTTATTTATTTATTTATTTATTTATTTATTTATTTATTTTTATTTTATTGAATTTATATACCGCCCTACTCCCGAAGGACTCAGGGCGGTGAACAGCCATAGAATAAAACATATAAATACAAAATTTAAAATAAAATAAAACAAATTAAATAATCTGGCTGAACAAATTTAAAACCAAATTTAAAATTTCCATTTAAAAAGGGGAAAGACTTAGGTCAGGCCAGCTTGATGAAATAAGAAAGTCTTGTGCGCGCGACGGAAGGTATGCAGATCCGGGATCCTCCGTATCTCCGGGGGGAGCTCGTTCCAGATAGTAGGTGCCCCCACAGAGAAGGCTCTCCCCCTGGGAGCCGCCAGTCGACATTGTTTGGCCGACGGCACCTGGAGGAGACCCTCTCTATGGGAGCGTACTGGTCGGTGGGAGGTTATTGGTGGTAGCAGGCGGTCCAGTAAATAACCAGGTCCTAAGCCTTATGACTAAGGGTTAGGGTTATGTGAGCATAGCAATTGTATTCTATGAAACTGGGTTTAAGGTTTATTGGGCCTCCTCAGTGATCTTAACATTTTGTAACTGCGAACCCAGACCCGACTCTAACTTTGTTGTTATGGTATTGTTGACAGCCAGTTTGGTCTAGTGACTAAGGTGCTGGACTAAGAGTTGGGAAACTGAGTTCTAGAGTGGGTGAATTTGAGTCAGTCCTTACTCTCAGCCGTAAGAAAGACACGGCAATAGCAAACCACTTCCAGAAATGTTATTATTTAGTCGGCCTGTATCTCAGTGAGAGCTTTTCCAGTCTGGCCCTCTCCAAATGATTTGGGCGACAAACCCCATCATGCTCAGCCAAGATGTGCTTTTCCCTGTGCTAGCTCAAGAAGCTGCCTATCGTATTGGAGAGCACTATATCAAGAAATCAAATAATATCTGTCCAGCACTTCATAATATTTCAGGCAAAGATATCAGCTCTGTGGTGTTTTTTTTTTTTTTTTCTGTTTTTAGGGGAGCCCAAAAGCATTCCAGTGGATGGATCTGAACTCAGGACAATCATTGAGGGTCTGACACCTGGGGCCAGCTATGAGGTCGCTGTAATGTCTATCCGTGGGTTTGAAGAGAGCGAGCCGTTGGTGGGCTACATCACCACAGGTAATTCATGAGGGCAAGAAGCTTAAATGTTACCTAGCAGCAGATCTACTTATTCATCAACTGATTCGATTATTGATTCATTTAGTGGCAGTTCTTCGAGGTAAGCCACGTCAGGAAACAGACACTACCCCGAAAACCAGGCCTTTATATTTCACTGATCTAGCTTAGAACTAAGGAGAAATTTCCTGACAGTTAGAACCATTAATCAATGGAACAACTTGCGTCTGGAAGTTGTAAATGCAAATGCAAATGTAAATAAGAAGAGATTGGATAACCATTTGTCTGAAGTGATGTAGGGTTTTCTGCCTAAGCAGCGGGTTGGACTAGAAGACCTCCAAGGTCCCTTCCAACTCTGCTTTATTCTATTCTTTAAATCACAGTGCCAGACGGTCCTTCCAATTTGCGGGCTGTCAATGTAACCGATACCTCTGCCGTGCTGACATGGCGCCCTGCTGTGGCTGAGATGAACAACTACATCGTCACGTACGGACCTATCACCAGCACCGGTAAGCAATAAGAGCTTGTGAAGCATGGGGGTCAATCAATTGGCCATAAACCTGCCTTTTGAGCTCATGCCTCATTCCAAAAAAGGCTAATTCAGCAACACAAATGTGGTCTCACATCATGTTGCGACCGCTTTAATTTAAAATATGATATTTTCCTGAGCGTGTGGACAATCTTCAGTTTCTTTTTCATCCCGCTTCGCTCAATGCCTTCACGTTCCTTCTCCCAGGTCATCTCTGTGCTTTTCTATACGTGCCCGCTTGAACTTTGAACGCAGACAGTCCTTGCTTAACGACCACTAAGCAATCATTCAAAATTATGATATCCTCCTCCCCTTCCAAAAGCTACTTATGACTCAGTTCTGAAGTTCCGACAATGGCAAAAAAAAGATTATTTGAATGAGGACCAAATTGAAAACTGTTATGTAAAAGGAAGAATCTATAAGCAAAGAACTTTGGAAAAAGTCATGTTTGAATGGAGGTAACGAGATCCTCCAGAAACAGCAGTGAGAAGTTTAGAGAGGAGAAAGCAATGGATGAAATTATGTCAGGTCCTCTGGATGCCAGGATAGGAAGGTGTTGAGAGGCGGCATGTCTGGAGTTGCTATAAAGGAGATTTAGTTGCGTTTTCTTTTCCTGCAATATTTTAATCTCATGTCTTTATATTTCTCATCTTTTTTTTTTTTTTAAATTTGATTTATATGCCGCCCTTCTCCGGAGACTCAGGGCGGCTTACAATGCGCTAAGCAATAGTCTTCATACTTTTGTATATTTTATACAAAGTCAGCTTATTGCCCCCACAAACTGGATCCTCATCTTATTGCCTTCTGTACTCTGTTATTCATTCCTCCTAGACCAGGGGCCCCCAAACTTGGCAATTTTAAGACTTGTGGACTTCAACTCCCAGAATTTGCCAGACAGCCATGTTGGCGTTCCGAGTAACGCACCCATTGGAAGGAGAACTCTGAGGCGGGCAGATTCCTCAAAGAACATGTTGATTGAGCGCATCATATCAGCACAGCTAGTGAAAGCCAACTCTGAAAGTTTTCCCACGTTGGTATCATAATTAAAAGAGCAATTGTTTGCCCTCCCCAAATGTCGCAGGTCACATTGTCTGATTAAGGCGTTTGGAGGGTTCCTTGGTCACTCCTCCTCCAACTGCCACCTGTTGGGATGACCTTGGTTCCCATGAGAAAGCTTTTTGTTATGACTGCTGGCCAGTCTATCTATTTCCCTTCCCCCCCCCGCCTCCAGAGTTCGTGACAACTATGAGGCAGCAAAAGATGGCTTCAGACAGGTTCACTTCAGAGTTGACAGTTGATTAGAGAATTCTGGGAGCTGAAGTCCACAAGTCTTAAAATTGTCAAGTGTGAAGATCCCTGTCCTAGACTCTTGATCTGGTTTAGCTTAGGCTGCACTTGGAATAGATTTCATCTCTGTATTTACCTATTTCTGCATTCCCACCCTCCACCCCCCCACCCCCAGGCTCACAGGTCTCCGAATCGGTTCCAGGAAATCGTGTCCAGCTTCAGCTGTCAGAGTTGCAAAGGGACATGGAATATTGGGCCAATGTCTATGGGGAAAAAGAAGGAAACCGAAGTTCTCCCATCAGCGCTACTTTCACAACTGGTGAGTGGCTGGGCTCCATTACAGTGGTGATAGTGGGTGTACTACTGGAAGACCTGAAGTGCCAGGTTGGGGGACAGATAGACCCTCCTGGAAATATGTACCTATGTGGTTGCTAAGATTCATCACTCAATGGTATATGATCAATTAACCTGTCAATCCATCAATCAGAGTGAATAGTCGAGTCTATAGTGATGCTTCTGAAGAGTAAAAAAAGATACGTCTACAGGTAGTCCTTGACTTACAACCACAACTGGAACAAGAAAATTCATTGTTAAGTGGCATGGTCAATAAGGGATGCATCACGTGACCGCAACCAATTTCATGGCCTTTTTGCCACAATTATTACACGTGATGTCCCAACGAAGCTAATAGAATCAATCCTTGGTTGTATAAACAGAAGCATAGAATCAAAATCACGTGAAGTATTAGTACCGCTTTATAAATCCTTGGTAAAGCCACACCTGGAATACGGCATCCGAATTGGTAATCAGATTACAAAAAAGATGTTGAGACTTGAGAAAAAGTGCAGAGAAGAGCAACCAGGATGATTAGGGGACTGGAGGCTAAAACATACGAAGAACGGTTGCAGGAACTGGGCATGTCTAGTGTAGTGAAGACAGTGGTGGGTTCCTCCCGGTTCAGCCTAGTTCTCCCGAGCCGGTAGCAGTGACGATATGATGTCACCAAACTGGTTCTACCCCCCCCCCCCACGCCCCACCCACCGCCCGCATTATTCTTACCTTTTATTTGGCCCAACTCCCAATCTATTGCTGCCTCGTGAGTCCCAGCTGCTGGCTTGAGGGAAAAAAACTGTCTAAACTCTTGCTGCCCGGCTTCAAAGGGCCACCTTACAGCTGATCAGTGTTAAAAGAAAACAAATGAGTAGACCGGTGCCTGCAAAAATAAATGGGTAGATCGGTACAGCTCTGCAAGCAGTTAAAAGCCTGGTAGACCAGTACCTCTGCTAAATCCTAAATAATTGTCACATGACCATCAAGCCACGCCCACAAAATAAGCCATGCCCACAGAACCGGTAGTAAAAAAATTTAGAACCCACCCCTGAGTGAAGAGAAGGACCAGGGGAGACATGATAGCTGTCTTCCAATACTTGAGGGGCTGCCACAGAGACAAGCGGATCAAGCTATTTTTCAAGGCACCTGAAGGCCAGACAAGCAATAATGGATGGAAATTGATCAAGGAGAGATTCAACCTGGAAATAAGGAGAAATGTTCTGACAGTGAGAACAATTGGGCAGTGGAACAGCTTTGTCTTCAGAAGTTGTGGGTGCTTCAACACTGGAGATTTTTAAGAAGAGACTGGCCAGTCACTTGTCTGAAATGGTATAGAGTCTCCTGCTTGAGCAGAGGGTTGAACTAGATGACCTCCAATGTCCCTTCCAGCTCTATTCTGATTGATTGATTGTAATTTGTGACCTTCCATGGTAGCTTCCTCATTGACTTTGCTGTATCTTTCTCATACATTAAACATGATGTGTGACAAAGCTGAACGCTCAAGGAAGTTTTCTACGTTCCAAACCCGATTTTAACATTAGTGAATTTTCAGGCATAACATTTCATTTCTGCTAAAAATTCAGCCATCTTGGAGGGAAATATGCCACATGAGTGCCAGGTGCTTGAAGAAGAACAAGGCAGCAGAGTTCACGCAATACCTTAAACCAGGGTTTAGTTAAACCAGATTATTTTTTTTGTCATACCCTGTCTTAGAATTTTTTTGAAACATTGGGCAAAATGTTCCTTTGGCTTTGTTTCCCAGAAGAGTTATAAATTTTTTTCTCCGCTGTGTCAAGTTTCCGAAAGATGCCCTAATTAATTCATGAGCCATGATCCAAACTTCAAAGGAAATATATTCATTTATTAGGAGCAACATTCCGGCAATACTTGGATGCAGTTAGGACTGATCCCACGTAGATTTACGTTCCCCTATTTATTTATTTATTTATTTTAAACCCTAACCCTGACTCTAACCCTAACCCTGACCCTGTCTCTCCCCTCCTCTCTGGCCATGTCATAAATCACATTCTCCAATTAACCACTTTGGCTGGCTGTGAAACCTAACACCCTCCTTCTGATTGCGGTCAGGAAAAATGTATGGAATTCACTTCAGTTCTCCCTCCTGCTCATGGCAACTTGAAAGCTTTGCAAGTTGATATGCTGCTCTATAGCACAAGGCAGGGTTAAATTCATAATTGTATAATTTTGTTCATTTTTTTAAACTCTCACCTTCCTCCTCCTCCTGCAGGAGCAGATGGGCCCCGGGACCTGCATGCTACGGAAATTTCCCCCCGCAGTGCGCGTCTCACCTGGTCACCCCCTGGTGCCCCATCTGAGGGATATCTGTTGAGTTATGAAACCCCCGATGGACAATCAAAGGTACCTAGCCACAGTTTTTCAGCTGCCTCTTGAAAAAGCACCTTTGGGACATTTCATGTATTGTTCTCCATATAGCTGCAACAGAAAGCGCTAATATATTGCCGGCCTAAATTTCCCCGCCTTTATTTTGTTCTCCACAGGAGATCCCTCTGGATGCTTCCGTCACCTCGTATGAACTTCAAGATCTGATTCCTTCAAGCCGGTACCAGGTCCAAGTCCATGCAGTGAGGAGAGGAACACCAACAGCTCCCATCTCCACATCCTTCACCACTGGTAATAGCATTATAGGCTCCCTGATATGTCTATGTTTGAGACAGACTATCTTTGGGACTTCTTAAAAACCAAAATCCTGAATGGATCCAGTGATCACCCTTTCTTTCTTGGACAGGGCACCTGACATACCCCTTCCCTCGGGACTGCTCGGAAGAAATCCAGAATGGGCCAGGAGCTTCACGAGTAACAACAATTTATCTAGGGGGCAACCGAGAACGTCCTTTGAGGGTGTTCTGTGATATGGAAACTGATGGGGGAGGCTGGATTGTGAGTATGAAGAGTACGGTTGGGTTGGTGATGGTCAAACTACAGTTTCTTGAAAAAGATTCTGTCAGAGTTCCAAATAATAATCTCATGGCAAACAAAACTCCGAGGTCAGTAGATTCCTCAAAGAATAATTTTATTGGATATATCATATTGGCACAGTTCTGGTGAAAACCGACTCTGAAAGTTCCCATGGTTTTCACCTAATTAAAAGGTGTTTTTCCCCTTCCCCAAACAATCAGTCACATGGTCCAATCAGGTTGCCATTCAGTTGCTGGGTAACATCACTCCTCCTCTCTCTGATCATGTGTGAGAATGTCCTTAGTTCCCAGGAGAAAGTATTTTGTTTTGGCTACAAAACCCCAGATATCTCTATTCCCCCCTCCCTATCCCTCAGCTTCTGTGTGGCAACACTGAAGCTTCAAAATGGCCTCCGTCAGGTCAACTTCAGGATTGACAGAATCATTGTTTCCTCCAGCCATGATTTCATCCATGCTGTTTTTTCAGCTGCAGACCTTGGCAGCTGAAGAATTTTAAATGGTGGGGTCAACAAAGGGAAACGAATGGAAGTCTTTAAAGCAGCAGACTTCCCCAACTTTCCGGATACGTCAGACAATAGCTATGGACAATCATCGATAGCCAACATGCTATTCTTAGAGAGTGGTCATTTTGAGCCAACAGATGTAGAAGGTGCCCGGTTAAAGAAGGATATTCTAGTACAGATTTCTTCCAAGTTTAAGACATGCAGACTTTTGACTCTCAGAATTGCCCAGCTAGCACAATTCTGGGAGTTGAAGTCTACAAATCTTAAGGTTGTCAAGGTGGAAAAACTCTGCTCCGGTGTTTATATCTGCAGAAGTCATTGTGAAGTTGTGAGACATGGAAGTACAATAGCACCAGCTTTCTACTGATCAAATTCAGGACCTGTGATAAGATAGTCATATACAAAAAGCACAAGGGAGACGAAGCGACAAACCAGAAACATGGCACAAGCTCTGCCCTGAACTTATTTGGGTGCAATGTTGTGACTCACATGTGAAAGGGTCGAAGAACATGCACACTGATGTTAGGATGTATGTTTCATAATCTGACATATGTAGATGTTTCTATATAATGAGAAAAATTGTCGGAAAGGTGCTTTATCAAGAACAACTGGACTTTCGGAGGGGGGAGGGTTTAAAGATGTTTCGCTTCTCATCCAAGATGCTTCTTCAGCTCTGGCTGGATGGTGGGGAATGGAACGATTCATAGTCTTTGCAGACCACTGGTCATTTGCATTCTTTTAGAAGGTCATTGAGGCCACCTGGAGATTTGTATGTGCCATCAGGGTCACCTGAGTGATGCAAATGGGTGTGGAGCTGTCAGCCTCCGACTTTCTGCTTTGGCTGCCATAAGAAATGGGGGAGGGAAAAGCATGGGGGGAGGGAAGCAAGCTGGTGGATTTTTGAAGAAACGAAACCTAAGCACCGAAGTGGCTATCGGGTCAACCGTCATCACGTTCCTGATTGATGACGATGCCAGACGTGTGTCCACCTGACCTCTGAGAGACCTTTGGATTGGGTGATTGATGATGGACAGTGGGAGGGGATGCTTTCTAGATGCAACTTTCGCACCTATTGCTTTAGTTTCAGCTTTCCTTGCTTGCGTTCATTTCATCTTCCAGTAAAAGTACATTACTCTATAAAATATGGAGTTTGGCTCATTCTTTCCTGGACTTTGAAGGAAGCACAGCTGACAGGAGCCTTCTTGGAACTGCTGAGAGGACTCTCTAAAAGAATGCAAATGACCAGCTATCTACAAGGAGTATAAATCCTTCTATTCCCCACAGAGCTGAAGAAGCTTCTCGGATGAGAAGTGAAATCTCTTCAAGGGAAAACCAGAAAGTCCAGTTGCCTCTTGAAAAAGCACCTTTGGGGCAATCATGACCTGGATGGCTGAAAATCTCTATAGACCAGGGGTTTCAAACTCAAGGCCTGGGGGCCACATCCGGCCCACGGGGTGCTTAGATCTGGCCCGTGAGGCTGCCCTGGAAACAGTAAAGGACTGGCCCACGATGCCTCTGCCAGGAAAAACGGAGCTCGCGAGGGCCACGCATGCCCCCCCCCAGTTCCATTTTTGCTGGCAGAGGGTTGCAGGATGCTGTCCCAGCCAAAAACGGGACTTGGGACCCATTTTTGAGCCGAGGTGGTGCAGGGGTTAGACTGCAGTACTGCAGCTACTTCAGCTGACTGCCAGTTCAGCAGATCTGCGGATCAAATCTCACTGGCTCAAGGTTGACTCAGCCTTCCATCCTTCCGAGGTGGGTAAAATGAGGACCCAGATTGTTGGGGGCAATATGCTATTTAGTATATTGTCTTTGGCCACCCAGAGTCCTCGGAGAGTGGGCGGCATAGAAATATGACTAATAAAAATAATAATAAAATAAAATTTTTGATGGCAAAGCGCTCAGGCCACCACAGGCGTCACCCAACACGAGTGATGTCATGTTGGCCATGCCTACCATGGCCATGCCCTCCAGCCCCCCTGAGGTCAAACACAATCCTGATGTGGCCCTCAATAAAATCGAGTTTGGCGCCCCTGCCCTAGACATTGAGGAAAATCGCTTTCAAAATCGTGTAGAAAAACATCTTGGGGTTTTATTGCTTTCTGATATCTGATCACTATCAATTTCTTTCTTTCCTTCCTTCTCCATCATGGCATCCTCATTCTCCTTCTCCTCCTCCTCCTCCCCCCCAGGTCTTTCAACGTCGGATGAATGGTGAGACGGATTTCTGGCGGGACTGGCAAAATTATGCTCTTGGCTTTGGCAACCTCACCCGGGAATTTTGGCTAGGTAAGTCTATAACTTTGTATGCGTCTCGTCATCCATGTAGCCAGATATTTCTACCATTTCATCCTTCCTGTCCTTTTACAAACTGGAAACTGAGCCCACAGAAAGATAAGGGCTTGCTAAACTGAACCCATTTCTGGACTTTATGCTTGAAACAGAGAGGGTGGGGGAATGAAACTTTGATTCTAACAATCTTGTAACAGAAATGGTTAGCATCACTAAAATAACTGTCTGTAGGGTTGCCAGGTCTGCTTCCAAAAAATAGCGGACAAACGGGTGTGTGTGTGTGTGTGTGTGTGTTAAGTAGTAAAAAAATAAAAAAAAATTACAATTAAATTATATATTTTCTTACAAACATTTTAACACGCCATTTTAGGTCAGTCAACACAAGCTACAATACATTTTAAAAATGTGAACTGTACATAATTTTATAATATATTTTTATTTTAATCTCATCATTAATTTTTTTCGGAGAATCGAGTTCAATGGATATTCGATCTTTGTCTCATTCTAACTTATGAAAAAAAAGACAAAACGCGATTCTCCTACCCTTATTCTCTTAGACTGTACAGCTTTAGATTACGTACCATTTCATCATAAAGCTTTTGAATAAAAAAAAAGGTCCACTATTTTGTGAAAAAAAATAGTGAACATAATGTGAAAAAAGCGGACTGTCCGCTCAAATAGTGGACACCTGGCAACCCTAACTGTCTGTTGTACTCTACTGAAGCAAAAAAAGTTGAAAATCGCTGCTTTTTTCTTTCCCTTTTACCTTACACCCTTCTCCCCTTCTTTACTTTTCCTTATTCTCTCATGATCTTTATTTCTATTTTATACAATAATAGTTAATATTTTTTTTTAAAAATATAAATGATAATAAGGCTGTACTAACTTCCACAGTTGTATACAAGTTCCATAATCATTCCATTTGTAAATATGACTCCTTCTTTAACCTCCTTCAGAACATTGATTGATTATGTGCCATCAATTCGTTGTTTGGTGACCACACGGGTCGATTCTCTCCAGGATGACGTCTCCCCAGCCTGGGGACTCTTCCAGTGGTGCCCTCATCATTACATGTAACTGAGTCTGTCCTTCACAAGACTGATCCTCGCCTTTCTCTTTGGATTCCAGGAAACAATGCTCTGCACCAGCTGACCTCTTCAGGGGACTACGAGCTACGCGTGGATCTCCGTGCTGGGGATGAGTCCGTCTATGCTACCTATCAGAACTTCCGTGTGGACCCTCCAGCTGACCATTATCGCCTGCATCTGGGCAGTTACCATGGCACAGCTGGTGAGCAGAGCTGTGGGATTGTGTGTCAGGGTCTCAAGTAATACATCCAGTGGTGGGATTCAAATAATTTAACAACTAGTTCTCTGCCCTAATGGGTGGCTGGCTGGGGGTGGCCAGGGTGGGGGTGGCCAGGTGGTGTGACAGGCAGCATTCAGCCTCCTACATCCCTCTGGGAGCAAAAACAGGCTGCGGTGGGGGATGCGCCTTCCCCCCGCACCCTGTTTTGGGCCTAGTAGGCCTCCCTGCAGCCTCCTGGGAGTGAAAACAGGCTCAGGCCCCCAGGCCCCATTTTGGGCCTAGGAGGCCTCCCTGCACTTGCCTGGGAGTCAAAATGGGGCACGTGGGGCACGTGGGGTGGGGTCAGCCAGCAATTTAACTACTGGTTCGCCCAAACCGGCTCAAACCGGCTGACTCCCACCACTGAATACATCCACAACAATGAGAACTCTGAGGCAATGAAAACAATTAATCAGTGGAACAACTTGTCTTCAGAAGTTGTGAATGCTCCAACACTGGAAGTTTTTAAGAAGAGATTGGACAACCATTTGTCTGAAGTGGTGTAGGGTTTCCTGCCTGACCAGGAGGTTGGACTAGAAGTCTTCCAAGGTCCCTTCCAACTCTGTTATTCTATTCTATTCTATTCTATTCTATTCTATTCTATTCTATTCTATTCTATTCTATTCTATTCCATTCCATTCCATTCCATTCCATTCCATTCCTATTCTATTCTATTCCATTCCATTCCATTCCATTCCATTCCATTCCATTCCATTCCATTCCATCTATAATCTATTCTATTCTATTCTATTCTATTCTATTCTATTCTATTCTATTCTATTCTCTTCTATTCTGCAGTGGTCCACGCTTTTGTGGTGCTTTTGTGCTGGGGGTGTCATCTTTCCAAGCCTTTCCAATAGGACTAATGAAGTGTCCACTGAAGCCCATGATTAGGGAGTTGTATGGAAAGGCCCTAAGTGAATATACAGTATATGCAATCATGGATAGATATGGTGTTAGAAAATGGAAAGGACTAGAATACTCAGGTGTGAGTTTTAGGAAATGGGGGATTATAGGAAAACCATATCTTGACTTGAGTTGCGACCAATTGAAGAGCAAAGCTGGAGATGGATTCTATGTAAGCCATGATTCTCCCCCCACCCACCCAGGGTTATTGGCCAAGCACCCAAAATGTGATCATGTGACATGGGGAGTTGCAGCCCTTGTTACTCCAAAATGGGTTGTAAATAGATCTGGGGAGGTCCATCATAATTTCAATCAATCATAAATCAAGGTCTACCTGTTAGCAGAAGGGATTCATGTACACAGGGAAGAAGATAATTCTTGAGAGTCCTTTGTCAGCAGCCAGAAATTCAGGAGGGAGGACTGTGGTTGTTTTTATCTCTCACTTTCCCACTTTCTCTCTCACCCAGGCGATGCCTTAAGCTACCACTCAGGGAGTGTTTTCTCCACTCGGGACCGGGATCCGAATCGGGTCATCATCCCCTGTGCCATCTCCTACCGTGGAGCATGGTGGTATCGCAACTGCCACTACACCAACCTCAATGGACTCTACGCTAACAACCGTGATCACCAGGTAATCCCCGTTGGGCAAGTGGGATGGAGCAAAAGGCAGCTTGTACTTTTGGGTGGAATGATGTAATGGTATGTAGGAAAAGACCTTATGAGACTGAGCCAAGGGAGCAATCAGATAAGAGACAACGTAGCCCTCAGCTTAATAGTGGACAAGGCGATCAGCTCAGGAGAAACCTTCCTTATCACTTCTCAGGTTGTAAAGGAGACAGGGAAGAGCCTTGCAAGATTGACGTCAGCCTCGTAGGGAAAACCAGATACAAATTACAACTAGATGTGCTAAGTGCTAAGAGCCGTGGTGGCACAGTGGTTAGAATGCAGTACTGCAGGCTACTTCTGCTGACTGCTAGTTACCTGCAGTTTGCCAGTTCGAGTCTCACCGGCTAAAGGTTGACTTCCATCCTTTTGAGGTCGGTAAAATGAGGACCCAGATTGTTGGGGGTGATATGCTGACTCTGTAAACTACTTAGAGAGCGGAGGTTATATTCAGTCAGTTCACACCGGTTCGAGTGAACCAGTAGGGAAAATTTGAGCTGGTTTGCCAAACCGGTAGTGACCTCTGGCTGGCCACGACCTCGTCCTGGTCGCCCGGTCGCCACTCGCTCACCCCGCCCACCCGACACTCGTTTGCCCCGCCCACTCACTTGACGCTCGCCCTGCCCATCCCAGCCCTATATATGTTGCCTTTGCCATGCGGCCCAGCTAATTGCCTCGCCAGTCGCCTCCATGCCTTGCCCGCTCTGCTCAGCTCACCAAAGGTAAGCATGCCACCCACTCGTCCTTCATCTTGGGTCAGGGGCCGGGGCTCCAGGGATGCACCATTCCCGGAGGCCCCAGAGCCTCTGCCCACCTTGGCCAGGTTGGGGAATGCACCATTCCCTGGCTCCAGCCTTGCCCTTGAGCCACCAGCCACTCACTGTTCACTTTCCCTTTGCCAGTCGCATGCATTGCCCTGTTTCCCCTCCTTCAGAGGCCCCAGCCCTAGCCCCGCTTCCTCCCCCATGAACGCCTCTTTCTCCGGGCTTACCTTCCTCCCATAGCTGGTGGCAGAGGGGAAGGCAAGCCAGGGCCGAGCCATCACTGCTGGGATCTCCGCCAGGCCGCATCTCGTCCCCCTTGTCACAAGATGCCTGCGCAACTGCCACCTCTTTTTTTTCGGTGCGAGAAGCCTCCCAGCTGCCATCTCTTTGCCAGCCAGAACCGAGCTGGCAATGGTGGCTGGCCAGAGGATTCTTGCACCAAAAACTACCAGAGGTCTCGAACGCGCCGAAAAAGCTGCTGCCGTCACCGCCCCGTTCTTTACATGTGTACCCTATTGCCTGCTTTGCTCCGACACAGCAGACAATGAAAGGTCGTAAAAGAAAGGTCGTAAAATGGGGCAAAATTCATTTGACAAATGTTTATTTTATTTATTTATTTATTTATTTATTTATTTATTTATTTATTTATTTATTTAATCTAATTTTTATATCGCCCTTCTCCTGAAGGACTCAGGGCGGTGCACAGCCAAAGATAAAATAAGTACCCATATAAAATTTAAAAACAATTTAAAACATATTAAATAATTTGGCCCCGACATCACTAAAACAAAAACAACCCATTAAAATTAATGTTTCACTTAGCAACAAAATTTTGGGGTTCAATTGAGATCATAAGTCGAGGACTACCTGTATAATATTTTCACCTCAATTTCTCTCTGTGTTTCTCTGACTTTACTGATCTTCCTTTTGCAGAAAGGGGAGTCTAGATTTTACAGATTCTCACATATGCCCTCTCTCTCCTCCATTCTAGGGTGTCAACTGGTTTAACTGGAAAGGATTCGAGTTTTCCATTCCTTTCACTGAGATGAAACTGCGGCCCAGCAGCTTCCACCCGTTGCAGAGGTCCTGAGCGGGACACGGGATGGACTAAGGGAGACAGCAGTGGAGGCAAAGCCACAACAACAGCAGAAAATCCCAGCAACGACCCCTTTTGCAACAGGATACCTCACATCCAGCCTTTGTTCTGTTTTTCTGGCCCATCCTGAGAAAAAAGAGGAATGCATCGAAGCCAAAGCGGGGGAAAAAAACCTTTGGAGACTTTGCTTTGAAGACCCACTTCAGTCAAAAGGAAGAGAGAGCTCAGAAGTAGAGTTTGAGAGGATAAAAGGAATTAATCTGAACATAGTTAGTCCTCAATTTACAACTACAATTGGGAGCAGGATTTTTATTACTAAGCAAGGTGATTGTTGAGTCCCGGCCAATTTTTATCACAGTTGTTAAGTGAGTCAGGGTAGCTACAAAGCCAATTGTGTGGTCATTCAGCAAATCTGACTTACTTCATGGACTTTGTCAGAAAGTCGCAAATCGGGATCTCGTGGCCCTGCAGCCGTCACAAACACAAGTTGGTTGGTCACGCTCCCAAATTTTGATCCCATGACTGTGGCATGAGGACTGGCTGTCAATCATTTTTTTCACTGCTGTTGTCATTTTGAATGGTCACTAAACAAATGGTTGTAAGTTGAGGACTACCTGTGATTTTTATTTTTATTTTGTAAAGGAGAACTTTCAAGAGAGCCAAGAAATCAGATCGGCCGGCAAAACTTCAGCCACCAAAGCCTGGTTCCCTTCTCTTCTCTTCGTTCTGGTTCTGGGAATCAATGACTTTGCAGCAGTGAAGTCCTAATTCTGACCCCAAATTTCTCCTTCTTGACCCCTTTTGCTTCTCATCAGCTCACCTGCTAACGACTTTTCCCTTCCCTCTCCAGGCTCATTCCCAATCCAGCTTCCATTTTATTCCTCCTGCGAATGCCCTCCAAAACGGAGTTAAAGTCATAAGTATTTTGGTGAATGCAGCTTGACATAAAAGCACTTTTAATGTTGGTTTGATTTTTTACCCATTTCTTTTGCCCCCTGGGAAAACCTTGTGAACTCAAGCAACAGACTGTTCTCCCATCTTTAACCTTTTTGCCTCTTGCTCTGCAAACTTTTCCACCTATAGGTAAATGATTAGTACTGACAGGCACAGGTGTGAACCAAACTGGGGAAAAAATTGCAGAGTGGAAAAAGAACTGGAAAAAATTGGAAAGACCTCTGATTCATTATTGTCCTCACAATAATAATAATACCCTAAAAAATCAACAGGCCAGTTTCTAAATTTTGTACGCTTGCTCTCATTTCTTTATAGGAGATTGCAGGGATCAAATTGGGATTAATTCTCACTTAAAAGCTGAGCTTATGTTTATATAAACATTTTCAAGAAATTCCGGCACATAGAAACCTAGCATTTAACAGTGAGGGTAAATTCTTTTTTCCTTGCTCTAAACTTTCTCTAAGAGTAAACGATTTGTTTTAAAAGTCTGACCCAAATCCAAGTAGACTCTTTCAGAAAAAAAGAGCAATTTCCTGCCTCTTAGCAGTACATAAAACCTTCTGATTGGGCCCTATATAGAGGAATAATTGTATTTTTGCAACTTTATAATTTATAACTTTATAATTGTAAGGTATAAAGGTATTTGGTATTGCAGTGGTTCTTAAACTGGAGACAGTTACCCCTAAACTGATAATTTGGGCATATTCCTGGGGTTAATGAAATAATGCTATATGTAAATTCTGTTTGAGAGTTGTGCGTCCAGTTTGGTGACTGCTACTAGCGAGATACTTGTGTAAAACAACAGAGTCAGGTCTTTTGTGGGGACAATGACATTGTTCAATAATAATAACTGCCATTTGGGCCAAACATTTTAAGACCCACTGTTCCTTTCCTAACCTGATGCCTTTGTGGGTTGGACTACATCCATCCAGAATAAAGAGAAATATGGGCGATAACAGCTGAAGAAAATCTGAGGTGAATATTCTGGCTATAATCAAAGAGAGACAAATGCAATCCAGATGTGGGAATGACTTCCCAATTTGATCTTTTAAACATTTTGTCCATTTCTTGAACCTCTTTAGTGAACGAGACAGACTTCCTTGGAAAGATTAAAAGATCAAAATGAGGCATTAGGAGCATACTTTTTAATGATTAATTTACTAATAAGATAGTACAAACAACAGACTTCAAAGGCCCAAAGGCCCAGATTTGTTTAAAAGCAGAATGCCAATTGTCCTGATTGTACTGATAGTAGAGAATGTTTATAGTTCAGGATTGAACTGTGGGGTTCTTGGTGCTTTCTGAGCTTGGTTGTTTTCTTGCAGCGGTTTCATTACCAAATTAGGTAACATCAACTAGCATTGATTACTTAGTTTAGATTACTTAGTTTAGATTACCTAGTAGATTACCTAGTTTGCTAATGAAACATCTGCAAGAAAACAATCAAGCTCAAAGAGCACCAAGGATCCCAGAGTCCTGATTGCACCCAGACAGTGCTAGGATTATAACTTGCAAAATGGGACAGGGGGAGATGCTAATAAAATCCCAATTTCCTGATTTTTCCCTTTCTCAAATAGTTTTAGCTAATCAGACTTCCCCGAAGTCTTCCCAAACTACTAATTACATCACCAAGTGTTCTTTTCCTTCGCTGGAAATGTGGAAATGTTACGGTTGGTCCCATAACCAGATGTTTAGACTGGATTTGGCATTCTTATCCACCTATCAAGTCCTATCACAGGTTTTTGGGAAGGAGTCAATAGGTGGATTAAAAAGCCAAATTGAGTCTAAACATCGGGCTGACTATGCAACCAACCGCAATTCCACTGCCATCTGATCACGAAGCACAATTGAAGACGAATGTTAAAGGGACGATCTCCAAGACAGAAATGCAAGCCTGGCTCTAGGACAGAAAACTTGGAGAGGAGACCATGGGTTCTGAAGGGAGAGTTTGACCTGTATAAAGTATAATATGTGACTCAAGCAAGACCTTTAATCTGTCCAATGTCCTCCACAAGCCCAGCTTCACATGGCTCTTCCAGCACCTTTTTGGGCTAACATTTGTGACTTGGGCAAATGCTTTTGTTTGAACTCAGTAAAGATGAGGCAAGCAGATTTGTTGATTTGGTTCAACACAATGTGGGAGCAAAGTTGTGCTCCTCTGAGATTGTGATATTCTTCAGGACAAGCTACTTGATATTAGAAGCAGGTGGAAGAGTTCACAAGAAGGTTTTTTTTCTTCTTCTTTTCTTCTTCTTGCAGGACATTAAGGGAACATTGAAGGGAACGTCTTTTACAACTTGAGGGAGGGCAGGAAATTTGCACAAATTGGGTGGGAGGGAAAGGCAAGCTGTAAAGTATTGTTTCTTTATAAGGGGGGGAATAAAACTCTTCTATAAAAGAAGTGCTTGGGAAAAAATGTTATTTTTAGATCATGGGGGAAATATGTTTAAAATAAAAGTCAAATATTAAAAAAGAAAGAGGACTAGTGACGTTCTTCAAAATTTGGTTTGGTTTCTCTCTTTTTTTTGACACATAGTCTGGTGGAAAACAGCTTAGAATTGGTAGTAGCTTTACAACTGAATACAGTGCTTGCTCTTTAGATTCTCATTGAAGGGGGTGAAGTGCAGGGGTGGGCTGTTGGGGATTTGCAGAGGTTCGGGATTACCTCTAGCTAAGATTCTGTGCAGTTCAGAGAACCCTAATTGTCACAGAGGGTGGAACACCCAAGACAAACCCTCTTTCTGCGAATGGGCCGTGTCGAAGGGTCTGGGACGAAGAGGCCGGTGGCCCATTCCCCACGGCAGATGACTGTAGGCGTACCAGCTGAGGAGATAAGTCGGGGGAGAATCGCCTGAGGAGAAATGAAAAGTCAGAACTAAAAGTCCTAGACCCAAGGGAGGAGGAGTAAGGATCTTGATGGCAGTAGCAGAAGGGTGCCTCTTTGAGTGTTTTCAGGAAGTAGGAGTTTCTAGAATTAATGTTTCTAGCTCTTTGAAATAACAAAGCAAGTTCTCCATGAAGAATATAGAGTCTGATAAGAACTGGTTCAAACCTGCCAAGGACAAGGATTGCACATACTGGCAAACTCATTATAATTGTGTGGGAAACAGGCCTCCATATTACAACAGTGAGCATTAACAACATCATACTAACAAAAAGCAGGTGGATGATTTCCGTTTCCCGCCCAGCAGGAAGGGCAGGAAAGGCTTCATTTTTCGGGCTTTGGGATCCTCGGCCGAGGTACCAGCCGCACCAGGAAGGGCTTGCAATGAATAAGGAATCGAAATGATCCCCTCAGGTCAGGAAGGCATCCGGCTGACGCAGGCAAGAGTTGGAAGTCTCGCAGGATGTAAGCAAGGAAGAGGAACGACTCCATGCGGGCTAAGGCTTCCCCCAGGCATACCCGCGCCCCACAGCTGAATGGCACCAGATTCCGTCGGGCCTCAATAGAGGCTTCACCCTCCAGGAATCTCTCTGGATAGAAGAAAAATACCCGTCAGATTAACAAGGACAGCCAGTTTGGTCTAGTAGTGAAGGCCCCAGACTGGAAATCAGGAGATTGCGAGTTCTTAATACAGCTTTTAGGTATGAAAACTGACCGGACGACTTTAAATCTGTCACTCTATCTCTAAGCCCAACCCACTTTACAGAGTTGTTGTGTGGAAAATAAGAGGAGGAAGGAATACTGAATGTGTTCACCAGCTTGAGTGATGTATAAAAATAATACAGGCAGGCTAAAATAAAATAAATAACAGGAAGGAAAAAAATCCCTTCTCCATATCAGGTTGGCCTGATATGCCAGTTGCGTCCCTTTCAGGATCGAGACTCCCTACGCACGGTCACTCAGGCACTCGTCACTTCCCGCCTGGACTACTGCAATGCTCTCTACATGGGGCTCCCCTTGGAGTGCACCCGGATGCTCCAGCTGGTCCAGAATGCGGCCGCGCGGGGGATTATAGGAGCGATGGGGCGCTCCCATGTGACACCTCTCCTACGCGAGCTGCACTGGCTCCCGGTGGTCTTCCGGGCGCGCTTCAAGGTGTTGGTGACCACCTTTAAAGCGCTCCATGGCTTAGGGCCGGGTTATCTGCGAGACCGCCTTCTGCCGCCAATAGCCTCCCACCGGCCAGTATGCTCGCACAGAGAGGGCCTCCTCAGGGTGCCGTCCGCCAGACAATGTCGGCTGGCGACCCCCAGGGGGAGAGCCTTCTCTGTGGTGGCACCCGCCCTCTGGAATGACCTCCCCCTAGAGATATGCACGATACCAGACCTCCAGACTTTTCGTTGGGCCCTGAAAACTCATTTATTTCACCTAGCCGGGCTGGCTTGATCCCATCCATTTCGGTTTTAATTTGAAATTGGTTTTAATTGGGTTGTTTTAAATTCTGAGCCGAAATTATTTAATTACCTTTTAAACTGTTTTTTAAATTTTTTATGCTCTGTTTTATCTTGGCTGTTCACCACCCTGAGTCCTGCTGGAGAAGGGCGGTATACAAATCAAATCAAATAAATAAATAATAAATAAATAAAATACCTTTAAAAAGTTTTAATATTTGGGAAACACTGGGTTAGAGGCTTGGGTGGGGATAGATAGATAGATAGATAGATAGATAGATAGATAGATAGATAGATAGATAGATAGATAGATAGATAGATAGATAAACAAGCAGGCAAACAAGCAAGCAAGCCAGAAATAAACCGTGCTTTCCATTCACACACACACACGCACCCCACACACAAATGTTTAGCTGAAATCAATAGATTAATATAAAATCTTAGCTTCAAGCAACTTGGGACTTTATTCAGGTAGCCCCGTTAGGTAAAGTCAAAGGAGTCCCTGTGGATTTTACTCTGCTAGTCATTGCTGTCTATAGGGAGCAGCTCTCATCTCTGTTTCAAGGCCATTGAGCCAGCGCTGTCTGAAGACATTTCCGTCTTCATGTGGCCAACATGATATCAAGGATCACTGTTACCTTCTCATTGAAGTGGTACCTATTTATCTACTTGCATT